GTAATCTTTATATCCGGAATCGTATGACATGGGAAACGCACTATTATTTCCTCTTACGCACATCTCGTGGCAAATAATACTTAGCACGTATTACTTTAGTCTCGGTACTTGGTTTATGTGAAATGGTGGTCATGGTGGAATTTAAGAGCCTTCTTTAGACACGTTAGGAAAAAATCGACAACCAAAGAGGTTTTAAGGGTGAAAGTTACAAGTTTTATTTTTGCATTTTTTGTCAATATTTAACTCGGTTTTAAAAAAAACGAAATTAAACGAAGGCAAAAGTTAATTATAAAGTGATGTAATAAAAACTTTTTTCGGTTGGTTTGCGTTAAGATTCTTCTCTTTTTATTTTGTATTTAACATTGTTATTCTTTATACTAACAACTCTATGTAGAAACACGTTTTTCTTGTATTTAGTATCTGCCGGCGACAAAGAAAATTCAAATATAAGCGATAGTGTAACGATAATGAATGTCAAATGATGTGAACTCCATAGAAAATTGACTAGTTTAACGAATTTACTGTAATTATGAATGATTTCTTGGTGAAGTTAGTTAGCTATCATTTATAATTCTATTGACGTAGGACGGATGTTTTATTTTTTGATATCTACGAGTTTAAAAAAATATTATAATTATTTTTCAGTATAATCTGTACTGTCTGTACTCTGTAGCCGAATGGTTTCGGTCAGGCAGGGCACAGATCTCTCAAGATCAAATATAATAAATAAGAAAAAAGAACCAGCCAGTGAACCGGACACAGAAATGTACACTATGTCGTTCGGGGCGAAGCAGGATCATTGGGGTAAAATAAAAGAGCAAAATCCGTTTTGAAATTAAATAAATTTATTAAAAACTCTACAGTCCCCAAACTAAACCGCTAATATTAACAGATTGACTAGATTTTTTACAGTGCAGTCACATTGCTTAAACAATATATTGCACGGGTGGATAAAGTACCGCACCGATCTATGGATACAAAACTAAAATACAGTAAAACATTATAAAGGAAAAACTGATGAACACAATACAGAAACGTAAATATTGAGGTTTCCTCGAATTTCCTGTAATAAAAGATGGCGTGGAAGAAACATCTCAAGAAATCAGAGCATTTCATTTGTTATTCGGCCTCGCGCAAACGCGGTACTGTTACGAATCAGTTATTATTATTGCCCAAGCGCAACAAATCGCTTAGCGCTTCATCGATTCACCTTTCGCCTTAGCACACCGAGGAAGTTATCGTGTCTACGGGAGGCCGTATCTTAAGATTCGATGGTTAATGATATGCAAGTTACTTAAATATTAAAATATATAATTTATCTCTATACATAGTCTTTCGAGAAAAATAGATAATTTTCAAGAAAAAATGTAGCTTTAGACCTAAGAGCGAAAAAGCAGAATCACTAATCGCTATATTATTTACTAATTATTCATTTTATTTTTATAATAAGCTCATTATGGCCTTTTTATTTGAGCGATATCACGAAGATCAGCACACTACCGCTGCTTACGACGTTACTTATAGTTTTATGGTCGGTATATATATATATATATATATATATATGTATCGACAATTAATTCGAAACTAATAACTCTAGTTATTATCTAAAGTAATTCAATATTGTGCATTTTTTATAACAGAACGCTTACAATTAGCAATAATAATAAATCTGTTGACGAGTATTTTACAATAAAATTTTATATTATATTCACCTTCCGCTTAATATAATTTAGTACATTTGAAAACTTATTTTTCGCATGTTATTGCACATGATGGAATTATATAAATTAAAAATCGAATCGGTTAGAGCAGCAGCGCGGATGTAAATACCGGTTCGAGTCCCGCCCGTATCGTAAATTCTTTCGAACGAAGTAGATTTTTAATTCATATAATTTCGTAGTATATAAATTATTATTTTTTTACATATTTGTATGTACCTGCACAATACGTTGTGCGTTTCATATAAGAATAATAATACGGCTTATTGGTGTCAATGTTTAATATAACCGCAAATTTAATCGCATTTAATATATTGTGATAATTTTTGCTAACTAGCTGTGCCAACGACTTCGTCCGCGTAGAATAGTTATTTTGAAATCAAAATTTGTTTTTGCAAACCTTCTGTTCAGCTATACAAATTTAATCTTATATCCACGACATCGTACGCGTCTCGTCTTAATTGTGATTAAACCCAAATAGATGAATCATTTTTTCAATTTTTTCCACACTTCCCGCTGTTTCTTCCTTCCTATTAGACGCAGTGAAATGAAATTTTTCAATTCGAACCAATAGTTCCTGAGATTAGCGCGTTCAAACAAACAAACACTTCAGCTTTATATATTAGTATAGATAAATAGAACCTTCTTTTTAACTACGCAAAGGCCGATATTGTTACACTAAAAGCCTCGTAGGGGCGATCTTAGCCTAAGATAACCTAGCAATTATCACATTTCAATTTCCTCCTAAGTATCTTTCTTGCAATCGTTACGAGTTTGAGTAACTTTAAATATTACGAAATATTCACCACATTTAACACGATCAAAAGTAAATATGGGTCTTTGAGAATAGCGCCATCTTCAATGATCTTGGAAAGACGTGATCGAGTTGATAATTTGAATTTAACTAAGACACATACACCTAGGTAGATCCAATGTAAAAGAGATACTAGTTCGCGCAAGGAAATTAAAAAAGATTTATTTTTTGATACAAGCGTTAGGTTCAACGATAGATGAAATAAGTTATATAAATACCGTCTGTAGTTTACGCGAGTAGTACACATTTAAATAAAACGCGATACATATTGCCGTGGTGAAGGTTGACGTAAAAGTGTTTTATTTAAATAAGCCATATACCTCAACAAGACGTGCTGACGCGATTTTCGCGATTTTCCGCGATTTTCCAATAGTTTAATTTTACGCGTTTCAATTCGTTCAAACGTGTTCATATAACGGTAATTATGTATAGTTACCCAAGCTACTAATCACACTTATAGCATATCTACATACACAGTAATAACTTTGAGCCATTTGAATATTGCATCATCGCGTTTCGAACACATACAAAACCCTGAGATTTTTCGTGAATAATTTTACGATATATTCTTGAAGACGTTAATATTTTGCACATGATGGCGTTATATAAATTAAAAATCGATTGTAAATTGTAAAATTTACGACTCGGGCACGGAACGCTGACTGCCGGTTTAAGTCCTGCCCGAATCGTAGATTTAAAACAAAAATTAACATCGATTTTTAACTCAGATCATTATCGTTTAGATAAATGCTGTCATAAGACTCTGGTCTCTAACACGCCTTATACCAGGTTGTGTTGAAATATGTTACTTGAAAACTGTGTGTGTGAAAGAGACGACGCATGCATATGTTGTCTCTTTCGCACCCTTACGTTAGCGGAAATGCAATATGTCCACTATTTTTGTGTCATCTTTCGCAAATCAGATATACCATAGATTAATAGAAGGTATGAACCAGTTTCGTTGTACGGCGTTAATTGGAGACCATAGTCTAAAACCATAGAACGTGTTCTATGGTTTCAGGTGGACGTTGAATCAAATTATAATGGCAGACAAAATCAGTCCAATGATTTTTACCTTAAAATGATTAAACACAATTAATAGGTATCTTCCATATGATTCAGTAGACATAAAATAATCTTAAATACTGTCTATAGTTTACGCGAGTAACATTTAAATAAAACACTAATAGTTTAAAACAGTCTCGCCGAAACGTCGGGCTGAAGTTAAAAATCATTTTCAAATAAGTTTAAGGTTTTGAACGTGATATATTAGTATCACGTTCAAAACCGTTAAAGTGTTTTATTTAAATAAGATAATCTTATTTCACAGGCAAGCTTTGAAATACGGAAATATATCTGTGATGAAACGAAGTAATAAAGAGATTTCTCTTATTCAATAAAATAAGTCACTTTTTATAACACATACTGTTATCGATCGGTCTTTACAAAGTCCAATAATACTATAAGCTGCTGTACATCTTAAACGTCGAAGTTGGTACTTGGCCGTCAGTCAATTTTGTAAGGACCTAGCCAGTTTCGTTAAATACGAACTTTGACGGAACAGATGGCGCTAACGTAGCAATTTTTACTTTGCGTCATCTTTAGACTTCCCGTGACCACGGCTGCTGCAAAGCATCCGAAATGTCGGGTCATTTTCAAACAAGTTTAACTAAATTTATATCGCGTTTTAAACCGTTTCAGTGTTTTACTTCAAAATCTTTAATTCACTTCGAATACGTCAGGAACATTTTAATCAACAAAGCAATTTTTATATCTAGAATTCGTAATGTGATGTTCATTTTATTCAAAGATATAAATAGTGTGTTTGAATTGAAACGCTTGTCAGTGCCAGAAATTTGGTCGTCATCAAAATAATAAAATATGTAAGTAATCAATAGAAACATTACAATAACGGATTGAAACGCGTTATTATTTGTCATGATAGAAAACAAAACTAGAATGATATCGATGATATGGAAACGAAGTCGTTATCCATTAATATCACTTTTAAACAACCACTTGTGAAAATAAAAAATATAGTAGCTAGGACCTTAGCTACAGTCTAATAGGTAGCCCTTAGTGTTTCAATTTCTACTACACTAAGACTATATAGCCTAAAAAGTCTTCTATTAGACGTATTTTATATTCTTTCAATAACCGAACAAGAAAGTATATTTCTACTGAAACCGACGTGGTTCATACAATACCAGAATTACACAGCAATACAAAATGTCAATTGTATCTAATGAGAAGGATAAAAGAAAAAGACAACTGCACCTTACGTCTCATTCGTTCGTATTCGAAGAGACACGTGCGTGAGAGAGACAAAACATATGCCTTGCACTTTCGTACACGACGTTTAAACATTTTGGTGTACATATACCACTTTCTGCAAAATAGATGCAGCCTCAACATTTGCAGTTTGTATCGTGGTATAGGTCGCTTGCCGATACTTTTCTTTAAAATATTTAGTGCGGATATACACCGTGCATGATAAGGAACTCGTGTAGGTCCCTTGGCACTTGTTCCGGACGGTACTTGGCTCCGTGGATGGCTAGAGCTGATGCTGCAAGACAACTAAGACGCGGGTTCAGCGCTGAACGTACGAGGCTCTCCGCTGGGCCTGGGAAAAAGAGAAAAAAAGATTTTAAAAAATCTACACACCGCCAAGCGGACGATGTCGTGTGGCAAAAAAATAGTTTCATAGTAATAAAAGTAGTTACATATAAAATTGTAAAGTAATCTATACTAATATATAAAGAAGAGTTTGTTTGTTTGTTTGAACGTGCAAATCTCAGGAACTACGGGTTCGAATTGAAAAAATATGTTTGTGTTAGTTATCTTATATATAGTTATAAGAGCATTTATCGAGGAAGGCTATAACATATAAAACATGGCACTGCGACTAACAGAAGCGAAGATACAGAGGGAAATGTGAACAAAACGGGAGAAATTTTTCGGCTCTATGGGTTTTAGATGAGTACGCTGCGAAAACGGTTCGAGACATATGGTAAGAAAATATGTACGAAAGAATGATTCCCCTTTAGATGATCTAAAAAAAAGTTCGCGACTCTCAACGACGTGTCAATCTTTAACGATTAACTAGAAAGAGCGAAGGGAAGGGACGCGACCGACGTCGTGGGTAACAGCTTAAGTTTAAAAAGATAATGGGGCTTATAAAAACGAATTTTGCTGACCAAAATACCGATTCTCGCGAACGAAGTCGCTGGCGCAGCTAGTACTAAATAAGTGGTTAAAGACTTAGTGTGTCCAAAACCTAGTTATTAAAATTAGTTGTCGCGAGTGTCTTGTCAGATCTTTATTTGTCTACGCCTTTGATTTGAAACTAAAAGTAAATGAAAATGTAGAGCCTGTATCTATGTTAAAATAAAACACTTGGAACTGATTAAAACGCGAAATGTATTAGTTTAACTTATTTACCAATTATTATAACTTCGGCCCGACATGTCGGATGCATTGCAGCAGCCACCGTCATATGGAGATGCCAGGTCGTAGTTAAAAGTATTTGTAAACTAGTTTCACTAAAACATTTCGCATTTTAAACAGTTAAAAGTGTTTTATTTAAAGGTGTACTACTAGCGTAAACTACTACTGCTAGATCATCTAAGTAACAGTTATATATAACAATGATTATATTATGTAGCTAAATGGTTAAACGTGTTGCCTAGTATTGCGTTAAACTCGAGAGATCCTGGGTTCAAAATTACTGGAAAATAATAAAAAATTTCGGTCGGGAAGGGCACAGAAGCCTGATCAACTACTTGCCCCATGCCCCCACAAAGGGTAATTGGATTTCACTTTATTGTATACTACTAGGTATACTGACCTCCAATAGCGGCGACGAGGGGGGTGATACCATCTATGTCCATGGCATCCACGTGCGCCCCCCTCACAAGCAACTCACAGACGCACGCGCAGAGCGCTTCACTCCACGCTTCGCGCTCATCTAAACAGAGAACTGCACGTTTTATACTTAGTCTCTGCATTTCACGTTAGCATTTCAGCTACATGAAAAAATTGCTAAGGCATTTCAACATTTAGTAATACTTGGAAATAAGCACAAAGCAATGGGTAAGTTAAATTAGGTACGTACTAAATAAAACACTATACGACATACACGTCACTTTCGGACGCTTCACAGCGGCCGTAGTTACGGAAATATTTTTAAAGTAAAGTTCTATAGAAAGTTAACATAATAGGGGATCAGCCAAATATTTAAAAAATGTTTATTAAATAACATTTAGTTTATATATTTCTTTTTATTAACATAAAGAATGTAAGCCTTTGAAGTACTTAAATTGCCAACGTCACGCCGTGGTCGTTACAACGCGTGACGTCATAAGTGGTCATATTCGCAGTTTGTACTAAGAGGCGCTTAACGACTGCCTACGAATGACGTCACACACTGTGATTGGTGATTCAGTAAAAATGAAAATATGATATGATATCTTAATTAACGGCCTTATTCAATTTAATTGAATGCTATTGTATTATTATTATTATAAAAACGTTTTTTCTTTAGGTCTTTAATTGTAGTATTGTCTGATCCCCTGTCTGTTCATCAGAATTATCAACTTAAAGAAATTATAATTTAAACGCGCTCGTTGGTGTAACGGTAGCATTGATAATCAACGGGTCGTGGGATCGATCCTCCCCAGGTCTTAATTTTTTTTATTAATTTCTATTTTTTCTAAAACTGTTACTCTTATTGGAGTTCGTCTAAAAATCTAGATATTAAACAGGTGGTAGGAATATCGAAATTCCACACACCATCCACAGATGAAAAAGCCGCCAAGAGTATTCTAGGTTTCAGTCTATGGACTTCCGGATATACAAAGCCAATGGGTCGACAGCACATCCTGTTAAGATGTTACATGGCTGGGGTACACCTACCATCGAGTAAACTCCATGCATGCAAACATAGCAAGATGAACCCTAAATATAATGATTCCATTCCCCAAACCCCTAATTCGAATTACCCCACAGATAATATAATGGACTCACCGGGCATAAACTGATACGACAATAAGGCGACATGTAGCGCTGTTCTCCTCGAATCATCAGCAGCGTCCACATCAACACCACAGTCTAGCAACAGTCTAGTTGTTCTCGTACAAGGGAATCTATCAATACATAATATTACTTTAGAGATCATTATAATTTCCTTAACAGTATTAATAACCAAGGGCTCGTGGGATTATTATATCAGATTCGTCAGTAGTTTAATGGAAGCAACTAGCCGCCCGCGACACGGAATCTTAGTATAACTTATCATTATTATTTTTTATTGGAGACACCGATAAACGGCCGGATGATCAGTCCACGCCATTTGCTGACCATTTCACTATTCCCCCTCTGCGGAGGTCGTTGGGTTATCCGACTCTAACTGTGTCCCTTCAAACCTTCTGGTTCTTTTGTAGAATCTCGTTCGAATCGAATCGAATTAACGTCTCGATAATAAAGCAATTAATGAAGAGATGCAAGTAACACACCCTAATGAGAACTGGAAATGATATTTTTTGCAAAAAAAAAATATCTTTGTTTTGATATTGAATATTGTATTCCTTCCGTAAACATAATTGAGTATACTGACTGGCACACATCACTAGTATGGAAGTCGTCAACTGGAGTCCGCCTGTCCACGGCCAGGTGCAAGAGCGTCCCGCCAGTCCTCAGACGGGCTTCACGCAAATTGAAAACCGCACGCCTGATTGCTCTCGATGTCTCCTACGAGAAAATTAAAAGTTTGACAACTTTAAATTTTTTTTCACATGTAATTGCACATTATGGCACTATATAAGTTAGATATTGAGTATAAATTGAAAAAAATACGACACGCGCGGGACTTGTACCGGCATCCTCGGCGTTCCGTGCTGTTGCTCGAACTAATTGAGCTACCGTGTCCTACACGACATCGTCGAATTTTTTAACCTATAATACATGACCTCTCGAGCAATGTAATTTCAACCTTAACAATTGGGTGTTAAGGTTCAATGTCTTATGCTTTGCAGCTTAAGAAAATCATTCAAGGTGAAATTTCAATTTATAGTGTATTTTATAACTTAAAAAAAAAACACAACAAATATGGCCGCTTTAAACCATAGACACCGAAATTGGATGATTCATTAGTCCAAAAAATGTGTGGTCTTGATGTTAATTACAGACGAAAACTGACCCTCAAGTGCTATGAAGAATTTTTTTAAAGCTTCTCTAAACTATCACACTATAAGTTGTTCACATCAAAGCTTACCTTTGTAGAGAAAAGAAAAATAGTGCATACCTCATCATTGTTGGGATTCTCCAACAATCTCGCTGCAACGGCGACTAGATAAAGTGCCGTCCGCACATTGCTTTCATACTCTTCCTGAAAAAAAAAAACGCTTAAAATTATTCTTAAATCCAAAGCCAAAATAGATAGCGCATCTTGTTTAAATGTTTTACCATATGCTTGTCTTCTTCTATCATAAAAAAAGAAAATTTTAATGCTTTCTTCATGAATCGTAGAATATACGACATAAGTGTAAATACAAAAATGACCCTTACTATCAACGCCTCTGGGTCGTGGTTGCCTTGCGGTTTCTCCAGCCTTTTTGTCCCCCTCCTCAGTTCTTCAGCGCATGCCTCCAATACGAAACATACCTATAAATTTTAAGAATAAACATAATTCTCTCTAACTCTAATACTGTCTGTCTGTCAGATGAAAATAAAACACTTTAACGGTTTAAAGCGTTTTATTTAAATGTAGTACTATGACAATAGAGACACCCTCCTTTAGTCTCCCCGTGACCACAGCTGCTATGGAGCAGAATCCGAAACGTCGGGCCATATTTGAAAAAAATTCTAAATTAGGTTCACCGATATATATCGCGTTTTAAACCGTTAAAGTGTTTTATTTAAACATAATTATTCTGAAAAATATAAGATTTTATTAGTAGATGTTCGGATTTGTGTATACGACAAATGAGTAACAAACTAACACCGGAACGACAAGCGAAACAAAAGTCGCTTCTTTAGAAGTTTTGATAACAAAGTTATTATTATTAGAGCTATATTATTGCTTTTAGTTTAGCAAGCTTAAGGCCGGAAACTCCTCCCCGAATTTTTCTAAGCCAATCACAAAAGATTTGGAACAAACCGGATGTACTTGCGTCTTATAGTAGATTACAGATTCGTGCCCAACAATTTAGTATTTTCTCTGACACGATCAGCTTAACATGTATAGTGAAAAATAATTTCGACATTACCTCGTAAAAAATGCAAACAAGCTAAATATATTATTTTTTACAACTACCCACCCGTGTTTTAAATTTCATGACGCGTAAGAGATTTCCAAAGTATTTTCTATGTAAAAGTAAAGAAGACAGTATATTACCTGATCGAGTGGTAATTCGATACCGATATGTATCATTTGTGAAAAGACTTGAGCGAACCGCAGCAGATCCTTCACCACAGACACCTGGAAAAAAGAATTACGTTACGTCATATCTACACTAACGATATGGTTTTAACGCACTTATCTCAGGAACCACTGATTCGAATTGAAAAAATATCTTTGTGATAGATCATATAGGCTTCATGCTGTATAATATCACGCTGTGACCATAGGGAGCAAAGAAACAGTAGGAAATGTGGATAAACGGGTAAAGTTATTTAAATTTTCCTTTCCGTTGCGAGCGCTGCAAAAACGGTTTAAGGGACCATTAAATATGGATAAAATAATGTATTTTTTAAATGGCCTACAAATGTCAGCAACAGTATTTTTGTAACTACTATAGTTTATAATGCTAAGGAGGTTACAGCGGGCACAGCTGGTTAAGTTATAAACGAATACGACTTATGTATTATGTCTGTCATTTAAATTTGCCCTGCAATAAACTAACCTGTACCTAACCTTACATAGACTTTAGGGCTAACACTATTATGAATTAGTATTTATGTGAGTTACTTATTTAAGTATGTGAGTTACTCACAGCGTTAAGATGCCTCAACATCAACGCGTGCCTCCAAAGCGCCAGACAGCGGTCGAAACGAGCTTCGTCAGCGAAAACGGCGCCACGAAAGACGACTGGATGAGGAAGGTCCGGGCAACGTCTGCCCAGAATGCGTTCGCGCACGGTTAGACCTTCCATGTGAAGTGCATGTGGGTTACCGTGTAACCGTTCCACCTCCTGCGCATATGAGAACAGATATATATACATATAGATAGGTTGAGTGCGGTAATGGACTCGGGCTAATAAAACAAACAAAAATACTTATGACGTAAAGAAATACATATATGTCTGACCAAAATTTTATTTTCAACATTTTATCAAAGTCATATCGCATAGGAACATATAGTGGACAATCAAGGGCGGATTCAGCTTTCGTCATAGTTGTGGTCAAGTCAAGCAACGATGTAATAGTAGATACAAATAAAAAGTAGGTTATTTATTAATGTGCATACGTAAGTATACTTTACTTTAAAATATTCATTCCGAATGTACACTTAAAGACTTTGAGATGTGATAATTAAAATCAATGCGTTTGTGGTCAAGCTAAGTCTTAAAATTTTAAAATTTCGGGGGAACCAAAGGGGTCACGACCCCTTTGGATCCGCCGGTTAAGATTAAGAAGTTAAACTGATTATCTACTTGTGCACACAGTGTGTCGTTTCGGTTAAATATGAATTATATTATCCTACGAGACTAACCTCTAATGTGGTACTCTCTCTCCAATTGTCATAAGCTGGTATAGGTTCGGCCGGTTTCTTGAGCAACTGTCCATATCGAGTGTCATACCTCATCGTCATTGCTCTGTGTAAATATTGATACGCCATCTGGAGGACAAACGGCATAACACAAACTGAACTAGACGAATTTCAACGCTACCTAAATAATCTTTCTATAATACTAATAATGGAATTTGTAAGTGAGAGAAATGTCGAATGAGAAAAGATTACTTAAAACAGCATATTTCATTCAAATATGGAGTTAGGTATAGCTCTAAATAGGTTCATTTACTTCGACTAACCCGTAAGCAATAATACTCCTTATCATTAGCGAAGGAAGCGCCCAGCAACTCGAACGATTCTATCGCCTGCGCACGAGTCACTTCCGACCGCGCCGCTAATATCTCTACTACTGATGCGCGGGCGCGTTCCGCCGCACATTGCAGTGGTGTCATACCTAAAGAACGTTATAACCATCTATACTTTTTATATAACCACACTGTGACAGCGACATCGTCCGCGTAGAATAGTTGTTTGGTGCGTCAAAAAAAAAACTCTCTCTCTCTTCTAATTGGAATTCTTCGAATCATGCCGCAGCGCACGCAACGGGAAACCCTCAAAGGTTAATAATTTTCCTTGTTTTCCACACTTATTTGATAAATGCATAACCAACAGAAAATAATTGTTCAATTAGAACCAGTAGTTCCTGAGATTAGCGAGTTCAAACAAACAAACGCTTCAGCTTTACAATTTAAAGTATAGATTGCGCCATGTCATTGATCATCTATAATTTGAAAACTTCAAATAAAGATTAGGTAGAGTATTCGGCATTAATACAAAATTCGATTAATTGGGTTATTTTTACCTGTTGTTCGTGTATGTATAGTATAATGTATAATAGTATTTTTACCATTCTCATTCGTAAGTATTTTTGCATTGTGGTCGATGAGCGCGCATACAACAGCGGCATGTCCGCATTCTGCAGCAAAATGTAAAGCTGTCGCACCGCATAGTGCCCGTTCGTCTACCCTCGCGCCGCTGTCTAATAAAAATTGAACCTACAAAGAAGACAAAATCATTGAAAATGCTGATAAGAATGAAAGACCTCCTGCATTTTTTAATTTTGTCCCGATTTTAAACAAGCAAGAGACCTATCAACCTAACGTTATGTCTACTTCTAGACTAGACCCTAAACCTGCCTGCAATCTGTCTCGCTTTGCATCTAAGCCATTATGGCTGCATATACAAAACTTAGATGCCACTTTCCTAATCAAATTTAGAAATTCTGCAACATATTGGACTTCATCTGAAAATTTGAATATTAAATGGATAGTAGGAATATCGAAATTCCCGAAGTCCCGAAGGGTCACGAATTGCTGTCCACAGATGAAATGCCGTGAAGTGTAGTCGTGTTTCGCTTTCAGTCTGTGGATTTTAGAATCCGAAATCAAAATAGGTCGGCGGCGCATCTTGTTTAGATGTTATATAGCTTGGGTGTATCACCTACAATCGAGTAAAGCCCAAGTTTTTCTGTTCTCATAAAAAAATTATGAACACTCACCACATCCAAATGGCCCTTATATGCGGCTATCATCAAACAGGTATTATTATATTTATTTGCTTTGTGAATGTCGGCCCCATGCCTAACCAGATATTTGACTATATCCAGGCGACCATCAAAGCACGCTGCCCTTAGTGGGGTGCTAAGCGTCTTAGTGGCATGATTCACATTGGCTCCAGCGCGCACAAGTCGTTTAACAATACCTAAGTGGCCTGCACCGGCTGCACACCACAATGCAGTTGCACCTGAAATTTTTGTTCATTTTCAACGTTAACATATACAAATAAATTTATGTTTAAAGCTTTTTTTAAATTTAAGAATTTAAAAAAAAATTAAATAGATTTCTTATTTAAAATTCTTGAATCCACAACAAAAGGTTGTCGTGATCATTACGTTGAAAAAAAAGACAGATAATTTCTTTCTTAAAATAATTCCTATCAATAAATTATGTAGTATAGCCGAGCATTGCTGGTATACGCACTAGGGTAACTAAACTAAATTGTGGATTTTCTATTAAAAGCTCTGTTTATTATCTCCGTTGAAAACTAACCTGTCAAGTACAAAAAATCCCTGATGGTTTCTAAAAGCAAATAAAAATTTAAATGATATTTCAATTAATGGGAAACCTACATCATCATTTGAATATCCAATTATCTTGTATTAATCATAGTCCAATTAATAGTGATGATAAAACCGGACTATCTTAAGCAAAGGCACTTCTACTTTAGCATGCTGTAATAAGCATATGAACATGTATACACTGCCAGCAAAATTCACACAAGACCGCATGACTAGGAAAACTTAGCCGACGCATAAATGCAATACCAGGTGGATTTATAACAGGACGATGGCTGAATTAATTGGTGTAAATCATAAGCATTAAACAAAGATCTGGATGACTGCCAACAGAAAAGTTGGTGCAACTGAAAATGTAGCATCCAGTTTCTTTGTGTACAAACGGAAGATTCTAAATATAAACTGCCACGCGCTCACGATGACTGCGTAAAAAGTCAACGATCTTAACGCCTTCCGTGATGAAAGCGACTTGGAAAATTTAACAGGGAGTGTCTTTTTTTAAATAACATTTTCTAATTTAAAGAAAGGGAAACACGTTTCTTTCTCGTTTTGGAGGTACAAAATTTCGTAAACAAAACAAATTGTATAATTTGTAAGATAAAATAATATATTTACAAGAGATATTCAATATCAGGATGAAAAACACATTTTTTTATTAATATTGAGAGCCTTCCGGAAACATACAGTTCTTGGCCAAGATTTTTTTTTAGTGAGATGACGCGATTTAATCTGATAAGAGGTTAGTAATGTAAGGAAGTATTTCGTTTTGTGTCATGATGACTATTAATAATAACATACCTTCAATGACATATTCATCAAATTTTACAGTCCCTTCTGTTTCTAGTCTAACAGGTGGACGGAATTTCTCTAAAAGTATACGGACAGCTGCCTCCCGACCATGTCTTGCAGCAGCAATAAGAGGAGTACATTTGACTCCATCACAGCATACATCCTGGAAAAGTATTCCTTTTATAAAACTAAGAATACTAGAAATTCCTGAGCCTCTATTTAGAGTATTGAGATTATTGGCCATTGTTTTTTGAGAAACAATTTGTTTTTATATCAGGAATGTTGAGGGTACTTGGATTAAATGCCATCAATCTTTGTTGAGTACACAACATAATGTGAATATTTTTGGATATGGCAAGACAAGTCTATGATATATATTTATAAAATAATATATAAAAAAAAAGATTCTCAAAATATATAACATACATGATATGAGTTATAAATATCAAATGTGAAGACAGTGAGAGCAAAAATGGTTAATTTTCACAAAAAGAGGATCTACAACTCTCAATAGTAACAGAAGTTAATTCTTTGTGTTTATATTATTTGAGCCCCACAATCTTTTGATCATCTTAATTTTTATATAACTAATTATCAAGATAGTTTTAACATGGTGTCTATTAACATACCTATTACTTTAATTGTAGTAATATTAAATTTTATTGTACCTTAAATAATATATTTTACTATACCCAATGGTTTTCTATATAAAAAAATTCTGTTCTGTTCTGTTTTGATTATTTTTTTTACAATATTGCAACTAAGTAAAAAACCAAGTGTCTATGCAGTGATTTAAACAGTTTTTCAGATCAAAAACCGTTTAAACCATTTATTTACTGCACTGAAGGTTATCCTAAGCTCAAAAATAAAATATAATGTCAAGATAATTATACAACGCAGATAAATCACGCAATAAAGATTGACTTACCAGACCATAAATCGAATATAAAATTAAGACATAATATTTACTAAAAGCACTTACGTTGTTCAAAAGATCGTCTATTTCATCTGTATTCTTCTCATACAGCAAAGCATATAAAGTTAATGCCATTCCATCTCTAGCTGCGAAAAACACTCGATCCCTTAGATTGCTTGACAAATCATCCAACATCAGTTTGTCATCCATGGCGATGAATACATTAATTTGGAATATTATTACAATAAACTCCACCACACTAGTTCTTGGTAATATATTACACAAATATACATTAAATGATTACAACTGTGTGTTGTAAAATGTAAAGAAACGTCAAGTTTACCAGCACCATTCCACAGCATTAGAGTTCATCACAGTTGTGAAAAATACTAAACAAGAATCCACAGACTTTTAATTATACATCTGTGTATGAACTACTATAGAATATGGAAAATATAGAATCTATAGAAAAAGTGTCAAAAGAGAACGGCATCACTTGCCACGTTTTGTCCAAGTGGAATGTATTAGCCAATAAGAATTGGGAACGCAACCTTTCAAAAAGACAAGCCTTTCAAATTCAGATTTTTGTAATCTGTTTGACTTGTATTAGTTGTTTTAATGCTATTTATTTTTGACGTGTAAGTTATCTACCGCTTCCCATTTATAATTTGAATTAAATTTACAAAACTTTACTAATACATAGTAGATTGATCTCAATTGTTATTATAATGTCTAATGGTCAATGGGAAGTTGTCGGTAAAAATAAGAAGTCTCAGAATGGAAAGATGAAAAGTACTAATGATGAGAAAAAGACTAGTAAACAGGGGCCGAAATTAGAAGATTTGGGTAAGTTTGATATATAATAATCGTTTTTTTTAATATGCAACATAATAACGTAATAATTATATCGCCGTAGTTCCGGCCTCGCAAATAAAGTCCTATTATTCAGGGATGGAAATCGATGATACGAAAAGACCGAAGGATAAAAAGAAAGAAGGAGAAAAGAAGCCTAAAAAACAAGATAAAAAGGAGCCATCAAAACCTAAGCCACCCAAAACAATTGAAGATGCCTTAGAAGCAGTAAGTAAACAGTATATTAAATGATTCTGTATTAAATAATTAAATGTTAATAATAATATTCGTATTTTTAATGGCATTATCTGTCAGTAAAAATACTCACATGTTTATTCTATCATAAATGTAAATTTACATCTATTAACATAAATTATAGAATTATTAGTGTCTTAGGCTGCTATTAAGTTTCAAAGAAAAAATAGTCCTTCATATTACATATACAAATTATATAATAGTGTAATACTGCATATACAATTTATTCGAAACCTTTAAAATGCTTTGATACTAGGCTTATTTAATCAATTTTTGATCTCACTTGAAGGCTGCTATTATGTAGTATGCAACACTGAAAATTTTTTTTTTTCAGATTGATGCCACAGAGCTCAACAATCTCATAACAACAAATAAACTTAGATTTTCAAATGCTCCTTTAGTTTGGTTAAAGGAAATATCAAATTTCCTCAATTCAAAAATTCCTATAGATGTTGATGATCCTACATTTACTAACTACCCTCCTACTTACCCAGTCAATGTTATACCTAAAGATATTAAAACGAGTCTAGATAATGTATTACGAGATGCAGGGAAAGCAAACATTCAACTGTTTTTTGATGTTAGTCTAACAGCTCTCACTAATGATATGAGCCGTGGTAAGAATTACATTTAACTATAGTAAGTAAACTTTCTCTATCCTTATTGTGATTAAAATGATATTTGCTTTTTATATTCAGGACAGGTTGTAAATGGACATAGACTTTTCCTACAGTTAATAGCTTTAGAATATCCCGATTTCTGTATCACCTCTTTGTCCAAGAGTGTGAGTCTGAGAAACTCCTATCAGAATCGTCCACCTATTGGTTTGTCACTTCTGTGGGCTTTGGGCCAGGGTGGATATAACAACTTTGCGGTTGGGATGAAAGGTACAATTTTAAATAATATTATCATTTAAAAATATTTAAATTGCAATAATTGAGACTAGACCTGTAATTTTTATACAAACATATGCACACTTGTAGACTACTATAACTGTGTTTAGTATTCCTATCATCAAGATCTTTATGAAATCTGAGAAAAATCATCTATCACTTTGACATGCAAGCTGATAAGCAACCTGTCATCTTCTTAGTTTTATCAGTTTCTTGACTGAATCTAATGTAGGCCATTAAAATCGTTTATTAGTTGTTCACATACCAGGTGCGTAACAAATCTACAAAGTGTATAAATAGTTATTGTGATTATTTAATAATATAGTAATATTCTTCTAGTATTTCTTAAGAAAATAAGTATTAATATCTGTGTTTGTTCTATATATTGTATGTACTCTTAGGAATGCATACATTACATAAATGTGCTTAAATTAACCGTAAAAGTGTTGTCCTTGCGCATATCTAACTAATTTGAAGATGCAATATGCAAAATAATTTATTGCATAAACGTAAAAAGTGAAGAAATCAATATTTTGTCATCCAATTCCCATCCCTTGAAATCACTTTAATCAGCAATAACAATTATCTATCTCTTTTTAGTTTGGCAAGATATATTCTTCCCAATAATTGAACTGAAGAATTACACAAAGTACATCATCTCGTATTTGTCTAAGCATTTGGATAGACACGCAAGAATGGATGCTACTAAAGTTAGCCAGGAGCAATTGCTGACAATGTTTGATACAATCAATAGTAAGAAAAATGGACTGTCTAGAGAATTGTCAAGTGACCTTATCAAACAATTAATTAAGTATAAGGTAATGTATTTTGTAACAGAGAAGGCGGAGGTTTGATTAAAGATGACATTTGCGCTATGTATAACATTTGATTAAAATATGCTATCAGACTACTGTAATCTACGGATTAGGAACCAAATCCTTAGGTTGTTTCATCTATAGATGGTGGTTACCACCTCTTACTTATAGATACTTTAATATATTTCTACCACTGTTTTAGTGTTCAGATCCTTTGTATGTAGCATTATTAAGAACTCCAAATTGATTGAAGTTGATTCTTCCAGACTCAGTCTCTCATTTATACCCTTGACTTAGTATTTATTAACACCCTTTCAATCTTTACTTACATTGGTAATCTAATAAGAATCTAATAGTTGTAAATACTAAGCCAGTAAGTTAAAGTATACCAATGAAAACAAATTGAGATTTTCAGGATATTTACTTCAGTAAGAGTGGCAACAAACTCCAAGTGACCTTCAATCAACTTATGAAAAAACTGCCAAACCAATACCTCAGTGGTGCAAACCTGGATAACTATAATCAAGTGATAGTTGAAAGCCTTATTGACTGCTTAGCTCTAGATGACTCCTGTAATGCGACGTGGCGACAATTATTCAGTCGATGCAGCAAACAGAGTGCCAGTTTGATTGAGTATATAGGTATGTTGTCCATAATATCCATTACTTAGCTATACATTGTTTTTATTTTTTATTAAACTAGATGTGCTGTTCAGTAACAACCTATTTTGACTTTGGATATTTGGAAATCCACAGACGATTCAATGTGACGGCTTTTTCATCTGTAAACGGTGGTTCGTGACGGATTTCGATATTCCGGACATACATTTAATATCCAAATTTCCAGATGAAGTCCAAAATGTTTCAGACAACAAATAAATTTAATGGAAAAACGTTAAACCCGGCAGAGATGGAATCCTCTAACGGTATTCCTAAATTTGATTGTTTATTTATTGTTTAGACACAAATTGGGCTGCTGTTAGTCCTCGGCTAAAGCAGAAGTCGCTGAAGTTGACGATAACTCAATTTAAGGAAGTGTGTGGTGAAACATTGAAGGGCAAAAAGAAAGATGAGACTGTAGTTAAAGCAAACAAAATTTGCCAGGTAAGATTTTAGTTACCTGTTTAAAACAGATGACTTATTAGTCACTTAGTAGACTCCATTAAAGACTCAAACTTCCATTTGTAAAACAGACTGATCAAAAGATCATTTCAAAAACCTCTGATTGTATACTTGTTTTATTAGTCTTATCATCTAAAAGGTTTCATAATCACGATTTGCGAAAAAATTAGGCAACACTAGTTAAATAAATTTTAGCCAAAATGTTCTTATTCATATTTAAAACTTGGCGGCAATTGAAACTAATAAAGACAACGTATATGCTACTCTACTTTTGACAGTTGTCTATAGATGCACACGTTTTTACTTTTATCTGTGGTAACTTTAGTACCTAGTGAGAAGTAAAGGGAGTAAGATTTGTCTCGTCTCTTGGTACCTATATAAATATTTCGAAACACTTAAGTCTTAATGCTGTTTTTATCGTTGTGAAAGTGATCTTTTAAAATAGTGTTTTACATTTCATTAATCGACAAAAGTGTGTAACAGCTCCAGATAAAATCCCATTGCGTCTTTAAAGTTAAGGTATGCTATTTCATATAGGGCGTTGTTTTATTAAGTTAACATTTTCCAAAATATGTGTTTGGTACGAGAGTGCTTATGACGTAGACAACATATCCATCATATAACTGTAAACTACCAGCGTAACTGGTATCTAGTGAACATCCGCCCTGCTATGCGGGAGTCTTATTAAATGATTTTCGACGCAAATACATTATAGATATTTATTTCTATAATGTCGAAGCTCAGTTTTTAGGGCTTCAAAAAATAAGAATATCACAATTATTTTACGATTTTTTTCAAAGAAATGTTTGTTACAAACTATAAATGTGTATAACAAACGATAAATATCCCCAATGTATTAGGAATATTTATCGTTTATATTAATACACAAGGAAAATAGGAGAACTAATTTAAAGGAAGAATTAAATTTAACTCACAATCCCATAATTTGTGGATTTATTTTTATTTTATTTATTTATTTATTTACAAAAATTCCTACCTTAACAGGTTAAACCTGTTAAGGTAGGAAATTAAAAAAAGGAAAAGGATTGCTTATTGCTTATAACAACTTTATTAAATTTCTTAGACATATGTACATGATATATGATAAATCTTTTTAACAGGATATTCTAGAAAGAATGACAAGTACTAGAAGATTCCCTTGGCTATGGGCAATTTTCATCCTATTTATCAGTACCGCTGGTCTTATATCTTATGATGTATCTCGAGTAAATGGAAACTTCCCCAGTGAGTACCTACTGCACATTTTATTTAGGATTGTGAAATTCTAGCATAAAATACATTATTGATAAGGTACATTTTAACAAATGCAATTAAATTTGCATATGTATGAGTTACCTAAGAGTAAACTAAACATGCGTATAAGTGATTTTAAGCAAAGGTCATTATTTATCACTGCATAAATACAAAACTTGTTATTCCAGCTACTATTATGAACTTGTATATGTGCATATTTAATTACATATATTCTTGTATTAATTATTACATTGCAGGCCTAAAATGAACTTACAAAATAACGGATTTTATTGTCAACCATTTCAGAAAGTGCAACTGGCCAACTTTTAAATGACTTGGGTCTCTTAGAGCACAGTCAAACAGCATGGCAAAAGACATTATCCACATCTGCTCGAGGCTACATCTGGCTTGAGGCAAATGTACCTATTTATTACATGCAAGCTGCCGAGTTCTCAAAACCCTATGTGCAGCTTTCTAAAGATCTTTACACTATTGCAATTAAAAAATCCGGAATTGCATACAGTAATGTGAAGGATTATGTTATTGAGAAGACACCTGTTGTGGTCGCAACTATCGACCAGTATATGCCTGGTGCTGTGGAAACTGTTCAAATGTATTTCACAACCGGAGTTGACACAATGAAAAAGTATTCAAATCAATATTACCAAGCTGCTGTTGAATACCTAACAACAAAAGTTTTTGTGTGAGTTTGCATAGTAAATACTTTTTTATCTTAAATTTCCTGTTTTCAAGGTTGGCAAGATCTTCAATAGTCTTCTCTTTTAAAATGCTTAAATATTTTTAATTAAGACTGCCAATTTTTTTCTTCTTATGTAATAAATATGCAATCGTTTTTCCTTGTGTAAGTCCGTCTTCGTCTTCCAATCAAATTGGGAAATTTTGCAAACGTAGATATGATATAGGTATTTGGTATTTTTACCCACTACATCTTGCGCTTAACGCAATAGTAGACGCGCTTACCACGCGTTTATTTGAGGCACTGAAATGGTAAAAAGAACACTTAAAGACATTGACTTTTAAGTATTACACCGTATATTGCTTTGTATTTTCAGAGGCGAATGGGCGCCAGAGATACTACAGAACAAAACGCAGATAGCACTGAATGCTACTAAATCGCATGTCAACGATTACTTGCATTGGTTCCACAAGCAAGTGCACACATACTCCAAGATTCCGTGAAGAAAGTGAACTGTTATGGTGAACCTCTGTGACTGTGAATATAGTGTTGTGCTATTGTGTCAACCAATTTTTAACATGCAAAATTAATTAGTGGTATTAGCTTTATTTATGAAATGCAATAATGTTTAATATATTTCCATAGATACAATCTAAGAGTGTTATAATCAACATGTTTATAAAGGTCATGCACCTCCTGTTTATCGTATGGGAAAGCAACAATAAATGCTTTCATTATCAATAATTTTAAATGTTAAAACACCGATCACTTTGTTAATTTATAGTTGTGCATTTGAAACGAAATCTAAATTTCTGGTTGGCACAATCTTACTGACTAATTCTAGATTAGTTTTTTGCTTTCAACATTGTGGTGTGAAAAATATCTTGATACAAAAACATATGTTACATTTTATTCCATTGCAAGGCTGAACATATAATTTTATCATCTCTGATCATGCAATGAATTTACCATTTTAATTATTACATTGATTTTTTAATATTTCATCATGCCATGATGTGCACAAATCAATTTTTGTTGTAATCGTAAGGGCTTTTTCATAATTATATTGTGACAACATATGTTTTAGCATTTCCGACATGTAGTGATGTTGAAACCCTATTATGAATAAATTTATACTATTTAAATAACAACGAAATTAAATTTACATAATATGAAGAGATTTATGAAGTTTTTCAGACTGATGAACTCATTGAGTAATTCCATAAATGAAATTAATTCCATGACATTAATATAATTCAGTATTCAAAAACATTCCTTTATTCACAGGTTATCTGAGAGTTATCAAACCAGTTTTAAGCAATGTGAAAACTTCGCTATAAGGTCTTTGTAGTGTATTTATTTCGTGTTGAGTGTGTTTTAAAGTTTAATACAGAATTGGAATTGATATCTGTTTTATTCCTATTTCCTTAACACAGAAAACAGAAAAAGATGGGGGTAAAATGGTTATGGCTAAATTTATGCTCCAGACTTATGTCTAATCAGATTGTCGATCTATTTTGGTTTTGGTACTTTAAGACCTAACTGTCTCTTAAATAACTTTATCACTCATTTGATTTAGATATCCCAGATAAAGTCTAACATGATTCAGAAATATATATATATATTTTTTAATGTCGATTTCTCATTATTAATCATGTACTAAGGAGCCAAAAGTGAAAACCATACTTTGTTTATCCAAGAAATTTATTTGTTATTGTTAAAAAATAAATTTTCCGTGTTTTCATAAATAATGTCAGCCAATTCACCGATATCGTCCCCGCGGATCGCTGCTACTATTTCCAACACTTGGCTGAAACACAAGATTAAATCGAAACAACACTACTTAGTAGGTGCACAAACAATAATAATATTTAAATTCTTAAATTTAAGATTAGATACTAGAATTTTAATGTAAGTATTTTCACTTTTTTTTGCAAAATCAACAAAACGCTAAAGAAGATACAGTTAGCGTTACATAAAGCGGAGAGTTTGTTTGAACACGCTTATCCCAGGAACTACTAGTTCAAATTAAAGAATATTTTTATTATACATTATAATTTATAAAAAGTTTGACGCCTAATAACTATTCTACGCGGATGAAGTCGCGGGCACAACTAGTGTTAGTGTGCTAAATAAAATGAAACAGAATGTCAACTTACATTATATTAGCTGGTTCATTTCTTCCTTTCACTTGAGTGTTCACTTGTTGTGAATACTTCTCCTTCTTCACTGTAGACGGCTTTGTCAACACATGTTTATAACCAGGATGTGTCGCCTTTACTTCACACCATGGGCTATCTGTTTCTAACAGCAATCTATCCTTTGGGATCTTTGATACCACTTCTAAACTTTCCATAGTCCGCAGCGAACTATAAAATAAAAATTATATTATAGAAGCATGGCATATCCACTGACACTAATGTGAAATTTCTTTGTTTCCAGTTGCGAACCTGGAACCTTCTGCCGATGCGATGGGGATTATTAAGGGGGTGACCTAGTATAAAAGGTAGTGCGTGATCTAGTGTTTTACTATGAGATCCTATTGGTCTAAACATTTCATCATATTTTGTAAAATGTATAAAAGTTGATTTAATTACCATCCATTTATTCCAATGTGAAATCCCAGTTCTAGAATTTTCTGCAGAGCATCATAAGAGCCATCAAATGAATGAACAACACCACCAGTTATATTGTCACGGTGCTTTTGTAATATATTAATAAGATCATCGGTGGCCGCACGACAATGCAAAAACAGTGGTAATTTATGGTCAGCACATAAATTCAGTTGTAGGTCAAAATACCTGGAAACAAAGAGGTGCTTCACAGCCAGGCACAGGTTCCAGAGCTTTGACCCACCACACAGATCTAGTCAAGATATGAAAAAGTATCAATTGAAATACTGTCTGTAATTTGCAAGTAGTACAGATTTAAATAAATGACTTGAACAGTTTAAAACATATTTATAATAATATATATTAGTTAAAGTAAGTGGTCACAGGGGACAGGGCTGCTGCAAAGCAAAGCGATTTCGGGCCTGTAGTTAAAATAATTTTCCAATTTAATTAATGATGATAACTGATAATAACCCATACACTGCCATAATCTAGAACACTGCACTTTTACCACCATTATTGGATTCTAGCCCAAAGCACTAGGCACAATAAGGGCATGTGTACAAAGCTCATGAGTTATCATAGTTAAAATGCAAACAAGTCTTACTTGCATTGAATATCTTTTTCGCAGAAATGTAATCTGTCATAGTCCAATCCAAATTCACCAATTGCAATTACTTTCCCCTTATTATCTGATATCAGATTACTGAGGCATTTGAGATATGTATCTGGATCACTGAGAAAATCATTGCATCTCGTTGGATGACATCCTACAGTGGAAAACAAACGGGCTGAAATTTATTATAACAAACAGAATAGATATATTGTTGAATGTGTATACTATATTACATACGCATTAGTTTTTCATTATAAATATAACAGATACTATTTTTATTCCAATAAAACTGTTTTTAGTTTTTTTCTTACTGAAAAGACTTCTTTCCGTGACTTGACCTATTATTTTATTTATATAAAGTATCACATGCATTAACACATTATAAAAAATAGTTCTCTTACAATCAGTTGACGCCAAACTTAAAGCCTTTTGACTGTCTAATAGATTCCCACCAGTAATTATTATTTTTTCTAAACCGCTTTTCCAAGCACGGTCTAGAACGGATGCTAAGTCTGGGTCATGTTTCTTTGACCCATTATAAACACCCCGATACATGTCATCTGTTAAATTAGCTCCAATATCTGAAAATATAAAAAAGGAACTGATGTGAAAAAAATCCAACTTCGTTAATATTTAAAAGATTCTAGTCATGGTACAGTGTAGCACAACCCAGAGAGTCATTAGACAACTCCTACATAAATATATTTATAAATAATTAATGATATCAAATTAGTAAATAATTAATATCTAGGTATAAATAGAAAAATACAAAAAAAGTATTGCTTATACCATTTTATAATCAAGGTTACTTTTGAATAAACGTAATTTACCTATAAAAGTTTTTAATTTTGACATTATTCGCATAAATATGAAATATTTCAGCAAAAATATAATTGAAAATTACTGAGCACTGCTAAGTGCTAATAGCGGCTGTTAAACAGGACCTAATGTCAATTGTCAATGTCGCAGCATAAAACCTATAGAATCTATGCTAATATGTAAAGCTGAAGAGTTTGTTTGTATGTTTGAACGCGCTAATCTCAGGAACGACTTCTAAATGAAAAATTATTTTTGTGTTGGTCGAGCATTTATCGAGGAAGGCTATAGGCTATAAAACATCGCCCTCGGACTAATACGAGGGAAGATACAGCGAGGTATGTCAAAAAACATGGGAAAATTATTCATCACTATGCGTTTTCGAGACGTACGCTGCAAAAAGAATCTTTAAATGTTTATAAAAGTTTGTAAAAACTTGAAATTTAATGCTCAAAATAACAATTCTCGCGGACGGAATATTATGACTGCTTAACACCAAAAATAAAACTAAACCACAGGGTATGGATTGTGACTATGTGACACAGCTTGATAGATTATTTTGTTTTTTTGCAAACCCGCCTTTCATCTATATAGGATACTTTGAAGAATGGAGAAAAAATACTATTTCTTCCATCATAGACTAGCGAGGCAAACAAGACAGTGTTAGGTACCCACCTAAATTAAAAATCACTTATAACACCTATTTATTGCCAAGTTCACAACATCGTGAAAAATATTAAAGGTTTCAAAAAAATTTCACTCTCTATTATAATAAAATAAATATTTATTTAATAAGCTGTATTTCAATAGACACAAATAACGTTTTTACTTCGAGAAAAATTCATTTTTTGCTGGCTCTAAGATAGCATCTTGAACTTTAAGCAGGCTCTGTAAAACCTTTCAACGTCGGCATTTCTTCTGTTTTCATAACACAATCTCTTATTTCCCTTGCACTAACAGCTCCACATCCAACACAATCTAGAATAGATAGTACAAGTGAAGTTATATTATGTTTAACTGCGAATTGTAGCAAATCCACAGTGTTTTCAGCTTTCAATTTAATCATTAATTTGTCAACACATTTCCGTTCCAAATCTGAAACCATGTAATAAGCAGCTAAAAGCAAAAGTTGTTCCAAACCCACTTCCGGCACTGTATGCAAGTACAAATAATTCTTTAAATGTTGCAAGGTCTCTTTGGAGGTTCCAGAAACATCAACATGACCTTCGCTGGTCTCTTTCCAAGTTCCTCGAAGCATTCTACGTAGTACAGGACTTGTTGCAGCTAACACTGCCCTATGCATTTGCACACTGCCATCTTCACCTTTTAACATAAAATCTGTCAAATCATTATCATTGTACAGGACAGCAAATGAACCTGCGTGGGCTACTATATCAACTGTAACTGTAACATCAATTTCAACTTCACAGATATTTTTCTCTGCAATCTGACCAATTAACTGCCAAGTTCCATCTTGACTTAGAAGGCATTTATTTTCAATTCCGAGTACATTACTAGATAATTTTAAATTAAAATCGCCAATTTGCTGAGCGGAAAATTTTATGAGAAATAGACATTTACGCGAAGAGTTCGTGAACCACGAGGAGATTATTGAATATGATCTTATTTGGAAAACACACAGCCCACAGATAATGAATTCTTTGCTGTCTTTTGGCCCATTGGATACATCGCCAGTTACTCTCACCATAGCTCTTACCTTTTTGGATTGCCTCTATAGTGTCCATTTGAGGTGTTTTCACTGCGGGAGCGTCTAATAATCAATCTTTAAATCCTTCTGTATTTCACATTGACGCGATGCGGAAAAATTAGAGTGACATCATGTGACAAAGAAATAAAATATATATATAAAAGAGGTTGACTACAAAACCGACCACTAGACCGGTGCCATAGCCTTGTTCGTGTATAAATTGCACAAATATGTATAAAATATCGCTGTAAGGCTATAGACATACTAATTTGAGGTGTGATGACTGAAATGATATCACAATATAAAATAGACGGTTTGTATTCATTAAAAATCGATTACAAATTGGAAAAAAATACGACACGGACAGTCGTTATGTGCATGTGTGTCTTATATATTTTTTAATAACATGTGAGAAATATTAAAGTTTTCAATGGTTTGTATTGACATGGCAGATCCACAATTATCCGTTATATAATAATGAGACCAGAAATGGAGTGTTCTCACGCTTTAAGAAGGGCCTGTGGTTGGATTTGCACTGTCTTCTATACTTATACTTTTTTTAATGCTTTTTATATATTTTGGTCCGGGTCCGAGAATACTAACCGAACGTGTTTGCGGCTAGAGTAAGAGTGCCCCAAGGGGGACATCGTCCTCAGCTTGGACCACCGCAGCGTGTGCGGGAATTTAGGGTTTCTGAGATTAGCGCGTTCAAACAAACAAACTCTTCAGGTTTATAATATTAGTATGAATTAGAAATTATGGACACGGTAGGGACTATTGATTATTAGACATACTTTGCTACCAGCCCCGTGTGCCCATCAAAGCTTATTCTTGGTATATAGTCTACTTAAAACCCCAAAATTAATAAACATTTAGTATTTTAATAAATAAGCTTTAATCGGAGACTCGCAATTTGTAAATCTTGTCTATCGTCCCAATATATTCTGATGATTCGAAGCAGCTATTGTTTCTCCGATGTAATTGACGCGCGAATCTCCAAAGTGTTGACCTTGGAATCAAGTTGTTGTCTAAATAGTTGCGCGTGCTGCCAAGCAACGTCGCCTTCTCCACCACTCAATAGTGCCAAAATTGTCACCTCTTTAAATTTTCTCTCATATTTTGTTGGCTTATCTGAAACATTACAGTAAATAAAGGTTTGTAAATTTGTAAAAAATAACTACCGTCTGTAGTTTACGCGACAAGTATACATTAGATCATACAAAGTCACCGAAGCGACGGACCGTAGTTAAAATAAAATTGCAAACAAAATTAACTAATTTTTTTCGCGTTTTAAACAGATAAGTTGTTATTTAAGCACATTTTCGAAATACGCTTACAACACTATCCGCTAATATAATTATTATCTTAACACCGTCTTTAGTTTACTCAAGTACACATTTAAATAAAACACCTTAATGGTTTAAAATGCGACATATATTAGTAAACCTATTTGAAAATTATTTTAACTACGGTCCGATGTTTCGGATCCTTTGCAACAGGTCACGAGACGTTGGGTCGTAGTTACTATAAAAACTAACTAATATATATCGCGTTTTAAACCGTTAAAGTATTATATTTGAAATTATTATTATCTGTTAAATTACAATTTATTAGAGTCAAAGAATGAAAGTCTGAAATGGTATTTGATGAAACGATTTTCGCCATGAAACTAAGAAGAAGAAGAAGAAGAACGAATATCGTTAATTACGTAGGGTTGAACATCGTTATGTGTGTGAAGTCAAAACTTAATTAATAACAATCTATAACAAAATAATTATTTGAAGCTACTGCACTTATTAATGATACGTAGCCCGTTGGTGTACTGATAGCGATGTATGGATAATAACGGGACGTGGGTTCGATACCCACCTGGTCCAACATTTTTCCAATTAATTTTAAATTCTTCTGAAACATGTTGGACATCGTCTGGAAATCTGAATAGCGCATGGGTAGCAGGAATATCAAAATTCCGTCCGGATCACGAACCACCGTCTACAGATTTTTTCAGAGTTTAATCGCGTTTCGGCATCAGTCTTTGTTTAGATGTTACATATAACTATATCGCCGTGTTTCACTTGTCATCAAATGCTTGTCGGTTCTCCTTTATCATAAAAAACTACCTTAGGTCAATTTCTAGAGCGCCAGTACCTACGCCGTGGTTGTGAATTTAAAAATAGTTATTGACAAATGAAATAGCTAATGCACATTTAAACAATCAGCGCACATCATCATCAATCGATCCACATCATCATTCATCACATTTTACAGTTTTATTACCGGTGAGTTCAACAGGCATCGGTAGCTGGTCATCATATTGTATGCTCCACTTAACATTACCAGTTTCAAAAACGGCAGTAATAACTTGAATATTTAGTAATGTAAATAACAAATCATCTTTGGCCCGTAGCTTCCACGATACTTCACCCGTTTTTTCACCCTCTGTAAATAGGCAGATGTTACATCCAGCTATCGTAAGCAGCGATACCCACATTCTATCAGATACTAAAATTTGGTTTGTCTCGTTGGTCTAGTAACTAGTGGTCACAGGTTTTCAGGTTTGACCCTCATTCATGAAAGATTTAAGCCATTCTGCCCCAGGGCGGCTGCCATCAGCCACCATTAAACTAACTACTCATAACCAGGGCCAACTAATTAACTTCTCTCCGGGTAAATTAAAAAGTTGGTTTACATGGTTAGTTTGGTTACAAGTACACGACTAGATCACGAAGTCCCTGGTTCGGTATTTGAAATACTTGAGAATTTCTAGTCCAAGCCCGAAGTTTGACACTCGGAGAGTAGGTAAATCGATTTAGCTTGAAAAAAATTTACGACACGGGCAGGACTTGGCATCCACAGCGTTTTGTGCTGTTGCCAGTTGAGCTACCGTATCCTACACGTCATTGTCTTTTTTTTTTAATTTGCGCTAGAGATGTCACCTACCACCATAAAATTATTGTTAATAACTGGGCCAACTTCTCAAACTAATTATGATTGATTATAAATTAAAAAAAAAATTGGACACGGGCAGTTGGCATCCAGAGCGTTCCCTGCTGTTGCTCTAACCAATTGAGCTACCGTGTCCTTCGCGTCATCGAATTTTTTCAACTTGATGCATGCACCTCTCGAGCAATGTAATTGCAATCTTAACACTGGCCTATTATAAAACTTGCCTTCTCTAGCTAAATAAACTTGCTTCCAGTCTTCCTCAACATTCCTGAATACGTGTTCGCATTTATAAACCCCCGAAGACCACCCACTGATTGATGTTACCTCACCCCCATCTCTACTAATGATGTACTTATCGGAGCTGCAATGGTACCGCAGGACTATTTCGCCTGCTTGATCAAATTCGAAGACGTGCTCAAACTCCTCGGAACCCATCTCACCGCGTTGGGTCCGCCATTCTTTGGAACCGGATATCCGACCACGTGACTCAAAATCACTTGGTTTTCTATAAAAATAAGTAGATTGAAGTCAAATCCTTCCACAACTCTAAGTAATAAGAACTGTTTTAAAAAAATACTGTCTATAGTTTACGCGAGTAGTACACATTTAAATAAAACACTTTAACGGTTTAAAACGCGATATATTAGTTATTTGAAAATGATTTTTAACTTCGGCCCCCCGTGACCACGGCTGCTGCAAAGCATCCGAAACGTCGCGCCGAAGTTAAAAATCATTTTCAAATAAGTTTAACTAATATATCGCGTTTTAAACCGTTAAAGTGTTTTATTTAACTGTTTTAAAAGTATTATTTTTCACCAATTGAGCCACCGTTGGTAGGTACCATAGATCGGATCACTGTGGATCCATTTTTTTCAATGTAAATATATTTTTCTAATTATACCAATACCGAATATTCACAGACGAAATAGGGCGACAGCGCATCGTGTTAAGATATTATATAGCTGGAGTATTTCACCTCCAATCAAGTGAAACCAAAATAATGAAAAAAAGTGCTTGCCTATCCTAAAGAAAAATGCAAATTGTCCAACTAAGATGTTTTAAATGTTTGTATATATAGCTATACCATATAAAGTCTATGTGTCATATAATTTGAATTTTTATAAGAGTTTAGTTTACTAAAAAGTTTGTGGTTTACTGTAGTTCCTGATCACTCCTTCTTCCAAGGGGGGCGCCACTCAAAACCGGCGCTTTTCCTCTACTCTTAGGTAAATAATTAATTTAGCATATTTTGCCTTGTCTTGTGGCAGCAGTTTGAATTTGAGTTTTAGCCCATTACCTCTCCACCATAAGATGCACTAATTCTCGTAGAGTGCGCGTGGTAAGCCATTTTCGTCTAGCCGTCGAGAGCTGCGCTTGTCTTTGCGCGCGAAGGGTTAGCAATGTGGATATTAGTTCAAGCTCATGGCACTGCTTTCGGCGTGACATGACCTGCCATAAAAAAAACAAAAGTGTCAAACTTTTTATCATCTTAGCTATACACAAAGTTCATCCTAGAGGGAAATTAAAATGATTGGTTTAGTACACATTTATCACTATTTCGTTAAATAAAAATGTATATTATTTTGAAAAAACCGTACGGCACTGGCGGGACTTGAACCGTCACCCACAGTGTTCTGTGCTATTGCTCTATCCAATTGAGCTACCGTGTCGTACACGTCATCGACGATTTTTTTCAATCTCTGCACTTCTCGCGCAATTGTAGGTTTTTTTGCAATTTATAATCGATTTTTGATTTATATAAGTAGTGCCATCATGTGAAAATATTATAGCAGATAGACAATTTAAACAGATATTTAACATAAATTGTGTAAGGCTTTCACGGCCATCGTTCAGCAGGTCTGTTGTTGACTCCTCGATTGCTCGAAGAATTATGATATTTCTTCGAGCAATCGAGGAGTTAACATCTCCTGATGATGCCGTCCACACGTGATGGCGAAACGTCGAGAACCTCTTCTCGCTCACATCGGCCGAACAGCCCGAAAGACAATGACATGGAGATATTTAACATCACACTATAACCAACGGGAGCGAAGAGACAGTGGAAAATGTAAAAAAAAAGGAATATGATCCTTGTCCATTTCTTGCGCTGCGAAAACAATTCAAGATACCCAAAAATACGAAAGTATGCTTCCTCTTTAATTGAGATAAAAAAAATGTCCGCAACAGTATATCTATCTACCTTCTATGAATAAACTACAAGAATGACGTGACGCGGTCGACGTCGTGGGTAACACGGACACGCGGACAAAGTGGCGGCGACAGCTAGTATACACATATACCTCGCGAAAGTTAGTCGTGTATCGCCATGTGACGTCCTGCACATCGTCGCAAGACACAGCGACAACATAGGAAAGCTTCTTGCCCCAACCGTGGCAGTACATCAGCGGCGTGTCTAGAGCCCCTTCACAAGGGTCCACGTGCAGCCAGCAATTGGACTCGTAGTCATACACCTTCAACGAACAGGGTAATCATTAAAATATGGCAACCCCCTCGCCCCAGGTCGTTCCATCTTGTCAGTCTGTCTATTGTCTGACAGATGACAATTCAAGAACAGTTGTCGCTCAAGCCAATAGATTATAGACTACAGGCCCGTGTTAAAAAAATGATGGGTCATTTGAACCACCAGATGACCTATGTAGAACGATATAAGAGCATAAAATAATAAGATTCAGCATTATGCCGTCACTTGTAAGCTGTCCAACTGAGTGCAGGTGAGAATTTAAAAGTACAGGTAGAGTGAGTATATTTTTGGTCATATATGTTTGTATATTATATTATATTTATAATCAGCCATTCTTTAGAACGAGTCTCTTCGTTTTAATTGTACTATACAAAGTAATTTTTAACTAAGTCAATAATTGTGGAATCAATACAAAAAAGTAATTTTAATCATAATCTATATTATTATTATTTTTAAATTATGCATTTTTAATGTGAAATTATTCCAAACGATTGTGTGTCAAAAATCCGAACGAACGAAATTGTATTCTACTTTTTAGGTTGTCTGGAAGAGATCGATAAATGTCTACAATTGGCGTATACTATATACAACGCTTACAATAATGATAATTTTTAACCCTTAACCTTATATTTTTCTTTAAATAATCTGACTAAGTACGAGTCGTTCAAATAGGAAAAGTTCTGTATAAAACTTAAACATTTGTTAAAGGCCTTTTTAAACATATATTCCGTTATCTCTTTTATTGTTAACTTTGTCGTTGTGGAGAGTGGAGTAAGTATGATAATTGAATTAATATTAACTTTGCTTGTACATATTTAAATATAGGAACGGTACCTCACACCACACGTGGTCTGCGAAATCGTCCACGTATCGTGTTTCGTATCCCAGCGCTCTACAGAACATCGCAAAACATTGGGCCCATTCGCCGCAGCGACCACGGCGCGTGCGCATCAAAACTCGCACATCATTATAACGTGGAAAAATGGTCTGACGCTGGCATTGGTAGCAAAAATACATCTGAAAAATAAAGTTATATAAGTTTTATCGTACATACAGTGCTTTCCAAAGTTTTTGACCGGGGCTGAATTTAGCGCAGAACGCAAAAGCAGGTATCAGTTGCGACAAAGAGGGTGCGTGAGTGCGGGACGTTACGACTTTTTGCTGACAATTGACAGTACCATGCGCAAGAGGCCGGTCGCGCTCACTTCAATCCGCCGAAAAAGTTTGGAAGGAACTGTACATTGTACATGCCATAAAATTGTTTTAGTCTCACTATGTAGCTCTAACCAATTTACTTTTACAGACAGTGAGTATTATTATTACAATTGAGGATTAAAAGAAGAAGAATAATCAATGTATTGTGGTTTCGATTCCCACCAGGTCCACCATGTTTCCAAAATCATGTAACACCTTGCCCTCAAGTGTTCACAGCCAAAATAGGTCGACAACACATCTTGATCTTTGTTACATGTACAAACACACTCTTGACTTTCTGAGAAACAAACCATTATGTGGTCCTTGGTATTAGTACAATGAAACAATTTGATATGCGTCTATCTTTAGTGCCTTTTTCAGTTAGTGGGTAACATTGAATTAGCAATTACACAATAATTTTCATACTTCGACATTACAAGTTTCAGTTTCCGTGTTAAGAGTGGTTCTATAATGAAAATTTGTAGGTCCAGCGCATGTTTCACATTTCGGCTCGTTGACCCAAGAGAAATATTTCGCTTTAAACCATCCTATCAATTCCATCAGAAAAGCTATATCATATGACAAATCTGATTCCTTTGTTTCACCTGTAAAAATTAACAATGGAACAAATTGTACGGTCTGTTTGCAAAAATTTGGTACAAAAAATATACCACAATTTGGGAGGCACCAAACTAGCCTAACTGTCAATTGAAACTGTTGAAAATTTCAATTGACAGTTAGGCCACCAATGTTTTAATAGAGTATTTATGACAATGAGCGAATTCACAAGGATTATTATTTTCCAATAATTATGTTGCCAAGCTCTGATATTGACCTAAATATTTATGAAAAATATAATTTGAAATATCCAATGACAAAAATAAGTTGACAGCGCCTCATATTTCAATGTTATAGGCTGGCGTATTTAACCTACCATCGAGTGAACCACATGTTTGTTTGTCCTGCTCTGTATAAAAAAAAGACAATCTACCTTTCTTTATTTTTTTCTGCCTATCTCTCATTCTCTTGAGAGCTCTTAACTCCAATGTAATCATTGGTATCTGATCTTTGGCGATTTGTTGTAAAGCCTCATCCTCATAATCCAAAACCCTATTAAATAAGCTTTGTATTTTTAATAATAAGTTGTTTGTTGTTGTCTGTAATTAATTAAGACTCTGTTAATTGTATGTATTCTTTTCTTACTGTTATAATGAGGTAGTTATAATAAGACCCAACCTCTCTTGACTTACAAGTTTTATAGGCAAATATAAACCCTTCCTAAATAATTACATACCCCTGACATATGTCTTTACTTTCCGTAAACTGAATCCCATTGTTGTTTGTCAGAAAAAGTACATAAAGTGTGTACTTTTAGTGTAAATACTCAAAAATGGACCTTTATTTCTAATTAGATACTAAAATTGTACCAGTGCATTAACAGGAGCCAATTTGTATTTCTTTATATTTTGTTTGCTTCTATCAGTCCTCTGCGGTTTAATCCTGTGTGTACCATAACAGAGACCTATCTTCCTTTCTATTGCTGATTTTGCCATCCTCAACCTATTCAAAGGCTGTTCCTTTGGAAATACAAGTTTATTTTTTGTCTGCAATTAGAAAATTAAAAATAATAACTTGTATTATAAGACGTAGAATGTTGTCACAAAATTGAGTCACGCTTACCCACTGAAAACCAATATATGTAAGATAATCTTTTAATTCCGGACAGACAAGAATATTTTCAAAAATATCACTCTTTATGTGCCTTGAGTCATAGTTCTGGGGGTTCTCCAAAATATTATTGATGCTATAGAGAATTTCGTGGAGTATTATACCAAATTTGTCTATATCCCTGACTTCTTGTTCAACAACAGCCAAGCGTGCCATATCTTCCATATTTAATACTAATAAAATAAAAACTTATTGGAATGTTAAATTTCAACTACACAGAGGTAAAGTGTATTTACTTTTTTTTCTATGATAACGTGTAATGATAGTGTTAAGTGTAAATTTTGATGATTCATGAAGTTCGAGTTAAATTGATAGACAGCTGGGTTGTAAACAGCTGAGCTTGACAGAGTTTTATGCTGAGGTCTGGCACTGTCAAGTGTCAATTACGTAGTTGACACTTGACAGTAGACTATATATATACATCCTTTCACAGAAATATTATCTGTAATAATAAATATCTCAATTAAATAATTAAAGACATTTTCAGTATTATAACTAGTAATGCATTAAAACAGGGGTATACATACTTTGTATGAGATTTTCGCGGTCAATTTGCAAAGCTTATTAGGCTGTTGGATTGGTTGATTGACACACAAATGAAGTTATTAAATATAATACCTTGATTAATATAAAATATTTATCGAAGCCCGAAAACATAACATACAAGATATAAAAGTAATATTTTAATTGACTAACAAGTCATTAATATTAATAATAGTTATTATTTTCCATTAGGGACACCGAGAAATGGCGAATGGAACAGTTGCTCACCAATTCACCCATTTTCATTCTATTTCTTATATCCTTTGCGAAGGTAAAATTATTTGACCAAGTTAAAATGGTATTAGGCCTTAGTAAGACACTAGTATAGTAGTAACCATAGAAACCAGTTGGTACAACTTAACATTACATATAAGTAGAAGATTTTTAGTTCGTAATAGTCGAATAAGAAATAATAGTTTTCAACATCATGTTGGGGTCTCATAACTGGCTTTTGCACGCCCGATATGTTAGAGGTGAATATGACAAGTGCTTGGAATTTATTGAGAAAATACAGAAAAATACACATCGAACACACAGATTTGCCTACTATGTAATGGTGTGTTTTCTAAATTATATATGTTTGTAAACTAATTACCTTTTTTTAATAGACAAAATTTATAAGGATTACATAGATATGTTATCATTAATCATTTAAATTATAGGCTTCAATTCTTGCTGACACCGGTAGATTGCAAGAAGCGCTCGAGAAATATCATACGTGCATTAGAATCAAACCGCAGGATCCGGAACCCCTAAAACAAGTGGCTAAATGCCTGTAAGTTCAACGATAGAGCCAAATATACAGATCTAAGGATAGAAATACCAAATGATTGGAAAACCCAAAAAGTCACACCTTTTTTTTTTTTTTTTGAATTGACTATTACGTATTGTGTTCCTATGGAGCCACGAATACTAACCGGGCGTTTTGGGCGAGCGCGAGAGCGCTCGCCGTGTTTGCGGCTAGACCAAGGGTGCCCCGAGGGGGGGGCAACGGCCTCGGCTTGGACCGCCGCAATGCGGGTGGGAGCTTGAGGAGCTGGACGGAAGCTCACCCGGGTGAGCGGTACGCGTAGCGAATGACCTCGCCTACGCCGGCGTAGGCGGTTTTGCGGGCGATCGGCACCGGTGCCGGTCGATCGCGTAGCGACGAGGGTTTCGACGGCTGTGGTTAAGTTGTCAGCGAGATCGGAGAGGGGTCACACCTGTCTTTTGGGTGTTGGTAGGTATTAGACGATTTGAGTATAACACCTGTATTAGATATCACTATGGGTGGTGTACCTAAATTGTCTAATCACCTACACCTCCAAAACCACAAAACATGCCTTAATACGAAATATACTTATGTCGAGTTATAAGAATTTTTAACAGAAAACAACATACCTAATAATAATTTGTTTTAAGGTTCCGTCAGAAGCGGTACCAGCTCGCCCAAGAAGCTTATTTAGAGGCTGATAAATTGTCTCAATATCCTGATCCGGAAATTTATTCTGGACTCGGTAAGCGAATCTATGATCAAGAGAATATAAAAGGTATCATAAACAGGATACTGCAGGTAAAACATAACGTTTGAGTAGAGTAGAGTATATCTGTTTGTTTGACCGCGCTAATCGCAGAAACGACTGGTGCGAATTAAAACGTAATTTTTGTGTTGGTTAGAGCAAAAGCGAACCCTTAGTTCCCGAGATTAGCGCGTTCAAACAAACAAATATACTCTTCAGCTTATATATTAGAATAGATATCTATCTACGATACAATAAATAAGACATGGTTTGTAAAAACAAAATTGGGTACCCACAATAACTATTCTGAATATGTAAATTCTAAAATAACGCGGCCGAAGTAGCGATCTATAACTGGAATCTCAATAATTGTTAACTTTTTTAAAGTTAAACGTTTGTTAATTTTACTAATTATTTTATTTGCGATCCACCCGTCTTTTCAGCAACATGTGCTCAGAATCTCGATAGTATCAGTCGTGGAATAGAATGGGCAAAGGCAGCAGTGGAGGCTGGTGGTGGTGAAAGTGCTGGAGCGCTTCTGGCGAAGCTACTTAGTGATTCTGGGGACATAGATGGCGCTTTGTCCGCCTATGATGACGCTCTATCGTAATTACTAATTAAAAATATTTATATATTAACGTACCGTTTAGCAGATCATTTATGTAATAAAAAATACGTAATATTTTTAACTGAACATTTAAAGTTTGTATTAATAGATTAGCGTTAAAGTTTAGATTAACTTTTAAATATCATTACGAATGTTTTCTATAGGAGTATAATATGTTTAATTCTTCATCTTCTGCATAGGACTATAGAAGTTCAGGTTAAGCTTTTTTTTGTTTCGTTTTATTCTCAATCCGAAAAAAAAACATCTTTCTCATCTTTTTACTCGTGTTCCTAAACTTTGCGCTTAGCAACACAATTCATTAATATTAGATTATAACATATTTTCAGTAATTAAATATATTAATTATAGACCCAGTTTTAATCTGTTAAAGATGATCGTCATTTTTTTAATGAAACAAACTTTAACGGTTTAAAACGCGATATATATTAGTAAAACTTATTTGAACTGCGGCTCTACGTTTTCGATGCTTTGAACCTTAATATATATCGTGTTGTTACCTGTTAACTACTTACTACTGTTACTACAGACAATATTCCTTATTTGTTAAATTTTTCGACAGCTCAAACGCATGTGGTGCGGACGTCCTCGCATCAGCTGGTGCCCTATGCCTACGTGCTGGTGATCCAAGGCGTGCATTTCAGTTGCTCGGAGAGGCTTTGTCCCAACAGCCAACGCAGCATGCAGCAGCTCTCGCCTTAGCTGCTATGATGCTTCAACATAAAGATGTAGATGCATCATTGGCTAGACTAAAAGCCGCTTTATCTGCTCATCCCTCATGTGTTGCTGCTCATGTGGACCTAGGCTTAGCATTACTGTCCAAAAAGAAATATATTGCTGTTAGTTCCACTACATGACATGTCATGTAGATTTTTATTAATGTAATCCATCGTAGGCCGATAATCTATACTTAATAATATTATAAAGCTGAAGAGTTTGTTTTAACGCGCTAATCTCAGGAATTATTAATTCGAATTGAAAATTTTTGTCGCGGCCACTTTGATAAATAAAGGCCTCTTAAATAAAGCACTGTAACGGTTTTAAACGCGATATATATTAGTCAAACATTTAAACTACGGCCCGACGTTTCGGTTTCCCCGTGACACGACTGCTACAAACTGTCAGAGCCGTCGAATCGTAGTTAAACTAATATTCAAATAAGTTTGACTGAAATATATCGCGTATTAAACCGTTAAAATGGGTTAATTAAATGTGTACTATTCGCGTTAACTACAGACAGTATTTAAGTTTCTTCATTGATTTTATATAGTGTTATAGTATTTTAAGACAATTAAATTTCGTTGTACGGTTGTCTTTGAACACATCATCTCCAATGTTTGCCATCATCATGATGTTTGATACTGATACTTACAGGCTTTAACGTGCCTTCAGCGAGCAGTATGGACGGCGCCTTTGAGCGCTCGGGCTGGCCACGACCTGGGTCTCGTACTCCTAATATGTAAGAGACCGACATCGGCGTTCTACCGACTAGCCACCTCGGCTGCGTTAAATCCATCTCAACCGTATACAGTTAAGTTTTAAAATTTTATATATTTTTTAAAACTACACACGACAGACAAGAATTCATTCGATGGTAGGTAAAAGGCCGACCAATTAGACTGTTTATTTATTTATTTTATAAATTTAATGAGACACATTTGTACACAATAAGATACAGTGTTTCACTGCAAAGAGCTTAGGTATTAAGGTATTCATAATCAAGGTATTATGCATTTATGATATTAGTAAGTTCTATAAAAAATAATTACGATACATCCAAACAACTTTTTATACCTTAATCGACCCCTTACTAAATTAAAAGGCCTATGTCCTTCCAAAATTTCATTTAAATCGGTTCAGTAGTTTCGGCGTGAAAGCCGGACAGACAGACAGATTTACTTACGCATTTATAATATTAGTAGTGATTTAAATAAAGCATTTTCAACTGTTAAAAACGGCAAAACATCGAACTGTAGTTAAATTGTAAATAAGTTAACTAATGTAGTTCGCGGTTTAAACCATTAAGTGTCTTTTTCATTATTAGGTGCTGCTGATTGCTATAACGTTAGAACGCTTAGAGGACTCCAGAGCTGATGCTGCATATTCGAGAGCAATATCTTTGGATCCAGAAGACGCCCTCATTAGAATAAATGTCGCTGCAAGGCATGCTAGGGCGGGACGGTACGGTGACGCTGTTCGTGAAGCGGTAACAACAGCGCAATTGTTGACGCGGGAAAATAACACCGAAGTATGTATTGTATTGTATTTTGGCGGGGTTGTCGGTGTAATGGCAAGGTACGGCTAATAATCAACTGTTGGGTTCGATCCCTACCGGGTTCAACATTGTTCTAATCAATTTATAATTTTCTGACACATGTCTGAGAATCTAGATATTAAATGAGTGGTAGGGATATCGAAATTCCAGTCAGTTACGAACCACCGTCCACAGATAAAAAAGCCGTGAAATTTAATCATATTTCGGTTTACGTCTGTGGTTTTCCGAATATCCAAAGCCAAAAAAGGTCAACAGCGCACCTTGTTTAAATGCTATTGCCGGGACATTTCACCTTCTATCAAGTGAGTCCAATGCTTGTTTGTTCTCCTCTATCATTAAAAAAAGTATCTATTGAATTGTATGGGCCGCTTCCGTAGTTCGAAACCTAGGGCATGGACACAAATGTGACGGTCGGACAGGGCACAGTAGTCTAATCAACTACTTGCCTGTAGTTTACGATAGTACGCATCTAAATAAAACACTTTAACGGTTTAAAACTAATATGATTATATTTTTCAAATAAGTTCTACTAATATATATCGCCTATAGTTTACGCGAGTAGTACACATTTAAATAAAACACTTTAACGGTTTAAAACGCGATATATTAGTTAAACTTATTTGAAAATAATGTTTAACTTCGGCCCGACCTTTCGGAGTGGTCACGGAGAGAATAATATAATATAAGTTAAAGACCATTTTCAAATAAGTTTAACTAATATTTCGCGTTTTAAACCGTTAAAGTGTTTTATTTGAATTATATATATCGCGTTTTAAACCATTAAAGTGTTTATTTAAACTACTTGCCTGTAAATGAAGCGATCAGCAAAACGGATACGGAAATGTGTTCGCCCCATGCCCCAAAAGGGGAAACGGAATTTCATTTTTATTTTAAATTATTATATTCGCATGTCTAATAATCAGCACACTCGACTGCAGGATTATGAAACTATTAAGAAAACAAGGGTTAATCGGATATGGCGAACTTTTAAAGTTGTATAATTTAATGCTAAATCGTATTAAAACCAAAATATATTAAAGGCTGGGTAGGTATGTAAGTATATCCTTATCCGTACCTTCCATCATCTACAGTTATTCGGTACAAACGTATCGAAGGAGTTTCTAAACAATACTATAGATGATATAACAGAAAATAATATGTATACCATAAATACTAGATGACTCTTTATTTTTTTTTATAGTTGGCTGGTAAGTTGGCATATTTGACGACTCTTCTAAGAGAGGCTGGTGTGGATTTCTCCGGCTCCCTTCTAGAAATTGATGATTCATGTCCTTCTACAGAAGTCGACTCATCAGATAAAAATCTCGCAGACGATGAAGTTTAAACTCATATTTTTAATTGAAATCTAACAATTTTTATTACTTGTTTTTCTGAAGTCTGTTTGGCTTCTAAACTTAATAGTTAAGCTTAGGTAAGGGACTTAGAAGTAGATCATAATATATCAATAATGATTCTTAACTATACAAAAGGTATGGATAACAATAAAACAATATATATAATAAATCTAACTCTTGTTTCATTATCGCTAGTAATATTTTCAAAAGCAATAAAATGTTTTATTGAGCGAACAAATATAATATATAATATACATATGAGTACGGACGAAATTGAGGTATTTTTTTGTAAGAATATGTATGTCAGACGTGTAAATAAAATAATCCTGTTGCTCTGCTGTTGTATATTCAGTACGGTTGGTTTTTAATATTTTTTCTTACATTTATACAAAGCTAACTATCTCAGGAACTCATGTTTCGAATAGATAAATGTTTTTGCGTTAGAGCATTTATCGTGGAAGGGATTAAGCTCAAAACATCACGCCGTGACCAATAGGAGCACAAAACAATAAAAAATAGAGGGAAGTCTGAAACAAACTGGGAAAGTTGTTTATCTTTAAGAAGTTCTAGAATCATTATTTTATGTCATTATTCTTTCATACTATATGTATGTAATATGTATGAATGATTTCTTTTGAAAGCTGTAAAAAAGTCTGCGACGTTATATGTCCATCTTTTAGATTTTGCATGAACGAAGGGATGCGACCGACGTCGAGGGTAACTGCTATACCTGATAGATGAAGATTAGGACGAGGTTTGCAAAAAATATTGATGCCTAAAATAACTATTCTATGCGGTCAAAGTCGCTGGCACAGCTAGTATTAATATAAAATGATTCAGGAGTTGGGATAAAATAAATCTGGTTGCCTTTTTGAGTATTGTTTTTTTTAAGGCCACTAATGACGTCATTGAACATCGCGAAGCGAGCCTTATTGTATTACCACCAATTATTTTGGGCTATGAAGAATTATATGAAGATGCAAAAGATGATGAATCTTTTCTTGATAATGATGGCAAAAATAAACACGATCATAATCACGATAAGCATAACTCCCATGGAAAAGGTGATAAACATGATGATGTTGATCAAGAACAAAAACATCACAGCGTTGAGCGTAATGAAACAAAACATGATGCAAATCATCTTGATAGTGCAGAGAACCATAAAAATAATAATATTAACCACCAAAATTACAGTAGTGATTACTATAGTGAAAACGTTGGTGAACGTTCAAATAAACTAGCACATAGGTTAAAATGTCGTGCTGGTAAAAATAGAAATGGATGTCCTTTCAAAACTATATAGAAGTGGTAATAATCTATAAACGTTCATGTTTAACTTCAAATTATGATTGAATATATTTTTGTGAATGTGCTGCTTATTATTGAAATTATAAATGGTTAACACAAGTATGACAACTTTAAGGCTTATGTCAGATAGATTATTAGCATCACACGTCGATCGTAAAATAAACTGAAATTAAGACTTTATTTACATTCTGCAAATTTATTTAAATTCAAAGTGCTGTTTTATTTATAGCCCAATATTTTAGTTATCTTATTTCAGGTATTAGCCTGAGAATTATTGAGATATGAAGTCTCTTGACAATTGACATCGAACTACGTTATTGACTATGGTTTCATAGAGCAATGCGACTTTACTAGTGCTGTGGGCAAACGGGGCGGTCTGTTTTGTCTTTGTGACTATCCTAGTCTGTGCCATGTCTGGCAGTTAACCGCTGTCATTTGTTCTGTGATTATGCATTTGTTTCGTATCAATAACAAATGTATTTGTGATTTAAATTAACCAATACTCGTCATATGTACAACTTATTTAAGTGTTTTGAAAATATACATTTTCGTATTTCATTATTACAATAATGATATTACTTTAATATATTTTTTTTCAATATCGTTTTTATTTGAAACGGTTTTTTGCCATGGTATAGATTTTTTACAAGTTATTAATATTATATTATTGATTCATTCGTTTGTGAATTAAGTGTACGTAATTAAATGATGCTGCATTTATAGTTTTTTAAATTGTATTATGACGACTGCTATGTGTAAGTACAATATATATCGTTCTTAAAACATTAAAAATAGTCCCAATTATAAATTAAAATATTGCATGATTGGTTTGGTACTTATGTAAAATAATCCTGCCTTAATACTATTGTATCTTCACTACAATTAAAAGTTATTTTATATAGAAACTGTTTTATACATATTTTTCCAATCTACTTGCTGTTAATGTTTCTGCTTTCATTAATGTTTATTCAATTTCGTATTAAACTAAAAAGTTTAAGAAGTTAGGTCCAGACATTAACAGATTAGATAACATATCTTGACAATCATCTAAACTTTTTTCTTACTATTTAACATTTTTATTCGACTTAATAAGATTATGACAATTATTAAACAACAATTCAACTAAAATTGATAATTTTGTAAATAAATATAATTAACTACTTACAGTTGTTTATATTTTGCCATATTTTCAATACATAAATGTGGGGTATCGCATTAAGTTCTACTTAAAGTTACATTTAACTAACTGCAGGTCAGTTTATATTTAATGGCTGCAAGTGCTACTATGTATGCATAAACTATACAATAATATGCTTATCAGTATATCATAGATTGGAAAATAAACTTTAGTAAAACTAAATACTTAGATCACAAAAATAAACTTCGGCCCAACTCTAGCATTTTTAAACACACCTCATTTCACTCCTGTTTTACACTAGATCAAGTTTAAAAGTCGTAAAAGTTATGCATTTTGGAAATGTTCAACCTTTAAAAGGCAACAATAGTATTTTGTGTTTTACTCACTCTAAGGTCTAGATCGATTTTGACAGGACTTATTTGGCGTTCAATATTTTAAATCCGCGGGAACCACCCTAGGGCGCAGCTAGTTACTAAAAAATAGCATGAACCTCGTTGAAATTGGAGATCGGGGGCGAATATTGATTAAGGGTCGTACTGCGCCTGTGTGCGCGCAACCCCTCTCATCCATAGGGCGTTGCGCGCCAATGTGCGTGCGGGACGTCCATGTGCGGACGGAACAGCCGAGATCTACGTTATAACAAACAAATGCTCAAAATCCTTGTAACAAAGCGTCTATCTTTCACTGCGCTCTAAACAAAATACCGGAACGTAATTAACCCCGTCAAAATATCGTTCGTAGAAATTCCGCCGGCCGCGATGGCACCGCGAAAATCGATATAGTACTCGCGTATCGCAGCCGAGTGCTTCCAGTCGATGTTAGTGCTGCATACATGCAGTGAACGCCAGTGTACTTGCATTTCAGTGGCACCGGCTAAGGATCCCGATGTTTAATCACAAGTTACCGACTGACTTTCCAATGCAAACCCTCCGTAAGAAAACCAGCCCTTGCAAATGTGAGTTTTTGTGTCGCTTCACCACGGCACCTCGCACGGTCGCGGTGTTTAGATAGAGCTCAGTGTACATTTACGCATCCCGGCTTTGTGATTTGTATATTTTGCGTATTTTTTCATTTGAACTGCATGGTTCGGCTGTGACGTTCACCCACTGTGTCGAGTCACCCGTGCTACTCGCTAGTCCCATATCATAATTAGTGAAACCTGGTTTTGAACAGAGCGGTTTGGGCCCAGCAGTGGAGTGATGCGGCGGCTGCCTATATTGCTTTAGAATTTCGGAATAATGCAGGTGTGTCATTTCCAGCACCTCTTGCGGCAATTCGGTGAGTATCGCGAACATTTTGCACTTCACGCTTTTCGTAGATAGTTTTCATTCTTCAGTAGGTACTTTTTTCTACCTTACTTAAGTGTAGAGCTTGTACGCGGTCAGATTTGTGATCGTTCAACATTTGTACAACAATTTAACTTAGGGACTAAGGAACGCTTAATTTATTACAGCGCAACAATTATGTTAACTCGAAAGGAAATATTAAGTTTTAAACAAAAATTAAATAGTTACAGACAAAAAAAAAATAAGTAAGTAATAGTTAAGATAGATTGACAAAAAAAATCTATTTGCTTCTTCAACTTTATTCTCGTCATACATGACATTTACGTTATGCGTATGGTTATACAAACTTATTTCTTTATCAAGCAACCTTGACGTCTTTGTAAACAGTTAGCATCTATATTTATTTGTACATACAGACATGTTTATTGCATTGAATTATATCCGGAAGACACGTCGTGTCCTTCCGTGGTCACTCACATTGGGTGTTTGAACAAAGAGATAAGGATCGACATTGACTCCTGACACATCGATTATTATTAATGAGATTATTGTTCTTTTGAAACATTACTGTCATTTCATATAATAGATAAAAATCTCTATTAGATTGCGCAAGAGTTGCATGTTGCATTTGATGAAGACGTCGTCAAATTTGTTCAGTCTAAAATTGTTTTTTTTATTGTTCTGTTCTTGGTGTCTATTGTATTTGTTTGTGAAAAATGATTGAAGAATATATGACTAGATGGGGACTAATTTTATTTTATTATAATTCGAGAAAGAAAAATGTTGAAACTATTATAATATGAAAGAAAAGCGTTCTCCTTTTTATTTTCCTTGCAAATTTTACATAAATTACCTAGTTTGATTGATAAGGAAATCTTCAAGACAATATAAACGAAAGTCAAACGTTGATAAGATTCAATATGCCTGATAAGAATACATACGTTATCATTTTATCGTTCTGCAGTTAACACTTAAGATATTTTTATCTTAAGTGTTAACTGCATAATAAGAAATGGAAATCTGGCGAATCTCAAATACACAAACACAATTATTTACACTAACAAGTTAAGACGACTTAAATATATGTAATAACTTGAAACAGCACTCACCGGTATTAATAAAAACATGCTTAGGTTCGACAAATGTTTGGTTAATTAATATACTCTTGTAATCCAAAATATTATACATGACACGTGACCTCTTCTTGAAACGTCCTGGTCGTGGTCACGTTAACCTTGGAACATCTTATCAATATAACCATAATATGAAACAATATATAATCATGACACTATGATAGAGAAGAAGCATGTCGTTCACTCGATAGACAGTGAATTAAACTAACCCAGCAGTAAGCAAGTCGACCTATTTTGGCGTCATAAATTTGAAAATTCACAAACTAAATAAAATCTCAAATGAATAATTAGCTAATATGTGTACCAGGCGGGTAAAATTTTTCTAGCTCAGGTATATGTTTATACATGTTAAAATTTCCTCAATTTTCTCAGTTCGTTTCAATGTATTACAGTCCCACTGCTGGGCGAAGGTATGCTTTCGCATGGGAGAAGATTTTAAAAGTGGAAGACTTTCACTTAATTGTTGGTAATAACCGGGAGAGTGAATATGTCTGAACTTAAATTTTCCAAGCTCTACGCTAGCAATTTTTTTTATAATAGAATAATATTTTGCCCGACCTAGGAATCGAAGCCGAAAACCACGTGGTCTCTATTCGAGTGCTATAACCACTATATCATCGAAATAAAAATAATAACGCTGTTTACACCACGTTAGAACCGAAACCGCGAGGCTAGTCCAAGGCTGTAACAATTATTATCCTCGGCCAGACGGTATAGACGGACATTAAACTTCAGTAGTCTTGACTTTAAATAATTATCTTCGCTACTAAGGTTTCAACGCATAATGCATTCTGCCTTGCCAGCCACTTTGAACGTTTTAGGAAATTTAATTATTGTAATATGACGCCAAAAACTAAGGTATCCCATATAGGTATATACCGCTGGAAGGAAATAAACACTTGCATACAATGGATATTCAAAGGTTGAAAACAAAAAACACTTTAAACGGTTAAATAAAACACTTTAACGGTTTAAAACGCGATATATTAGTTAAACTTATTTGGAAATGATTTTTAACTTTGGCCCGACGTTTCGGATGCTTTGCAGCAGCCGTGGGAGCAGGAGACTGTCTCCCCGTGACTACGCGTTTTAAACCGTTAAAGTGTTTTATTTAAATGTGTAATACTCGCGTAAACTATAGACAGTATTTACACTTTAAACGGTTTCAAATGCGAAGTAAATTAACTTATCTTATTATATTTTAGGATCTAGTGTTTTAATATGGGATCCGAGGTGTTTAATATAATCTTGTGGCCTTGTTTCTTTTGATATTTGAATATAATAGAAAGCTGCCAGAGGCAGAGTGGCCTATTAACAAAAAGCATGATTTTCAATAAGGAGGAAAATAATAATGCACAATTAGGCGAAAATGAATTTGTATAAGAATTATATTAACAATTGCTCACTATGCTCTTGTAGATTAATATTTTTAGACTATAAAAATATAAACAGGTCAAATCATAAAATTGTAGTTAGGCTACTCGGCCTGTAGCGGCTTAAAAGTGTAACTCGCGTAAACTACAGACAATACATATTAAAATAGTCAAATACGTGAATGAAATCAGGGTCATATCTCAACGTGGATATCACCCATTTGAATTATGAGAGGTTAGTTTAGTATACTAAATTTGAGAGGAAATTCAATTAAATGGAGCATGCAGCGTGAGCTCCAAACGAAATTACAGACAATGCGTATTTTTATAGTTATAATCAAGTCAACGTATGTAACGTTTTGAATATGAAAAAAAAACTTGTACACTCTAGAGTTTAGACAAAGTATAGATTACAGATAATGCCTTGTAAATGCTATAGACTATAGAGGATACTTAATACTGGTTTTGGTGTTTTATTTTCATTGTATTTTATTAAAATAATTGTATAATCCTGTACTTTTCGAAAATGTTAAATAATGTTGTTTAGTGGCTTCTGTTAAAGTTACGTTCGTCAATAACCTAAGATTTTTTTTTATAAAACGCTTTAACGGTTTAAAACGTGAAATATATTAGTTAAACTTATTTGAAAATTATTTAAACTACGACCCGACGTTTCGCATGTTTTGCAACAGCAGTACGACGTTTTAAACCGTTAAAATGTTTTATTTAAATGTGTACATACTACTCACGTAACTATTAAGAAGAAAATTATGTTTTTATTATTTCATAAGCCATGGTTGAGTCTGAGAACATACTTATAATATAACCTATAGTTTTTTATGCTCCTCTCGCAGACAAGAACGAGCCGGGTCGATTTCTCGGGGAGGGGGTGTCTTTTCGCGCCAAATTAATAGGCGTGCTAGAGGTTCCTGAAGCGAGGGGTGACAGAATGTGCCAGGAGGCGTTGGCTGATCTCAAGATGGCGATAAGAGCGGCCGGGGAGCACAAGCAGAGGATACAGGTTCACGTCGCGATTGATGGCCTGAGGTTACGAGATGATAAGACTGGGGTAAGTTGAACCTTTAGAGGGGAAGGATAATTTTTATGGTTTGCTGCCAACGAACCAGAGTCTTGTGATTGTGTCGAGGTCTACACAGGGTTTTTTAAGAATTCTAACGGGCGTTAGTGTACTGGTGGCAATGTATGTAAAAATCAACAGGTCGTGGGGTCGATCCCCACCAAGTCCAACATTTTTCAAATCGTCTGAAAATCTAGACATTCAATATCGATAATTCCATTCGGGTCACGAATTATCGTCCACAGATGTAAAAATCGTTAAGTTCATTCGAGTTTCAGTTTTAGTCTGTGGATGTCCGAATATCTAAAGAAAAAATAATATGTAATATAGCTGGATTTACTTCACCGATCTCCATTTTTTTTATCTGATGGTGTGAGTGCATATTGCACGCCCACGTCGGGCAAGTGACGTGGGGAGTGTAGTCAATCGTATAGCCGATCAGAACCACTAAATACACCGTCAGCCCTCTACAATGCTTTGAGAGAGCCCTGAGAACACGTTTGTACGATTCAAAAGCTCCCAGCGCCAATGCCCATTTCAGACAAGGCGGAAGAGAGATTAAGGATGATCTTGGAGGTGCGCATATCGTCGCCTCCTTGATCCCCGTCTCGCCTTTCACCTATCACCAAGTAAACCGTTTGCTTGTCTTTCCTCTAATAATAAAAAATACGATCTGCAGTTAAAGCAATACAGTCTGGAAAAAAAGTTTTGTTTTTTTTGTGGCAACTAAAACAGGTGTTGTGTTTCAAACTTAGTATGACGACATCTGATGTAAATATATATTATATCGGTAAACATGTAACATACTATGCTACTTCTATGACATCATTGTAAGTATTAGAAGGTCTCGATTGTAGATATACAAAAATATTGTTCATATTTCGTTTGGATTATTTTCGTAGTCATGCCAAATTTTCTTATTAAGTGTGTCTACTGTGAATTGTTCTTGGCTCTATTTCGGTCAATGTATCGTTAATGGTTTTGCTCGACTTTAAAAGAATATCGTCTGTTACAATTGGCCAGACTGCATTCCAGTATAAAATATTCTAAAACTACCTCACTGATGGTGATTTTTAATAGCCTTTAATTTTTAAGAACAATTGCCAAATAGTATCTGACAGCGACCAGATGACATGACATTTTTAATGTGCTTGTTCTGTAAGAACAGTCAGAGTTTGCCCATCGAATTTATCGTTAGATAACGTTAAAAACGTCCGATATACAATGATTATTTATATTTATTTGTTGATTATTTGCTTTTTATATGTAAAGAGCAATTTAAAGTATTTTAATTATGTGCGTGTAACGGAACGATATGTCATCGCCCTATCCATTGTCATTTGGGATCACATGTCGTACATGACTAACAGGTTTAATTTACCCTCCCAAACTCATATTTAACGAAAGAGGTCGTTAATATGCTTAGTTTTTCAGTTGAAACTAATAACATTAAATTAATTATTGATTCTAACCTCTAAAGTATTTTTGACAATATACAATTTAATTATTTTGGCTTTTTATGAAATGGTTTCGTAGAGTGTGGTATTTAAATCAAATCCTTTATAATTGGTTACTGGTCGCAACAGTAGGATGGTACAGTGCCTATGCAATCTCGGCCATTGTTCTTTAAATTTTTTATATGCAACTCCATTAACTGTTTTGAGGATCGAGAAAGCTGTCTGTAACAAGTAATTGTTAAATGTTTGTTTCCCAATAATATACTTGTATCGACCATTGATTTCAGGACTCCCTTTACCACCATCCGGTGCATAAGATCTCATTTATTGCCCAAGATATGACGGATTCGAGGGCGTTCGGATACATATTCGGCTCACCGGACACTGGGCACCGTTTCTTCGGTATCAAGACTGATAAGGCTGCTAGTCAAGTACGTTAGTAACCGCACTAAGGTTAATTTCACTGTGAAATAATTACATTGGTTAAGTTAACAGCTTTAAATAAAACACTTTAACGGTCTGAAAGGCAAGGAGCCAGCCAGTTTCGCCGAAAACCAATAGATGACGATAGCGTAGCAAATCATGTTTTTGTTATTAGGCCACTCTGCCTCTAGCAGACTTATATTAATAAAACGTATGTTAAAATATGTCAACTGATACTAATGTTATAGAAACGCGGTTGAATATAAAACGAAGCGGGATTCGTTATCTGAGGTAGGTACATAACAGGGGACAGATAGTTGAAAACAACCCACCCTTTACTTTTACACTGTTCCCTGCCTCGTTGAAAACTATATGCAATTTCCACCTAACTGGTTAATAGGGATGTCTAATATTAAACACTTGGGGGAGTGACGAAGCCCTTCAAACTAATTGCCATAAATATATACACACTAACGCTATGCTGTAATTTTCGTTATAAGTTTGGCTTCATTAGGACATATTATATTGTCATATGATAGAAAAGAATTTTCAGAAAACTCTTCAAATTACAATAATAATAACATTTTCAATAATTAAGTCTAAATTGAAGTGAAGTCTCATATGGAGCTTCTAGGGTCGAATTCCCGAGAAACAAGATAGTTTATTCGATTGAACGCAGTTATACACAAGTTAACTTTTAAACCCTATTTAGTTGTAGGTACCGTAGTGTACCTGAACAAGCAGTACAACTATTAGGTCAGTACCCCACACGTTTAATGCACTTAACACCAGTGTTGTTATGGATATCCATATCTGTAACCGAAATTATAGGATATCCGAAATAAAAAAAAATATCTGTAACTGAATCGGAATGGTAAGGGCGGATTCTTACTACATACTACACTCTCACGAACTAACTCCTGGGTTTCTCTGACGTCAGAGTAAAAAACTGCTACGCTAGCGCCATCTGTTCCGTCGAAGTTGGCTTTTTCACTTTGGCGTCAGACACACCCTCCGTTTTTAGTATCCCCGTGACCACGGCTGGTTCAAAGTTTAACTAATATATACCTATTGCCTTTTAAACCGTTAAATTGTTTTATTTAAATGTGTACTATTCGCCTAAACTACAGACAGTATTAAAATATCAGCGTTGTTATGTGACCAAAACTATTGGATAATCTGAAATAATTTAATAACCATAACCGAAGCCGATATGATATTTTATTAATTTCCATATCCGTATCCGAAATTATATATCCATTACATCCCTGCTTTACACATATGATGGCACCGAGCCGTTTAGCAAAAGGAAGTTTTCAATTGAGTGAATACCAATTAAAACAAGCCATCCTCAATCCTTATTATGATCTTGTAAATTATTTTATACATTTGTTAACTTAATTTTATAAAGAAATATTGTGTTTAATATATATATATATATAGAAAAGCAAAGAGAGCACTTAAATAAAACAATTTAACGGTTTAAAACGCGATGTGTATTATTTAAACTTATTTGATAATTATTTTCACTGCGGCCCGGCATTTCGGATAATACACATCTCGTTTTAAACCGTTAAAGTGTTTTATTTAAATGTGTACTACTCTCACAAGCTACAAACACTATATGAAGCAAAGTAGGTTATTTTTTGGAACCAATTATTTTTTACCTAGCGTAAAGCGCAAGAGGAAAGAAAAATGTTTCGGTCGGGTGTGACTTGCCTGTAAAAGAAACGATAAGTGAAACGGACACAGAAGTGTTTCCCATGCCTCCCGGGGGGGAGTATTTCACTTTAATAAACCTTACGATTTCAATTCTCAGGTAGTTATTGCAATGAGGGACCTTTTCCAAGTAGTTTTTGAATTAAAGAAGAAAGAAATTGAAATGGCAAAACAACAGCTTGAAGAAAAGACGGTGCCGACGAGCATTTTGAGGCAGGTCACCGTCTCTGTGGAGACCAAGTCCAAGGTATTTTTAAAAAAAAAAACTATACTAATATAATAGTAGTATACTAGTATAATAGTTTGTATGTGCTATTCAGGAATTACTCGTTCGAATTGAGTGTTTTCTATTAACCAATAAGAGCGAAGATACAGTAGGACATGTGAAAAAAAACGTAAAAATATTTATGTGAAACGGTTCAAGATACCCAAAAAATATGAATGATTCCCTTTAAAACGATCTAAAAAATAAGATTAATTTGCAATAACGACGGGACGCGGACGACATCGACAGATAAAGACCAGGTTTGCAAAAACAAATTTTGTTCACCAAAATAACTATTCTACGCGGACAAAGTCTATAATTTACCGTTTTCTTTTATCCAAAACTAATAGTCGTTTACAAGTACAGTTATGAAACAATTTACAAAACAGTCGAAACAGATCATAGTACATAGAACATAGTAGTAGTACATTTAGAAACTTTAAGGGTTTAAATAAAACACTTTAACGGTTTAAAACGCGATATATTCGTTAAACTTATTTGGAAATGATTTTTAATTTTAATTGTTTCCAGACAAAGTGGTCACGGGGAGACGTTAAAGTGTTTTATTTAAATGTGTACTACTCGCGTAAACTATAGACATTATTTAACTTTAAGGGTTTTTAGCTTTTTACTAGCTTTTATTTCTATTTTATAACGACTCAAAATCCATATTACTTGTTTACGACACGGACGTCGAACTGACTACCAACGATGCACCTTACGAATTGAGTAGATATGAAATTCAATTCAAACATAGTTCAAATTATAATTTTTACATGTTATTGCACATTATAACATTACGGTTATATTTATTTTTACGAGATACCGTACAAGGTAGATCAGTATCAATAAGTTGAAAAAAAAAATTCGACGATGAGGTGTAGGACTCGGTAGCTCATTTGGTAGAACAACAGCACGGAACGCTGACGATGCCGGTTCAAGTCCTGCCCGAGTCGAAAATTTTTTCAATTTATTTTCGTTTTGTTTGTGCAATAACATGTACGAAATAATAAAGTGTTCAAAGGTATATCAGTTTGCAAGAGCAACAGCGTGGAACGCTGAACTCGTGGGTTCGAGTCTCGACTGTGTGTTACCGTTTTTTTTAATCCTACATAATATTTTTAATCTGTAGAAGTACCAATTTTGATCAATGAATACCACATCTCAAAATTGTCTTAAATATTCCTCGTGAAATAATGTTAAATGTTTGCATTCCGCATACACAAACAACTAGCGAACAGTAAACATATAAAATATTCATAACAATTTTGAGTCGATCAATTCTCGGTACAGTCAGTTCTACAAGAATGCGCGAAAAGAGAGCTCTCTCTCGTCTCATACAGAAATTCCCGTGCTGTTTTAGGAGTTATATTCGCATAAGACAACCTTGTGCTACATGTGACGACGTTAATTTAAATGTAATATATTAATGAAAATCGAGAAAAAATTAAAATTGACCCGGGCAGGATATGACCCGGCATCCATAGCGTCCCGTGCTCTCTAACCAATTGAGCTACCGTGTCCTGCCCGTGTCGTTTTTTTTTCTTCAATGTAAGTGGCGAGGAGTGTAGCCGTCTTAGCCATGCCCATTTTTCAGTTGACGTTTATTTAATGATTGACCAGATTTTTTTATATATATAGTTTAGTAACGAGCGAAAATGAAAAAGTTATTTTTTATTATTAATCAAATTAATTGTTAAGTTATTTATTAAGTGTTGTCGGTGGTCACATAAATTGTTACTTCCCCCTGTGTCCACTGCTGCAAAGCATACGAAAGGTCGGGCCGTAGTTAAAATAGATTATAAATAAGTTAAATATTTTATCCTGAATTTTAACGGTTTAAAAGTGTTTTATTTTAATGTAACTTTTTAATATTCAACTTTATAGGCTGTAACCGCTGGAGAAAGTGCTTTCACTAAACCGTTAGAGGGCGCTGAAGGTGGCGTTGCAGAACTCGTGGACTTAGAACAGGAATTATGTTCGCTGCGACGGGGCCTCACGCAAGTGGAGGGTTTGACCCCCCCTTCGGACCCCTTTGGAGACTCCTTTACTTCACCACCACAGGTTGGTTGTAAAAATTTAATATCCAGTTTTCCAGACAAAGTCCAACATGTTTCAAGAAAATTTGAAATTGTTTAGAATCCGTTGGCCCTGGTGGGTATCGAATCCGTGACCCGATTATTAGCCAAACATGCTACCATAACACCAACAAGCCCGTATATAGAATAGTTATTATATATTTTATCATGAGGTGTAGCTGCGCATGCGCCGCCTTTAAAATTTATCTTCTTTTTACAGAAAGGCTTATTACCACCACCACCAGGCATCGGTCGCGGCCGTACTACTCCGGGGCGAAGCACCGCCAGCCCCAATAAGCCTCCACTACCGTTTGACATTCCATCCGTGGCACCAGCGGTGGGCCCATCAACAGGACCAGAGTTTGACGCTAATCCCTCACTCGTCGACAATACGCATGAACCACAGGTAGGTTTGTCACATTATTTCTACAGGAACGGAGCGAAAGCATGTCTTGATGTACCCTGTGTTAGTTTTCGTTTAAATTTAAAATCCTTATACACTTTTCCTCCTTATATAAAACAAAAGACATAAAATAAATATATAGGATGTAATATTTGTAATTTACGCGACAAGTACAATAAAAACATTTTTAACGGTTTAAAACGAGAAACACCGGTTACTATCAATTATTTTATTAACTTTGCACGTTAATTCGTCCCGTCGCAGTGTAAATAAGTTTTTCCCGTTTAAATAATGTTTTATTTACTTATTATTTGTGTGTAAGTAAATATAACTCTTTTAACGGTCTAAAACGCGAAAAATATCGGTTACTACTTTACATACATATCGGTTACTATTTATTAATTCATTAACTTTGCATGTAAAAACATCTGGTCCAAGTGTAAATAAGTTAACTAATATATTTGGCGTTTTAAACCGTTAACAGTGTTCTATTTACTTATTATTTGTGTTTGTATAGCATAGCTGTGTATAATATGTGCATGGTCTATATTTTCACTTTTGATTTTTCCTCTGTAATGTACTTAATTTGTTACCCAGATAAAAAAAAATATTGTGTGGTCCGGTCAGAAAACCGGATTGGAGCGATCGTTATTACCTAAGGCAGTGTCGCACAAGGTTTATACAGGGTGTCATCTTATCTCATATAAGCCATATAATTAATTTTAAATCACAGACAATTATTAAGCTGTTAAAGGAGTTTTTTTAATTTATTTTAACTATTTTTTTTTATTTCACCTGCACACCTTACACTATTTTTATCCTCTGCTCTTTGAAGCTTCTTTTTATTTGTTTTTATTGCTGTCACTGAGTACAGTTTGGCCAAATTATATACATAATAATATAATAGATTAACAAAAACAGACTGGAAAAACATACGTTAGTGACTTTTTATTAGTTAAAGTGGCTTTAAAACCAACAAAAACTTTGCAAGTAAGACAGTATAAAACAGAGATGCACAGACACAACTTATGGCGAACCGCCACTAGAGGTAATTTAAGACGATAAAGAGTTGATAAAAAAATATTTATTAGAATAAAACGATTTAACGGTTTAAAACGCGACATATATTAGTTAAAGTTTTTTGAAAATCTCTCTTCCCGTGTCTCCCCGTGACCACGTGTCACTTGTATTCGCCCGGCGGTTCTGTGCATCATTGGTATAAAACGAAGCTATCGGCCATTCTGTACGATGTTTAGCGTCTGCATGTAACAGTGACCAGTGTATGAATAATGAAAGCACAACAAAATCGTGATGGGTGTTGCAGGTGAGCGGTTCGTCCGCCAGCGGTCCCACAGCGCCGTACGACGTATTCACCGAACTAGACCCGCTCGGTACCGGCCGGAGTAAACCTTACGTTGACAAAAAACTCTTCTTTCAGGAGCTCAAAAACCCACCAAAGAAAGTACTCAAAGATCTCGTCCCCACGACGCATTCGATATTAAACGATAGCATTTTATCGGTGACCGAATCGCAAACGGACACCTACGGTCCTCCCACCACTATGACCTCGCTGTCGCGACATTCCGGCGGGTCCGTGGCCATAGCGAAAGCCAATCAGGGCCCGGCCTATTCTGGATTCTTTCCCAGCGATCCGTTCGCCGAAACGGATCCGTTCGATAATACCGACCCGTTCTCGGATACGTTCAAGGACGACCCGTTCACAAGTATGCAAGAGTTTCCGAAATCGACTTTTCTGAGAGCCGAGGATCTTAAGAGCAAATTGAGCAAGGAGCCACTCGACAAACCAGAAGTTGGCTTGGAGAATGGGAAGAATGTCTTTAATGGCCCGCTGCAGGTCTCACTGCCTCCGGAACCCGTACCAAAATCGCCAAGACTTCACAGGCAGGTGGGTTATATGTCAGAATGTCTTCAAACATTTAGATTAGTACTTTTACTTGTAAATTGTAAACCAAACTATAATACTTACAAACATGTAATGGTAGCAATGTACGGCTCACTGTACCAACAAGCCGTGGATTCCATCCTTACCATTTATTTTTAATAGACCGCGTTTTAAACTGTAAACAAATATATAATTTAATTTTATGTTAAATAGATGACAGATACGAGTACGATTCGCCAGCGTCCACAGCCCAGTTCGAAGCAACAGCCAGATAACGCGTCTCCACCGCCCCCACTACCTCCAAAGAAGGTTTCCGAACCGGGTTTACCACCACCTCGACCACCACATGAGTACGAACCGGATGTAGATGTTTCGGAAACCGGTCCGCCCTTGCCGAAGCCAGCTCGAAAAAAGGAGCCTATAGTAAGTTATACTAAGGCTTTTAAACAATGAAAATTAGGGTTTTCGAGTCTACAAAATAAATATTACGATTATATACGACATTATAAACAATACGATAAGAGAAATAGTCTCGCTTAAAATTACATTTTGCTAGTGGATTCAGAAAATCGACGATAATAATCTGACGGCGATGACTGGTCCGTTATACGCAAAAGTCAAAATACTTTTACATGCTTTTTACATATAAAAAGCAAAACTATTATTTAATTAAAAGACTTTATCGGGTAAACTACACACAGTATTAAAGAAATATCGCCTTTGAAAAATCTATATCTTTTTATTGGCTTTATTAAGATAGATATAAGATATTATTAATATTTTTAGAATTAAAATATGTATAACAGTTTTTTGATATTTAACACATATCTGATCGTCGTCAGGTACGATTTGGCCTTAACTATTAATTATTATTCTATAAAAATATTATAAAGATACTTATATTTTAGTTCTAAAGTATTTTTTTCTCAGGCGGACCGCAGTATGAAGCCCCGTATGTCCTCCCTGACGACGAATAGCAGCGAAGACGAATACTTGGCGCCGGCGCCGCCTCCACTGCCGGCAGCTAAGCGTTTCGATATCACACTAAGTCAACTACTCACACTCACTATGGACGAACTCAGCGTCAGGTTAGCAACAAACAAGATTTGTAACATTAACAAGACCCAAGTCTTTGACAAATATTTATTTTATATCTTAAGTGTATTGTGATTGCTAGGTACTCGAATCATTTAATTATTGGGTGAATTTCAGATTAAAGAAAACTGATTAAAGACTTGACCTTTTTAGATTACGAGTTCCAGCAGCAACTCTGTCATCTATGACACTACCGCAACTGACTGACTATCTTCGCTCCTATCTAGCTGCTGACGTTGAAAGAGCGGTCAGTTTACAAGTATTAATAGAATATGAGCTTGATATTACTTATTCCATTAACAATATTTAATTAACATATTTTCTTTCAGCACATCCATATTGAGCCATCTACAAATAAAGATAAAGAAATGCCTACAACTGTTCTACCAGCGACATCGATTCCTGAAAAATCTAGTCCCTTACCCAAACTTGTAAGCGATTTTAAACCACAATTTGAAGATAATTTCGCACCCACCGATACAGCAGAAACATTTGTAGCCGATTTCGAGGACTTCGATAAGAAAGCTAACCCTTCGTACGATAGATATGCAGCATTCAGAGAAATACAGGAACAGGAATTAAAAGCGAAATCAATATTGGACCCGATCGAGCACGCGCCGAAAGAAGACGACAAAGAATTGACACACATTCAAGAGCTGCTAAAGACCGATGATAAAAAAGACCTAAGAGAATTAGACAAGAGCCCATTAAAATCGCTCGATGAATTGACTTTGGACTCATTCAATATGTTTAGAAACTCGGTTAGTCCTAAACCAGTTGACGCTAAGATAGAAGACATTAAGACTGTTATGAAGAATTTACAATTGGAAAAGGTGAGACGAAGTGTCTCACCACGGGAGAACGTCGTTGAGAAACAAGACGAGATTGATAAATACGCAGCGCTACGAGAAATAACAATAACAGAACCGCAAGAAGACTTTGAGTCGATCCCGCCCGAAGTAACTAAAGAGAGGAAGAAATCTGATGAAAAATCTGACGGTTTCGACAATTCGGATTTCTTCGACTGTATAGATAATAGTTCACTGTCATTCACGCATGTGGAGGATGCATTTAGAAAGAGTCCGGCAGTGAAAGAGAGAGAGGTCGAGAAGAAAGTGGAGGTGAAGAGTGAAGCTGCGATAGATATATTACCTGTTAATTTGCAGCCACCTGAGAGACTTTCAGCCGGGTCTATTAGCGATGTGGCGAGTGGGTCGTCGCCTGATACCAAAGGTTAGGACCAATTACCACCATTAAATCCCCTCTAATCTGGTATCTAATTTGGTATCTGTCCTAACCATCAAGGTTAGATACCAAATTAGGACTTTTAAATTAAGGTTTGGATCTGACTTCCATTGCTTCTAGTGACCAATTGGGTAAACGTGCTTTTAGCGTTAGGGAGGTCCTGAATTCGAAAGGAAACAATAGATTGTTGTGGTCGGGCAGGGCACAGAAGTCAATGAAACGGACAAAGAAATGTGTTGGCCCCCTGGGGGGGGGGGGAGTTACAGGATTTCACCTTTTAGGTCCTACTACAAATAATCGTTCAAAAATGTACTCACCAGTAACTTTATACTATGTTTCATAAAAGTACTAATGTATAAATAATATCTTTCTAAGGGCACTTTATCTAGTAAATCGCGTTACATAATTACTTAATTAACATTATAGTATGTGTCCTATGCGCAGAACGGTGTGTCGGAGTGGGTGGTGGTGGGAGTGGGTTGCGGCGTCTCGCTTGGACAGAGGGCTGGTCTTCTGACTCACGAGATTCAGAACCCAGGAGTAGGCGAAGGAGAACGCACAGAGGGCATACAGGTTAGAACTTGAAGAATAACAGAATGTATTGGCATTATCTTTGACTCTATGTTTTATGATAATATTTTATTTAAATACTGTCTATAGTTTATGCGAGTAGTACATATTTAAATAAAACACTTTAACGGTTTAAAACGCGATATATTACTTAAACTTATTTGAAAATGATTTTTAACTTCGGGCCGACGCTCCGGATGCTTTGCAGCAACCGTGGTCACGCGGAGACTGTGACCACGTCTTAAACCGTTAAAGTGTTTTATTTAAATTTATTTTATTAGCGTGTCCTTTTTGCTAGTGTTAATTAGTAACTAGTTCATTTTCAAATTTTTCAGTGCAAACATCATCGTCATCGCGAGACGCGTCCCCGTGGGAGGAGGAGAGGACTATTCCAAGGCACACGATACGTCGCGATAGGGAATCACGGTGAGTTTCAACACTTGAAAATTTAAATATATATATTTTAAAACTCAATTTTGGCTTGAAATAACCGTAGGATACAGACAGTGTTTGAACTGGCATCCGGAGCTTTCCGTCAAATCCTTAAAGATTAAATTACAGGGTTTAACGTTTAAATTAAATCTTCAATGATTTCTTAAACTAAAAGCTATCCTTTAAGACACTGAACCTTAATACTCAAGTATTAAGGTTAAAATTACATTGCGCGAAAGGTGCATGTTAAAGAACTCGACGGCACATCTATCCTTTTTTTTTCAATCTAAAAGCGATATTTAATTTTAATTAACGCTTCAATACATTATATGACTCTTGTGGCACAAAATATAAAATGTGTTACATATAAGAACTATGATTTATTTTCAGACACAACTCGTCAGGGTCGCGTGAATGTCTCGACTCGGGTAGTGGAAGAGAGAAAGAGAAAGTAAGAGATAAGCGAGACAGAGATCTGAGTAGGGATAGACGGGATTCAGGCAGTGGGCGTGACCGGAGAGATTTGAGTAGGGAGAAGCGGGAGAGACGGAGTAGGGAACGAGACGAGTGGGAGCGAGATAGAACATACCGCGAGAGGGAATACAGGGATTCGCGGAGTCGGGAGCGATCTAAGGACTACAGAGAAATGGAGAGGCATAGGAAAGCTAGACATTCTTACGACGACGAAGAGTAAGTGTTTTGACTAACTATCAGTTTAGTATAAGTTAAATCCCATTTAAAAAAAGAACACTTTAACGGTTTAAAACGCGATATATACAGCCGTGGTTACGGCTACTGCGAAACATCCGAAAGGTCGGATTGTAGTAAAAATAGTTTTCAAATAACTTTAACTAATATATATCGCGTTTTAAACCGTTACTATTCGCGTAAACTACAGACAGTAGTTAAAATCTCATTTCTCTTATTTGGCATGGGATGAACGCATTTGTGTCCGTTTCAGTGATGGGATCCTTAACAGTCAAGTAGATCAGACTTCTGTCCCCTCCCGAAACAATCTATTGTTTCCCCTGGATTCGAATCCGGGACCGCTCACGCTTTACGCAATGCTAGAAAACACTCTTAACCATGTAGCTACAGAGGCGACCATTTACTTTTCTACTTAATAAAAAAAATATGAAAAGTAGTGGAGTATTAGCAAATGCTTACTATTTAAATAAAACACTTTAACGGTTTAAAACGCGATATATTAGTTAAACTTATTATAGACAGTATTTAATTAATTACTATAGACAGTATTTAAATGCTTACTATTTAAACTGTTTAATAATAATGTTTTCCATTAGTTACAGTGACGGTTGCGGCTCAGGCAGGTCGTCTCCCAGGGACCGGTGGCCAGAACAGAGATGGAGGAGAGATGGTATATTTTCCGATGTCAAATTATATAACCAATTGGCGATTTACACTTTTAACGGTTTAAAACGCAGAATACATTGACGAGTTCGTTGGTGTAGTGGTAACGAACCCCATGCTTATAAATAAACTTTGTGTAATCATAATATTTCTTTCTTTTCTTTAGCAACTTATTAAACATATGAATTTTCAGAAAGGAATTACGGATCGCTGGGCTGGCGAGAAACAAGACGCCGCAATGAGTTGAGGCAGACCGAAGATCCTAGTGAAAGAAGGTCAGTTTCCCCCCGTGGGGCATGGGGCGAACACATTTTTGTCAGTTTCACCGATTGGTTTTCTTTACATGCAAGCAGTTGCTCGGACTTCTGTCCCCAGCCCGACCTAAATATTCTATTGTTTCCCCGGGATTTGAACTCACTCTCGGGCTTAATGATTGCATTAGTATATATGTGTGTAAATGTGTTGCCTAGCATTGGCAACACATTTATTTAAACATTTAGTTACAGAGTCGGTCTTATAAGTTACATAGAATTATTTAGATTTTTTAATTTGATAGTCATTAAATCGGGTTTTGTAAGTTAATCTTCAAAGATAGACATGTCTGCACATTTTTTAGATTATATAAATATAAATAATTCTTATATACATATCTTATGGATATCTTGAACCTAAAAGATTAATTAAATACTTCTACTAGCGCAAAAATATTTTTAAATTCAAAACAGTAGTTCGTGAGGTTAGCGTGTTCCAACAAACGCGTCAGGTTTATAATATTAGTATTGATTAGTATCTAACTGTATTTACTGTAGGTTTAAAACGTATCGTAAGTTATAGAAAGTTAAAAATTATAGACGTCTCTCGTTTTTCTATCTCTACAGATACGGATCAACGCTAGGATGGCCGGGGCGTCGTTCAACTGCTAGCAGCCGACGAGAATCAGATCGAGATCTTCGGGATATAGGAAGGGAACACAGAGACTCGCGCGAGCACCGCGATTCGGGACGAGACTCTGGGCGGGACTCGAGAGACCCGCGGGATTCTGGGAGAGACTCCGGTCGAGACTCGAGAGACCCACGGGATTCTGGGAGAGACTCGGGTCGCGACTCGATTCAAAACTCCAGAGATCCAAGACGGCGAAGGCGGGAGGAGTCTAAAGCGCGCCCTAACTATCGGTTCTCGAACGATTTCTCACCTCGAGAGAAAGAACACTCACCGTTCGATAACGATTTCCAAGAGACACCAGCCGCTGCTGTTAAGAAACGAGCGCCCTATTCCAGCTTAGAGGGAACCAGGTATAATATCAACCCACTAGTTCATTCATGTCCATTTAACAAATAATCTAAATGAATCTATTTTAACGGTTAACACCCAATATTATTAATAATATTAGCTAATTTATTTTATTCTACGACCCGGTGTTTCGGATGCACCAGTCTTGGTCCGGATGGATTTTAGATAGAGGTGTCCTTAATGTCAAAGTCATATCTGCTTCACTAGCGCCATTTGTTTCATCTTAGTTGATATCTGGAGAAACGAGGTATAGAAGCCACTAATGCAAGGGCGGTAGTTAATAAAAACTAACTATATTAATATTTCGCGTTTTAAACCATTCAAAGTGTATTGATTTAATATGTACTACTAGCGTAAACTACGGACAAAGCTTATGGATGGTCCTAAGGTTGGCCTTCGCCTTTGCATTTGCTTATAAAGAAAGTTTAAATATATGTACTTGAATTGAATCATTTTTTTTAAACTTTTTCACACGTTATTATTGCAGATTTATATCAATTCAAAAACGATAGCAAGTTCCGCCCCTGTTGTCAATTTTTTTTCTATTTTAAATATCTTTACGTAAAATATAAAGACTACTTCAAAATATGTATTACGGAAATAACATTGTAGTGTATTGAACAAAAATAATGCGTATTTGGTCTTTCAGGTTCGCATTCGAAGAGGACACTACCGCCTCCCCTGTGTCCGGTAGTTCAGCGCGCGCGCGGGACGGCGATTCACCGGCCGCTCGTTTCCGCTTCGATTCCGACTCTATTTCCCCCCGGTCCATGTTCGAAGATGACTTCACGCTCCCACCAAACCCTGCACCGCCACGCCCCCGCACAGCGTCCATCGCGGAGGAAGAGGAGGGCGACCTACCGCCTCTCAGAGCTAAACCGCCCCCTCACAGGGATATAAAGAAATCAGACTCGGTCAACATCTTCACCCGGGAGTCAGACCCATTTGAGGGAGACGCCTTCTTCGCGTGTACCGGTTCAGATAGAGTTGCGAAGAGAGAGAACTGGCCGGGAGACTTTGTAGCCTTCGAGGATATATGACGTGGTGATTAGGGCATATTTTAACTCGTACTATACAATACTCGTTCATTTAAATTAAACACTTTAATGGTTTAAAACGCGATATATATGAGCACGCTAGAGGCAGAGTGCCATAATAATAAAAAACATGACTTTCAATAGTGAGGAAAATAAAAATGTGCAATTAACTTAGGCGAAAATGAATTTGTACTATTATTTGTGTAGATTAATATTTTTAGACTATGAAAATATAAATAACTCAAGTCATAAAAATTGCAGTTAGGCTACTCTGCCTCTAGAGGCCTCATTACTTAAACTGCGGCTGCTGCAAAGTATTCGAAACGTCGAGCCGTAGTTAAAATTATCTCCAAATAAGTTTAACCAATATATATCGCATTTTAAACCGTTGAAAGTTTTATTTCAATGTGTACTACTCGCGTAAACTACAGACAGTATTTAACCTCACCTGGTTCAACTTTGGATTCGATTGTATTGAAGTTCCGCTGGCTCGGAACAAACCATTGTTCGCATAATATCTCAACTGATAAAATGTACTCTGATATAGATATTTGTGATAATTGATAAGCCAAACAAACACTATTAACTATACCTATTGCATACAACGGCGGATCCAGATCCCCCTGGGGGGTTCCCCCCCCCCCCTCGCGCTGGTTCCTGGCCTTAGGTTTTGGAACATATTGATTTTATTAACAAATTATTTTGTGTATTTGTAAATTCTTTTAGTATATAATAAAATACTTACTTTCTACAAAGTATCTATTGTTATCAAAATTAAAATCAAACATTTGACCCCCCCTGGAGCCAAAGCTGGATCCGCCCTTGGTTGCCTGACAATTTAGGAACCACTAAGTTGTCATATTGAACCATTTGATATAAACAAATCTCACTTTTTGTAACATTAAATATTTGTACCCTAAGTATAGTCCTGTGATACGGAAACTGTAAAATCTAAATGTTTGATGTTCATATCTAGAAGTCACCTATATAGCGAACCACGCACGGTTTTCAAAAACTCATAAATATAAGATTAACAGGCTTACCGACTTTCGTTAACTAAGCTATATAACCATTCTGATATTATTCAAACATTATTAACGGTTTAAAACACGAAATATATTAGTTACGCTTTATTGTTCTCCGTTATCATAGCTGCAAAACGTCGGTTCTTAGTGAAATTAGCTAATAGATTTCGCGTTTGAAAGTGTTTTATTTTATTGCGTACTCACATAAATTACAAACGGTATTAGGATATTCGAATAATTTAGTTTTAATCCAACATAGTCAATTTTTCATATTCAAAGGTCTAAGTGTCTTGGTTTATTTCAAAATGACATGCTTATTGAAGACCTAAAAACCAAATATATTCTTTGAAAATAAAAAAGTAATTTGTATCCTAATATGGCTCTAGATACCTTCGCTTTAAGTCAAGTGTCTCCAAGTTCTAGTATTTGAGGTCCTGTTCGATGTCGTCTAACCCACCTCCACTGTATTCTCTTCTCTTCTATTCAAGCAACAAGCCCAATGTAACTAGGTCTTCATCACTACATTTGGTTATTTGTCTATGATGCTACGAATGCTTCACTTACCATCATCTAGTCATTAAATACTACTTAGGGTTTCCAGCTCTTCGGCTGCCGTAATCGTCCTTGGCTAAGACGAGATCTGATGACGTCATCCACATTTGATTGCGTCGAGAACTAATTCTCAATTACAACGGCTGAAGAACTGAACACCCCAAGTGGCCGCGAAGGTCTTGTACATTTCCCGAAAAACATTTAAATAATAATTAATGGACATATAAAATAAACTGATGTTTGTTCAGCACATCATAGAATAAGTCATGGTGATAACCAGGTATTTTGTAAATTGTTATCATTTGTACGGTTCATTTATATTTGTGATACATTCGTTATTTTTGATTATACAGGGTGTACGTGGCAATTTCTTGCCATTCATTGGGTCATGCCATCATGCATTTAATTCATAATACAATTCTTGCCAGCGAAAAGTGCACTATTTAAATGTTAACTGTTAGGGCACAAAACGCATGGTTTCTTTTTAATAAAATTATGTAAATATTTTGCTCATGAAATTCCGTATTGCTTTGTAAATAGGTAATTTATTGATTGATATTACATTTTGACATATTGATTTCACATATTCAAGTATTGTATGTATTCAAAATGAATTTGTATAGAAATGTTTCCCATTTAGTCATTTTGTTAAATGCTGTTTTTTTATTTATAATTAAATTTAAAGGATAAATAAATATCGAAAACAAATTGTACTTTTCTTTCCCGAGCAATATATTATAATATGACATATAGAAATATCTAATAATTTCTCGTTTAGAACAGTCTGATGATGTTTAAATTTGTCACAATGTGTTTGAAGAATTTCACCACGTTATTGCCAAAAAATGCTTGTTTTTACACAGGCGATGTATTTTTTCATTTATTAACGTAGATCACTTGAAACATGTTAAATAGGTTTAGTAAAATTAAATTATAAAATACTAATTATCGTTAGAAAGATTTGCGTTCGTTCTTAACGAATGAAAACCTCGCACACGACATTATCAATTTCTCTCACTTTAAATTTTACGGGTGGTCCCTTGATCACCCGTAAATTCCTTAATTTACCTATTTTTTTCTACCGTCTAAGCATGTAGGTACAAGATATAAGCTCAAAAACTTTAACATTCTGTTAGTATTGGTGACCACTGAGCAAGGTGGTGCTACAAGCCCCGGAAATGGCCCCCTGGCCAACAACCCAACACTAAATACCTACTAGGGATGATAATTCGACATTGAGTAACTGGAAGAAATCGTAGCTTTGACATCGACGTTATAAAAATTAGAAAATAAATTCCAATGTCTACATGCCTATGGAATTACAATTTTATTTAAAAAAACCCAGTAGCTGATTTAAATCATTACCTAAAGATAGGCAAAATATATTGATTTTCTTAAATATGATATTTTTTAATCTCTTTGTTTAGAAAGTATCATTAGAGTTCACAAATCGAATTTATCGTAACATAACGTAAATCGAAAGTTATTATATATACAATTATTCTTCTCTATTTATACACTTAATGAAAAAATGATTTCAGCAGTTGCAACATATGGAACTAAACGTATTTATTGCTTCTAAAATCAAAACTATTTTTGACGATTTAAAAATAAATGAAAATATTACATATTTTTATTGCACATGATGGCACTGGGTATATACCTACATTGAAAACGATCTATTTTTTAATTATGATTTTATTTTAGTCAAGTCCAGTACCGATAGAATTTTGGCCATTATTCTTTAAAGAAAATATCTCTTACGTATTTCCAGAAAGGCTAGTCCTATAGCAACAATGTAACCCATTGTAGGGAAAACACTTGTTTAAGGTGTTTTTTTTTACTAACTGATTGTTAATATTTATGTGTAACTTTTGTTATTTCAATAATAAATAATTTTTATAAACATAATAGACAATACATAAACAAAATAAATTAGACCACAGATGTAGTGAGGAATCAGTTTGGCTCTATATAACTGTCACAGAATTCGTATAATGGATGTGGCAAAAGCTGTCAAAATTATTGTCAAGTTAAAACTGAAAATTCCACTCTGTGATATTATTATACCTTGATACGAATACAACAGCTGTTTTTCTGTTTTGTTACGTTTGTTTCCTTATTCTTCGTTCTTAAAAGGTAGATCAGTATATATTCTATAGGTCATGCTAGATTTTATTGTACGAATTAGTGTAAATATTGAAAATGAAACAAAGGTAAGCGTAGAGCGTCTAGACGTAGTAAGGACGATCTTTGTTCTTTATTACTAAATTCTCCGTTCTCTAGGACACGTCTTCTACAAAACGGCGATGATATTTTAACCAATATGAACATGGAGAACGACATTCATTTCAATGGACACATACAGCTACACAGAATAAAGCCACAGGATCATTTCATTGAAGCACAAGTTCAGGAGGGAGACACTCTACAAGCGATTGCTCTTCGATTTCATTGTTCTGTGAGTGTTATAATCAACCTTCTATCTACCTCATACAACTTCCGTTAATTAAACGACTTGACAAAAAGTCCATAATTGATTTTGAAGTTTGTTGAACAAAAAATTGAATGTATATATTAATAATGTATGTTTGTAAGATTTCAGAATTAAAAAGAATCAATCAAATACACAAAGATAATGAAATATATGCAAGGAGAACAATTAAGGTCCCCGTTACGCCATATTCTGTTCTTACTGAATTAATACCAACTATAAAACCAGAAGTTCCAAAACCATCAACATCTATACATGCTCCCACTACATTGACTATGGAGAATTTAATGGAAAATCCTGTACAAAATAAAATTGTTCAGAAGGTAGACAATGAAGTGAAGGATGATTTTGAGATAGATTGCAATGCTGTTGTATTGAACAGTACGCTTGCACCTTCTGTGATTCCATATACAGATACTGAACCAAATGAAACAGTGTCTGAAGACACACAGCTGTTACCAAATAAAGATAGGGTATCCGTCGAGGCTGTGGTAGTTAAGCAATTGACATCACAAGGAGCCGATTTTGGCCTAAAATGGTTCCACCTTGTGTGTTTTGTACTAGTTCTGGGTGTGATTGCACCTATAGTATATGTGCTGTTCTATTTAGACAAACATGAACATTCAGATATACCACCGTTACATCCTACATGAATGTAATCGGCACCACTAATTCAAAGCTTTAATGCATACATTTTATGGAACCCATTTTATTACATTTTGTACTATTTTAAGCAATGAAAACATGTGATTAAAAATTTTACTAAGTATTTGTTTTTTTTTCTACATGGAGGAAAAGGAAGAGAAATAATATCAGTCTCACAAAATATACTATTTATTCATTTCTATACTCTATCACTTTAAGGTACATGGTGTAACAAAAGGTTGCCGAGTGGATTTATTGCTGTTAAATTTTATAAATTTGAATTATAAATGCATTCAATTTGTAAAAAAAATCACAAGAACATTACAACCCGTAGCAATTGATTAGATTTTATAATAATCAAGTAATCAGTGTGTAAATTATTCATTATAGGTACAAAATGAGCCTCAGTGTTGCCAACTTAGACAACCGCGTTGATATGAATTTCCATTAATAGTTTCCACCACGACCTAGAGATGGGTTGCTCTCGTGGACACTGAAATAAAGATTATTGGTTTAGAGCTAAGTAAGAAACATAAAATTGTCCCCACAGACTATTAAATTTAAATACAGAGTTGTGTATTTCGAAAATTATAAACTAAACAGAAGATAATATTAGTATGTTAGTGAAATGGATTCTAAAGTATTTAATTGTATGTATAATATAATAAAGACATGAGTGAGGTTAGAATAAAATACAGCCCACTTCAACGTATATGACAATACTCAGCGGTGCGAAAATCTTCTTTCGACGCGTGCGCCGGCCCATTGTAGGGAGACTTGTGATTCCTTGTTATAAGCAATCAAACAACAAAATCACTAGTCTTCCATACTATGAGCGGCCTTCCGTTAGTGATGGTCACAACCTGCTTATAATGTTAAACACAAAACATGTAGATGATATAGAAATGATTTGCTATAAATAAACACCCAAAAATATTTATATTAAAACCATTTACATAATATGATGGAAAGACTTGATATAAATCACTCAAACGGTTTAATACGCGATATATATCAGTAACCTTATTTGAAGATTATTTTAAATACGGCCCGACGTATCGGATTTGCAACAGCCGTGGTCACGGGGAGACTAAAGATGGCGGGTGTGTCTGACGTTAAAGTAAAAAGCTGCTACGCTAGCGCCATCTGTTCCGTCGAAGTTGGTATTTGGCTAATAGGTATATATCGCGATTTAAACCGTTAAAGACTAACTTCAATGTGTACTACTCGCGTAAACTACAGACAGTATTTAAGGAAAGACTTTCTACAATTAGAATGACAAACACTACCTACTTTATATGTTTTGTAATTTTACCTCCACCAAAAGCAAAGCGATGAATACTTTCAAGCTGAACATTTACTTAATCTTAGTTTTGTTTGCAGCCAAATCGGGGAACTCTTGAAACATTCTATTGCAAAATAAATCTGGTTAATATAGCATACAAATAGAGTTATTCTCTTTGTGCACTGATGGTACAAAGTTATATTATTAGTTGCGAATGGCATGTTGTTTTTCACATGATTATGCGCATGAGACTACAGACCTAGCATGCATTTGTTTTGCTATTTAATGCAACATGCCAATGTATAAATAAATCATTTAAATAAGAATGCTGCACACGGCAAGGTAGGTCGATCACAATATGCGGTATATCTATAAGATATAAAGCTGAAGAGTTTGTTTGTTTGTAGGTTTGAACGTGCTAATCTCAGAAACTACTGGTTCGAATTGAATTTTTTTTTTGTGTTGGTTAGAGCATTTATAGAGGAAGACTATAGGCTAAAACATCACACTGTGACTAATACAAGCGAAGATATAGCGAGTAATGTGAATAAATTGGGAAAATTATTCATCATTATGGGTTACCGACGCGTACGCTCCCAAAACCGTTCACTATACCCACACAATATGTAGAGTATGATTCCTCTTTAAATGATCTAAAAAAAAGTCCGCGACACTATGTCTATCTTTTAAGATTAACACAAATTTTTGATGTCCAAAATAGCGATTCTCGCGGACGAAGTCACTGACACAGCTAGTGATATTATAAAGAGAGATATTACAAAGCTAAGTTTAGGGCTCTAAGTCGTAACCCACCTCTGCTGCAGCAGATACTGTGCCATCTGTATACGATGAGGAGTGCCTGTGATGGTTATCACTCGGTCGTTCGCCCCAGGCAGCGGTTCTGCTATTTCAATTGCTGCACCGCTGTCAGCGCGAATCTTGCGGATGCGGGAACCAGCTTTACCAATTATTGCACCGGCTAACTGTAATTCAAACAGGCTGTTGTTGAAAGATAATCATATCCACATTTAGTATTGACTTTGGTGAACAATAGTATAATATTTATTTAATTTGTATGTAATGCGGAATTTAATTCCACAATGATTTATGAGTTTTATAAATAATTATTGAATACAAAATTCTTATCAAAATCTTGAACCACCGGTGATCAGCTTGATCGGTATTAGTAGTGAAGTTTATGGTTTACGTATACTCACATCTTTAGGTATAGTGACTTGTGTAGTGGTCTCTTGCTGATTGCTGTTGCTGCCAAAGTTGCCACCACCTCGGTTACCACTGAACCCGCCTCGCGGTGGACCAAAGTTTCCGCGGGGTCCCGAAGAGTTGAAGTCATTGAAAGGCCTCGGCGGGGGTCCGTTGCGCGACATTGGGGGACCGTTCCGTGACATGGGTGGTCCGCCGCGCGGCGGGGGACCCCTGTTGCCGGGCCCCGGTGGGGGCATCGAGCGGGATCCACGAGACGGCGGGCCCCTCGCACTGTCCTGGCCGTTGCCAAAGCCACCGTATTCCTCAGCGTAGAAATCGTCATAGTTGTGAGGATCGTAGTTTTGGACAGCGCCTCTGATGGGGACCTGAAGTAGACATACATGTTCATTATAATATTTATATGGTAGACATACAAATTTAATCCATTTTCCCCTCGTGGGGCTTAGAATGAGTACATTTCTGTGACCGTTTTACTAATCGGTTTTGTTTACAGGAAAGTAGTAAGTCAGACTTCCGCACCATGCACAGAGGCGGACATACACATGACAGCTTATATAAAAATTATTGTAGTTAATCGTGGCTTCGAGTCCCGTCTTCTATGGTTTTCTTTTAAATTATCTGAAATACTCATTGCACGTGCAATTAAAAAATAATTTAAGAATCCTCACTTGTCTGATAAGTTCGAGTACTTCCCGGATACCGGCAGCAATGGCATCTCTCCTCCCAAATAATTGCACGACGCGTTCGGTGCTCTGTGGCGCTGGGTTCGAGAAGATCTTTAGACGAGCGCCAGTTTTCTGCAGAACAATGATATATTAGTAGTAGTAAAGAAGTACATTTGTCATAGTGCACCTTCAATAAGTAACTTAACGGTTTTTGAATGTAAAGTGTATTTTTTTAGTAGTCTGTTAAATAAGTTAAGTTTTCACTTTTTTATTCGTAAAAAGGTTTATATCGCTTTTAGTTAAAAAATATTACATTCAATTCATTTGTGACAAATGTAATATTATAAGGGACAAAAAAAAAGATTTTTTTTTCTGCGTTCTCGATTTTTAACTTCGGCCTGAAGTGTCGGGGAGACCCCGTGACCACGGCTGCTGCAAAGCATCCGAAACGCGTTTTAAACCGTTAAAGTGTTTTATTTAAATGTGTACTACTCGCGTAAACTACAGACAGTATTTAGGTAAAAAGAAAGTAATTTCTATACGACAAATTACACAGACAAACACTCTTTTAATCTTTTTTATTTATAGCCACGTAATTACCCGAGTCAAATTGTGGACTTGTGCTACTCTAGGCCATGCCTTAAATTACGGAAGCAGTTTCATAAAATACACAATAGAAATACGACCAAAAATGATACATGTAAAGTGAAAGAGACCTTTTTTTCGGAGCCTTTTTTTCAGAACTATCTGATAATATTTAAAAATTCGTATAGATTAGCAAAAAAATTAAGACAGCCGTTTTAATAAAATCAATCAAGTTGTTATTTAAAAATAAATGATATAAAAGTCTAACTCTTTCTAATTAATTAATTAATAATGTATAAGAAAATTACTCTTCACTGCTTCTTCTTTCTATCGTTTTGGCCGTACATAACAGTTAAAGTATTACTTTGTAAGAATACATTTCTATTTTCTTTTCACGAAACAAAAATTTACGAAACGTTTTAAGCGCACTGCAATATGTATGTACGGGAAGGCACAGCTTTTCGTCATGAATAAATAACGATTCGAGCTATATACCCCCCAGTTAGACAGCGAACTTGGCTTCAGAACCGGGCTTTAGTCGATTTGATCGCAAACAAGAAGCACCGCATTGTTAAATGAAATGGTTGGTAATTACATTTTCATTATTTAAGTGTGGTATGACGTTTCCCACCAGCACTGCGCATGCGCCATGAGATCGACCGCCGCACGTGGGCCACCCATGTCGTCACGCACAAACACTAGACAGTTGAACGAACACTCACACTTCCTAAACAACCGCGGTGATAGTAAAAAGAAATCACAAAACGACATCACTTATAGGGTAAGAGGGCTCGGTCACTGACACTGACAATACGGAGCACACACCGTTGGACGCGACCATCTTGGAAGACGGCTGGCTTCGGAATGAGGCAGGGTGCCGGCAGCAACGTGCAACACCTGACGACCCTGCCTCCCGCGCGAAAGGTGCACTTGTAGGGCTCCACGCGCCACGCCTACGCTCTACCAACGCCGGCTCTACTTGTTAACAAACTTTATTCGCGACAAAGGATCTTTGTCTACGCTATAAATTGATATATTCCTGGCGATAGGCGTTATACAGATTATAATTAAACTAGCGACCCGCTCTGGCTTCGCTCGGGTGCAATGCTGATACAAAAAACACTACAGAAACACTGTGAACGTTGTATACAAAAACCTTCCTCTTGAATCACTCTAACTAGATTAATAGATATATTTAAAAAAACCGCCTCAAAGTCCGTTGCCTAGTTTTAAAGATTTAAGCGTACATGGGGGACAGAAAAAGCGACTTTGTTTTATACTATGTAGTGGTACATACATACATATACATATTTCATTATTTATATAGATATCTTGAGCCTTAACTATATAAATGATGGCATCCAGCCAGATGTAGGAGACAAAAGAGTGGCCGTGGGTCGATACACGGGGTAGAATGGTACGCAGTACGAGGAAGCCGTACCAGATCCCATCGGAAACGGAAGCTCGCGTGCCCTGCACGTAATAGCCATTGTCACCACCAATCGCCGACTATAATTACTGGACAGCATATGCTGTGTGTGCATATGCAGTCCTCAAATTACAACTTGCGACAAATGTCACTGTCATTACATATCTATTAAATATTTTTTAGCGCAGCCCCTTGTTATTTACTGTTGGATCACAGCCAAGTTCCAGGGGAATTGGTGATGACACTTTAGTGGAATTTGTTTTATAATTTATCCTATATAATATATAAAGTCTAATCACATATGTATATGCTAAAAGGCGATCGTTCGGACAATATAATATTTTTTAAAAATCGAAAATAAATTGAAAAAATGTTTGACTCGGGCAGGGTTTGAACTGGCATCGTCAGCGTTCCGTGCTGTTGCTCTACCAATTGAGCCAATAATATTTTTTATCAATCTATCAATACATACCTAGTTTTTAGATAGTACTCGAAAACTTTGCGAGAGTCCACATCGCGCCAAGCCAATTTTTCTGTATCGCCTTTTTGATGGCGCATCCTGTGCCTCTTTTGAAAAGCTAGCATCTAGGATGTGTGGGAGCGTTGAGCACAAAAAGCTCTCGTCACGTGCGCGGTAACTGGAACTCGGCGCCGCGCACTTCCGACGGATGGAAACCCCTCACGAACACGTGTTCCCACCCTTTCCCCGACACAATCGCTGCGTCGCACAATTGTCCCCGTACCTCCGAGTTCACGATTGGAACAATCGAATGAGGTTAGGAAGCCTTGCCCGTTCAAAGTTCCACGAAATCGCCTCGAGTTCGCCGAAGGCTGTCGTATCGATTATTTGTAACTCAACGGCAAAAAACTCATGAATTGAGGCGATCGCGTGACCGGCTTACACATCACGACGAATTATAAGTAACAGCAGTTCACTTACAATTTACACTCAGCTGCAGATCATGAGGTCCAGGATTCGAATATAGGTCAATCAACGCAGCTGCGGTATAAGCTATGTTTAAAATATACATTCTAGTAACAACCCGGAAGTAGCTGTCATCTCCCTAGTGCTTTGAAAAGCAGGTCGGTTAAAAAAGCATCGTAGGCGACTCTTATAACCCTCTTCTATGCGAGAGAAGTCTATCAGACCAATAAAGCTAAAGTAAAAGAAACCTTAGTTCAGCGCACGCGCAGTTTTCTGAGTCTGGCGAAAAACCTCGAATAACTTTTGATATCAACAGCTATTCGAGATCTGTTTACCTAATACAATTAAAATGTCTAATGATAATTATGTAATCGTTATTATAGATATGTTGCAGAGGGGATGTAGATCTTTCTACCTGAAGAGTTTAAGGGATTCGTCCTATACACGAGTGTGATGGAAGGTCTCCGCATTGTGCAAGTAGGTAGGCGGAGGTGCCCAGGTGCGCGAGCGGTTTTTGTGCGGCCTTCCGGCGCGGCGGCTGCGCCAACACCTGCCGTGACAGCTGCTCATGCGCACGCGTGCGACGCGGTAACGCGGCGTCTTACCTAACGCGCGTTAAGGCAATCTTATAACATTCACTAGCTGTGGCCGCGACTCCGTCGTATAGAATGGTTAATTTGGGCATCAAAATTCAAGCTGTTACGACGTCGTCCGCGTCCCGTCATTTTTGCAAGCATTTCCCCCTTTTCTTTCTCATTGCTCACTGTTTGTTTGCTCATATTGGCCGCCTAAATCATCTTCATCCAAAATACCACGTGTTCATTCGCAAATTATTTGATTAAAAGCGTAAGGGGATTGCGAAGATACAATTAATGATTAAAACGAAAAATAGTTTAAAAGTAACCTACGAGGCTCAAACTAGATTTATTACACACGTATTATTCTCTCCAATACAAAAGGCAAGGAATAGAAAAACAACCGGTTTATACCTGGTGTAAATGACAAAAGATGTAGATAATAACAGCTGATCGACGTAAAAAAAACCATTCAAGTTTTTCACGGAATTCATTTTGTAAAGCTAACATTAAGCTGAGCTACAAATCAAAAGTCGAAAGTAAATAGATTCGAAAAAGAATATTTATAATAATAATATACGTAACTAGGAATGCGTACGAATAATTAAAAAAAGGTTTACTAACTCTCTAATTAATATTAAAATTCCAGATTGTTTCGAAGCAGTTCCCGGTAAGTTTACGAATAAGTAATGTTTGCATATCCTAGATACTTTCCATATTGAAAATTTACAATTATAATTACGATCGTAGTCAAAAACACGTTACTTATATATTTTGCATATTAAACTTTTTAAGTATTTCATTATAATGTGTAAAATAATAAAATATACTCTGTAGTACGCGAGTATATTTAAATAAAACTTTCACGGTTTAAAACGCGATAAATATTAGTACAATTATTTTTATTTTTACTTCGGCCCTTAAGTAGTACACATTTAAATAAAACACTAACGGTTTAAAACGCGCTATATATTTGTTAAACGGGCAGACTAACCGTGACCACGGCTGCTGCAAAGCATCCGAAACGTCGAGCCGTAGTTAAAGTAATTTTTAAATAAGTATAATTAATAAAATACATCGCGTTTTAAACCGTTGCAGTGTTTTATTTAAATTGTATTTAAATTACAGACACTATTCATTTTCTCCTATTAAAGGCCGAGAATTGTTGTTTTTTTTATTATTATAATCTGTTTTAAATAAGAGAAACTGTTCAAGTGAGTAGATGTGCAAACAACCCAAACTCAATTTATCATGGTTATGAAGCGTAATGTCTGTGGCTGATAGAGATTGCAAAGTTCCAGCCTGTTTGAAACTTTCGTAATAGGTAGAGGCAGTTAGCGATCGGAACGTGCAACATTAGGTCTCATCCTCGCTAGTTTTACTGCGTTGTCAAGTCTCACTCAAGCTTTGCATGCTTAGCATATTACCAGTGTAGTGATAGCTTACTAATGAGGGTAGAAATAGATAGGAGATAGAGAATAGAATTTTATTAAAAAACTACCTGACCCGGCATAGGTTTTTTGTTGTTTGCAAATGTGAAAGACCCTCGTAGGGCACGGGGCGAACGCATTTCTGCGTCCGTTTCATTGATCCGTTCTTTTAACGGGCAAGTAGTTGTGGTTCGAACGTTCGTTAGCTGGGATTCGAACCCAGGGGCTCTAGCGCTCAACGCAATGCTAGGCAATACGTTTAGCCATTTGGCTATAGAGGCGGTCAATATTATTATATTGATATACTTGAGTCGAACAAATAATTGGTAATGCATTAATTTCGACCAAATTTCATTACAACGCAAACGGTTCTTGAAAGCTAATCTTAACATATACTGACGGGAATCTTTTTTAGATAATTTAAAGAGGAAAGGTTCTTTTATACACATTTTTGGTTACTTGAACCGTTTTCGCAGCGCACGCAACAGAAGCACTCAAAAATGAATATTTTTCCCGATTTTTATTTACTGTTTCTTCGCCCCTTTTAGTCGCATCGTGATGTAATATAGCATAATTTAATTTAATTTTCTATTCGAACCAGTAGTTCCAAGATTAGCGCGTTGAAATAAACGAACTCGTCATCTTTATCATATTATACTAATATAGATATCGTTGAAAAACTATAAAAACTGAACGCATGTATAAGTACATCTGTCTAACGTCTTTGCAAACATTATAACAATGTGACGTCATAATTTAAGCTGTTTACCGCCAGTCAAATGTAGGTTTTAAATCGAACCTAGCGAAATACATTTTGTATTACTCCTAAAAAGCAAGAACCGAGATGTTAAAATCTAATTTGACAAGAATAACGAACGAAACGTGGCGTACGTACACAAGTCATTCGTACTGTTTATTCCAAGCTCATGATCGTTAACTTGGCTCCTACCCCCGAACGATCTAGAGACAAGCGATCGACCCACATGCCAGTAATTGGGAGCACCTCCTAAAAGGCCATCGACTAGTCTGCTTGGAGCCTTCGCTTTAACATTGTTTGTGCAGACGCGATGACAAATTGGCCGGGCTTTTAAACTTGATTACGTCGCGTGCAACATAGGATATTGATCGTATACAATAAAAGGTTGCACATTGTTTCCGTTATAAGCGTAGTGTTAAAACTTGCGCCATAGTTACCCGCCGATTGGTATTAAACGCGTTTAACGGTTTAAAACACGAAATATATTTGTATCTCCGACCGGACGTTTTAGCACTAGTATAAGGAGAATTATTAGTAGTGTTTTATATTACCATTTACATAAACTACAGACATTATAGTTTGTAAGCTTATGTAATGGCGTCCATATTGCCGGAACAGGTTTGTTTTTGTTTTACACACGTATTGATATTTGAAAACGTTAATATTTTGCCACTATATAATATATAATAAAATAATCGATTTTAGTTTGAGAACCATTTACGCCACGGGCAGGACTTGAACCGGCGTCCACAGCGTTCCGTGATGCGCGAACCAATTGAGCTACAGTTTCAACTGACACAATAGCGCAATTGGTTATAGAATTTTAACGTATTAACAGTTAAACAGACCCGATTATATCTTTTGATTTACGTAATTTTTGTGAATTGGGATATTAGACAATTATTATATGAAATAGACGAACTGACAACACCAGGCGTATTCAGATAAGATAGAGTATAGGCAGCAGCTGCATTGCCATCTGCCCTTCATCTGACAGCGCCCCGGTGCATTAGGGTTGCCAACTTTATATATAAAAACTGGCTACACGCTAGTCGTACTTACGTACCAAGGGTTCCGTATCTTTGATTAGGCACTTAGCAACTTCTTTTGTAATTTCAAATTTATCTATTGCGATTATGTAAGGAAATCTTTCTTAGATTCGTACGACAGTATTTCGTGAATATTTAAAGCTCAAAACGGGAAATATTCATATTTTAATCTTATTGTAATTATTGAAAAAATGTTTAAGGGCAGTTATATGATAGCTGCCCTTAAATATTTTATTTTAGTATTTGTTATTGCGGCAACAGAAACACCTATGGAGGTCAATTTTGTATTCTTTGAGATCTTACTTTATTTTTATTATATACATTTCTCTAAATCATTTATCACTTAATCATTTCTTTTTCTTTAATCTTACCGTATAAAGATTCGTTATGATCTTTGTTATTTCTTAGGTGCTAAAGTTAGTTGCTAAAGATACTTTACAATTTACAATTTAAAATCCTTAGCTATCACGGTTCTTAATATATAACCTGGTGATAGCAGACCATTTAGTTACGGACCCTTGAAACGTGTGGGCTATTTTTTTTCTCAAACCTTAATAAGCTGGGATTGCGAGGCGATCAAGATATAGAGAGAAAAAGTTGAGTCGTGATTGCTTACGAGCAACTCTCGTTAAGCAGATGAAGCCATTTTATGGGACATCTGCTGAACACCTTTCGCTTATACGCGTATGACTATATGTAAATTAAATCATTCGGAATGATTGCTCATCAAATTTTAAATGCGTCAACTAATTATAAAATTAGACTACAGGTGATCTCACGGTTAATAGACCACAATGGTAGGTAGCACCTACTACCTATAGAGTAAATTCCTAACTTGAGAAAAGACTACATTTTACAGAACCCCCAGTAATGATCATTTACAGGAGTTGAAGCCATTGAAGCCACAGATCAACATAAGATATACATACAGAGATAAAGAATCATCTATTATATCCATAAAAATGTCAAGTTAGAAAGAATACATTATGTGTGAGATATTCAGTTTTATTTTTGCTACCCTGCGTCAAATAATATATTTTTTTCCCTAAATGAAAGTTATAATTAAAACTCACCTCTCGCAGTTCTTTTATCTTTGATCCAGCTTTTCCGATGACGCAACCAGCTCTGCTCTGATGTATCAGTAGACGGACGTCCAGGTCGTCACTGTTCCCTCTTTGAGCCTTATAAACAAATTGTGATTTAATAAAGAAATTGATAAAATTGCTTTTGAAAAGGATCAAGATTCTATTTCATACATAATTAAAAGATTAAAAAAATGGAATAAAAGTATATCGTGACCCATTTAAAGATTATAGCTTATAGACATTATGTCAAAATAATTAGTGAATAGGAATTTTATAGAATTGTTTAATAGGGCGACTGAAGTCCCATTTTTGGACCACAGTAGCTGTAAAGCCTTCGAGCCGTGGGGTCATACTAAAATTTTAACGAGTGTACGTATAACAAATACATTATACTACTTTATTTTTAGGTATCAGTGAACTTACATCAGCCAAGTTCGGTAGAATTTCCTTCACGATATCCATAATGAGATCCAAATCCGCCGCTGTTATCGTGAGTACACTGAAAGGCAGAAATCGGGCTATAAAAGGCGTTCGTATCTCTCGCGTGTCAGACAGCACAATATTCAGTTACCGTGTAAAACAAATTGTATCAACGGTCAGGGATATTCTGTACGGGACTGATGCTGAAGAATGACAAGATAGATTCTTAGAAGGACCTCGATGGGATGATACAAAGGATCTTCCTAACCGTTCGATCGTCGTCGGAATTTCGACACTTCGGTCGCGAAAAGGGAGTTAAGGTGGTGTGCGTCCTGCGAGGTGGTGATGAGGATCGGGAGTAAAGCGCATAACACCTGACTGTTGACGTAAGATCCAATTTGAGAGTAGTCTGGGATAATGTTTACCGTTCGGGGCCGAGGCAATCTGGGACTGTTATAGAGGCTTTAAACTGCGTGGCGGGGCGGCGGGTGCGGGGCGGCGGCGTCCGACGGGGCGGGACCGACAACCAAGAGCGTTGTAGCGGCGCACCACGCGACTCCACTCACCACCGGACACCATTGTTGCACCAACACTTCTCTATGCGAAACCCTACCGTTGCTGTGTCTTTTTGATAGTCTGAGATGATACAACATCGGACGTTTGAGCCACCAAAACGCTTTTGGTCGAAGCGAAAATTGGAAGAGATTTAAGTATCAGAGGTGCCATCGCATAGAGAAGATTTTGGCATTTCGAGGCCTGGTGGCGTGGTGTGCGGTGTGATTAGCGAGGAGGCGCGCAGTGCGTCGCGCTACTGACGCGTGGGCAGTAAAGACCTGTAACTGGCTGTCGGGGGGTTATTCTGTCTACTGGCTATGGACTGCCCGCTCCCTTGTTCCAGGGTCCGATGGGACCGGTAATTCTTCTTAAAAGTTATTGCTAAGCAAAGACAAGTATTAAAGAGGCAAGACAGGTTGTATATGTATTGATAAAAAACTATCAATTGTACGTCGATGTCGGTCGTAGGTCTACTGCAAATATGCTATCTAAATCTAAATAAAAATGCCTAGACTATGATTTACGGTGTTCTCTGCAATAAATATATATGTCGAATGATACTATGACAAAATATGGTATACTGTAGATTACCTATGAATAATATCGACATGTGTTCAATATTCGAAATGATCAAAGTACTCGTACGAATGTGACCTCCACATTAAAATACTGACCTGACTCCTCAACTTTGATATGTTGGATCCCCCTTTCCCAATTATTGAGCCCGCCACCTGTTAAATTAGAAATCGCGTACATATTACAAATGCGGGGGAGCAATTCTCAACACGTGATATTGATATAAGATGTAAGTCGACACAAATCGCTAATTATGTTAGCCAAAATTCGACGTAAATCTTATATGCTTTTTATGAATCGCCTCAATAAAGATTTGGATCTAGATTATATGGAGAATTTGGAGACAGATCTAGACCATTTCGTAAGTCACGACAATTCATAGAGTACATACAGTCTTAGTTTTGAATTTAAACTCTGTTAGGCACGCGATTTACCAACAGAACATAATTAAAATACGAACTTTACAAGATTGTAATTGTGTAAAATCGATTTTTAAGATTTTAATAGTAAATCAAATTGTTATTTTGGTCAATATTTTTAAAAATACTGTCACACACTTCTTTAGTATAGCTGTATTTTTTTGTTATAGAGGAGGACAAGCAAGCATGAAGTTCACTTGATGGGAACTACCCCGGCCATATAACATCTCAACGAGATGCGCCGTCGAACTATTCTGGCTTTAGATATACGGAAATCCACAGACTGAAACCGAAACGCGATAAAACTTTACAGCTTTTCCATCTGTGGGCGGTGGTTCGTGACCCGGACGGAATTTCGATATTCCTACCCTCACCCACTTCAAGTTAATATTCTTATTATATTAAATTCACAATAGTTATTAGGTATTCCTTATTGTACGTTTTTGTGCTTGAAAAAGCTTTTACACTCAAAAATGCGAGCACTCCAGTACAAATGTCAAAGTTCTTACCTTACTCGGAATAAGGAAGGTGATTTCCTCATCAGAATGCCGGTGGCGCTTCTGAACGGGGCCATCCTCGCCGTACGCTTCGCGTTTCATCTTTATTCTTTTACCTAAAGCAATACATTGTAGATTGTTAAAGTTTAGGCGTATTTAGGAGAAGCTATAAACAATATACTTATATTTAATTTACAATAGATTTGCTTTGACCATAGAGGCAAGAACCACTAAATCTTATATTCTTACTATTATTCGTATCGACGATTAACGATTAGGATACAAATATAGGAACTATTCATATTTGTATCCTAATTAATAGGACGCTCGGTTATTTAATTTTGAATAAATTGTATAAAATACTTATTGTGTTCAAGTTTGTCACGGTTTTTTAAATGTAATGTCTAAATTAAAAATCGTTTTTAGATTTCTAGTGTTCTACAATGCGTAGGACACGGTAGCTTAATTGGTTAGACAGCTTAATTGGTTAGACAGCTTAATTGGTTAGACGTTAGAGCATCAGTACAGAATGCTGTAGATGTCGGTTGAATTGCCACCCGTGGCGTCAAAAAGTGTTAGGACAACATTTGGGCAAAATAATTAATCAAATGGCGGTGATCGAAACCTGGACGTAATGAGAATCAAGGTACCAAAACACACAATAAACTTAATTTCATCGGTCTAGTCTATCCATTTAAGATAGGTACATACAATGAAATAATTTTGCTTTGGTTTTACTCTTGGTCTTTTCAATATATGATCGCATCTTTGGTTAGATTACTAGCGTTAAAAAACAATAAGCAATAAATCCTCCCCGTAAAGCCCGATAAATTCACGACTATTCAAAGGTATACGTGAAATGTTCGCGTAAAAAAATTGCCAAAGTGCGATAACTTTCTCTATTGCCCGATAAGAGTCGTCTAAATCGCTCCAACAATGAATTCTACTTATTTTATATGAGAGCAGATTTTTCTTACTTATTATACCCTATTGTCTTTGGATTTTTTAACGACGTTTAAGCTAAAGTTAAATGAATAAAGCTCTGACATAAGCGCCGCCTAAAAATCAGTCTGCTATACATCAGAAGCTAAATGAAAGTCAACTAATATTCGCGTTTTATACTGTTAACAGTGTTTTATTTACTTTTTACTATGCGGTGCATGGTATCAATAGATTGAAAATTCGACGATGGCGTGTAGGACACGGTAGCTCAATTGCTTAGAGCAACAGCATGTAAAGCTGTGGATGCCGGTTCATGCCCTGTCCGTGTCGTAAAATATTTCAATCTAAAATCGATTTTTAATTTTAACAAAAACACTGATTACTTTCTAACTATCTAGTAAAGATCGTTTATATTGTTTTAATTAATTTGTGGTTGCATTTATTAATTAACAACATTATGTATTATGTATAATGGTTTATAGCACTATACATTGGGCCGTCGATATGAACGAGCCGTCATATCCTAGCATGCATACAAGGGCGCATTATTTCAAGTGTGGAGTCCTAAATGTGCTAATACTACATTCTGGCGGGCAGGTGAACAAGGTCATTGACTCTCTGCTTTGCGTTCTTCGTCCACTATTTGTATTTCGAACTGCTATACAGTTCGAAATATTCCGACTATAACATTTTTGAATTTCGAATTCTGTATTAAGCTATTCCGACAGTTATACAATATTTCAAATAAGGAACAATTACAAGAAGCTTAGCTTACCCACTTGATTTATAAAGAAATAATTACCATAAGAGTATGTTCTATAAAAAGTGTTTGTTTGATATATCGACATATAAAAACTCGTTCATCGTTAAATTGAAATTTTAAATTGCTTAAAATTTAAAATGTTTATTCTTCGCCACTTTGACTTTTAATATTAAAAATGTCTTTTAGAAGTAAATGACAGTCTCTGCGACATTTTCTCTTTTTAAAACAACAAACCGCGCTATCAAACCGTTATAATCTATGGATTTGAAAGTGACGAAGGATCAAAGCATATGTGAATAGGTAGAGCCGGCCGAGGGCAGGTGTGCGCTCCACAAAGAGGTACCTAGGGACCGTCTCACGCAAAAAAGCGAGGAAAAAACAACGCTCCAAATGTCACTAACAGCTGTCTCACCTGCTACCATTTCTTATACGGGCTACACAACGAGCATATCTGTATATACCTTTATATATATCAAAGCAGTGGCTAGTATTACTATCTGTGATTTACATATTCAATCATAGGTTAATTAGGACAAAGATAACAACGGAATATACGGAATCACTCACCTCTGTCTTAGAATGGTGTGAGTATGGCTCGCGTACCTAGAAAAGAAGAAGGAACATTAGACTATATGCTAGCCCGAGGTGTCCAGTTAGAACACTATGACGTACATTATAAGCGCGTGTTTGGAGACGTTCGATTAGATGGTTGTCCACGAGTGAACTAACAGCGGTCGGGCTCCGCACGGGCGTTAGTAGGGCCTCGCGAGACTTTAGGGCGCCAACTCTGCACATGCGCGGTGCCCCGTCGATAACCCTGCTCAGTGTGCCTCGGGAATCGTCGAGACACACTGAAGCCAAGAATTACTAAGACGCAGCTTCTGAACATCCCGTTTTGATTGAAAAGACGAGAAATCTAAAATTCTTTAGAATAGAGTCCCTAGTCATCACACTAGGGCAAGCCTGGTCATGGGGCCACGTTACGGACAAGAAATAACTTACGTCTACTTACAATTACTACTTTGATTAATAGAACGCCATCATGTTTACTTGACAATACATAAATAAGCTCATAGCTCAAGAACGATTTTATGACAGAAGTTGTTTTCTTAGGACAAAATAGGACAAGCACGTTTACCCGATAGTACGTGATAAACACTAACACATTATATCTAAAATACGCTGTCGTCCTATCTTGGCCTTGAAATTTGGAAATCCACTGACTAAAACCAAAACGCAGATCTAAAACTTCACGGCGTAAGGTGGATAACAGCAGCACATATTACGTCTAAAATACACTGTCGACATATCTTTGTTTGGACATTCGGAAATCCACACACTAAAACCGAAGTGCGATCTACACTGTGCGATGTTTTCGTCTGTGGTTCGTTACCTGGACGGAACTTCATTTAATATCCAGTCTACCCACAAAGTCAAAAAATGTTACAGACAAATAAAAACATTGAATTAAGAAACGAGTTGGCTGCGTGGAATCGAACCTGCGACCCGTTGAACATTGAACAACTAAGACCAACGAGCCCGTCAGACACTGTAATATTTATATGAGATGAACAACGTTCAAATAATGAACTTAAGGTGTTTTAATTCAATTAAACAATTAAATATTAAGTTAATACGGCAGAAGGGTAGCATGCAATAAGGTCGTTAGACGCCAGTGTACAAACTTCACTTAACAAATTGACCACATCGCAATATACATTTTCTAAGTACAATATCGTCGAATAATAGATGATAGGGGATACTATCACCAGCGTAACCTGTATAATATAACATACGAGAGTAGTACTATAAGCATACAAGTAGAATTTTAAAAAATAGGTATTACATAATTGATATATCACTGTAGCTCAGAGCAACAGCATTTCTCGCTGTCGTCGTATGTTCGAATCCTGCCTTTTGACAGTTTTTAAAATCTATAATAAATTTTGGCACCCTCTTTACCAAGCGCGTGCTGCGTGAAGGGATTAGAATACCAAGAAAGAAGATTTTTCTGTCGCGGAGGGTTTATCTGTTTTATAATTTAGACAACAGAATCAGGGAATATTATTTGTATTTTATTATCATAGATGATGTCTGTAGTTTACGCGAGTAGTACACATTGTGTATTATGTATTTACAAATAATTGTATTACGCACGACATTTCGGATGCTACGCCAGCAGCCATGGTCACGGGGCGACATAACATAGTTAATAAAACTTAACGACACTATAAAAAAATAAATGACAAAAATATTAACTAATAAAACTAACAAAGTAAAGATCTACTCAAAAATACTCATTAATAATCCATAAAGCAAGTAAAAGGTAAAGATTTGTCTATCCAAACTTATCGCGTCCAGATTATCTGGGGGTCCCTTAAGAGTAAACCGATTTAGTAATGGCCTTCCCAAATTGCTTTCAAACTTTTGTTGTCCCATCAATCAATACAACCAAATAATCATTACGATCAAATACATCAAAACCTCGATTTATGTGTGTTTGGCCGCACTAAATATGTAAGCGTATACATACGAATAGCTTTTATTTGTCAATAGCTAATAGTCGGTCGATCATTCGAAGACAATCGTTACCTAGGTGACGAGACGCAAACAAAAATTGTGGTCGAACATTGAATATAGATAGTTTTATACAAAAACTAGTTTTAGTGAGATTTGGGTCGCAAGGCAACCCCGCTCGTGGATCTAGTGTTTGGTACACTCGACTATCACGAAGGCCCTGGTTTGAATCCCAGGTCAAAATTTTTAAACATCACCGTAGAATTTACAATAGGAGATGACATTACATCTTTGTATGAGCCGTCGAACCAAATACGCGCACTTACGTGCTTACGCGACTTACTACATTGGAGCAGCATGGTGGGTCTAGCAAGAGTGAAAATCTTTGCCCATTTTTAACGAAGGGTTATTTCATGAAATCGTTACTTTTTAGCTTACTAGACATTTTCAGCTATCGAAGATAGTTTAAAATTTATTTTCTAATAGTGACATTAACGAACGATTGGATATTATAAAGTTTTTTCGTAATCGAAATATTTTGGAAGGCTAGATAAAAATTACACGGTTCTTACAAAAACATATAATTAAAATGCTTACAATATTCAGCTCTCTTCAACTTCAACATTTTGGCCTTTCCGGGTGCAACAGAGATACCTAATCTACAAAATAATTAGTATGTGTCTGTTTGTTAAGTTCAATTTAATTATGTTTTTGTGTACGTTAATTTAAGATACGTTTATCATTATTGTCTCTGTTGAATTGCAACAGAGGGCCGAGTGATCCGTACACATCATTCCCCCTTTCTGCCTTGAAGGGAAAAGAGACGTTTAGTTTTGTTTAGACTGCGATGGGGCTGCCGTGGTGAAGTGACCCCTATACCTCAAAATTCAAAATAAATTTGAAAGTTATTGGAGATTATGTATACATTATTCAAAGATACACTTACATACGGTTATTTATAATGATTGTGTGATAACAGCAGCTGATTTTTAAGACTGCAGTACACACGTGAGAATACGCCAGCTGAGGAAGCAATCATGCGGTGGTGACCCAATTAAAGTGGACCTCCTTTTGAAAACTCCACCGTATCTATTAGAGTTCATGTAGAGGCCTTAGTCTGTAATTTGTTCTTTGCTGGCTATTGAAATATTCAGATGCCGTGAGAATAGCAACTTATGGCACGGAACTTCATGCAAACAGAAAGACTCTAACACTTTTAATGGGTTATAAACAATATATACTAGACAACTCATTTTTACTCCCCGTGACCAGCGCTGCTGCAAAGCATCCGAAATGTCGGGCAGTGGTTAAAATAAATTTCAAAAAATGTTAACTATTAATATATATCGCGTTTTAAACAGTTGAAGTGTTTTATTTAAACTTAAATTTTACAGGAGAACGGGAATGTGTTATCAAATATATTTCTCGTTTTTACCTGTTAAAAGTTTTTCACTTTAATTTTTATTACTCACGTAAACTACAGACAATAAAAAAAGTCTGTGCATGTGCTAAAAACATTAGCCTTTTTTAGTTTGCAGAACATGTAGAATTTTATTTCATGGATAAATTATAACATAAGGCCCAAACGACTGAATTGATTTTAATAAATCTTGGAATCAATATTGATACATAACTAAACAATAAGCTTGTATTTCTAAACGTTTTCGAGATTAAAACGAAATTTGCTTATAGCACGTAGAATATTTATTTTGCGTTTAAAGAAAGGTACGTTTAACGTAAATTTATTCAAAATTTAGATAAAGATATCCCTAAACCAAAAAGTTTTGTTTTAATTTAGTTTATCTACATACAATATCAAATGTCCCATTAAAAGAGCCTCTTTATGGAAACTGTAATTTGTCTAAGAAAATATACGTCTCGTGACAAGCGGTCGCCATGAGTGAATTATTTATTTATTTGTAAATTACGAAATAACATCAAGTTATCTACGAAGAGTAATTCTTAATTAATATAAAGATTTGCTTGACGACACTTTTATTGATAACGTTTTATGTTCTCAATATTAATTTATTTTGTTAATTGTTGTTAATACAATATTAATTTATTTTGTTAATTGTTGTTAATATAATATAATAGGTAATCCTACATCGCAAAGTACACCTTCAATTTCTCCTTTCTCCTCATCTAGTTATTGATCGAAGTTGATTAAATTTATAAGAGGCTAAACTTTTCTCAAAATAATAATGTAGGTACTTTTAATATGGAATTTGGTGTTCTCATTCCAATCAATAATACGATGCTGCTAGAGGCAGAGTGGACTAATAACAAAATAAGGGAGAAAATAAAAATGCGCAATTAACTAGCCGAAAATAAATTTGTACTATTATTTGTGAAAACGTTTTACTAACAATTTTCGGTCACTGTGCTCATGTAGATGAACATTTTTAGCCTATGAAAATATAAATAACACAAGTCATAAAAAACTGCAGTTAGGCTACTCTGGCTCTAGCGACCTCATATAAGCTATCGTGTGCAATATAAAAAAATGTCTCATGGCGTCCTCATAGAATTTTTGTTATGTCCTCATAGAATTGTCCGAGCAATTCTCAAAATATTATAAGAATAAGTTATTTGTGATGTATTTATTTGACGGAGTTTATACTGTTTGCCCCAGCGACCTTTCAGAAAACAGTTATCTATTACGTTTCCTCATGGGTCGGCGCCGCTTAAATATTTGATGGTGTATCGATCATAACTTTGCCCCGCTCCATCGGCTTTGGGAAGGGTCGCTACATCCTAACTCCGTATAGAAGTTAACATTCTGAATAAGATTACGCAATTACTTAGAAGTAACGAATTAAAAAAACAACAAATTGTTAAAATACAAAATGTTATCTTATTATTAGATAACTACTACTACATTATACTAGCTATGTCAGCGACTTCGTCCGCGTAGAATAATTATTTTGGGCATCCAAATTTGTTTTTGCAAACGTCGACGTCGGTCGCGTCACGTCGCTCGGGACCCATCGTTCTTGCAAGTTAATCTTAAAAGATAGGCATATAGCGTGGACTTTTTTTAGATCATTTAAAGAGGAATCATTCTTTCATACATATTTTTTGGATATCTTGAACCGTTTTTGCAGCGTACGCCTCGGAAACCCATAATGATGAATAATTTTCCCAATTTTTTTACACTTCTCGCTGTATCTTCGCTTGTTTTAGTCACAGGGTTTTAACAATGTTTTTTAGCCTATAGCCTTCCTCGATCAATGCTATAAGCAACACAAAAAGATTATTTTAATTCTAACCCGTGGTTCCTGACATTAGGGAGTTCAAACATACAAACAAAAATCTCTTCAGCTTTATACATTAGTATAGATTAGAATTGAGGTGGACAGACAAGATATTCACTTGATTAACGATGAAATACCCCTTTATAGAAATACACCTTATAACATCAGTGAAGCGGACACAGAAATGTGTGCGTCCATGCCCCACAGGGGAAAACAGGATTTTGCATATATACATACCTATTATGCTTTTGGATTTCGGAAATCTACAAACTAAGATCCGTCTAACCTTACATTAATAGATTTTGCAGACTTTGAGACTATAACGAATTTATAAAAAAAAAAATCTGAACCTGGTGAACATAGAACAGACGACAAATTGGTTTGTAGTACATTGAATAAACGAACCCGTCAAATGTATACGTAATATTAACTGCAAATACGCGCAACGGAAAGAGATGTTTTTCTGTATTAATATAAGATGAGAGACAAATATTTATGATTCAATAAGAAAGATACAAGGCTCATTATAAAGCGGCAACTTATTTAACAGTCAAATAGGCCGGCTGTAAAGGATAACGTCGTGTAAAGAAAATTGAACCTCATACAATTACCCGACATACCCTCACTAACGTTCGCTTCGAAGCATTCGCGTGCATGTCTCTAACGGCAAAAAGAATTCAAAATGATGCTTTCAACCGTACAATGGCTTGTCTCATCACTTATGAACAAGAGGTGGTGGTTACACTATAAAAATAGCCGTGCATCGCTGGTCGCTTCGTGAGGGTAATTGGAGAGGCTCTGGGTGTCTTGGGCGTGCGTCACGCCACCGCAAACTCAGGGAGCATCTTATATTTGCTTCCAATAATTTCCTTCGTCGCATATTTGAGCGGCGCCGTCCATGCCATGCATATGTCATGACCGGTTGCTTAGCGACCGTTTGTTGACGGTTACCGCGGGAAAGTAACCACTGGCGGTCCCACCACAGATAATTATTATGTTCCACTTTTCAATATGGGGGTAGTTGGCGCTTTTATACAGTCCACCCCACAGGGATGAGGTGACAATTAGACTCCCGTTTCAACCACAAACCGTAATGACCACGTATTGCATGTATGCAGGGTTGAATTAAATGATAGATTCCGTAAAAGCTGTAATAAGGGCGCGATATGCACGCGAACTGTTCTGAGTTAGCGACAAAAATGGAAGTATGCAAGAGGTGTTAAAAATTTACTCAAATTATCGAAATATGTGTAATAATCACACATTCATTGTTTTCTTGATTGAATCTGTTGGCATATAATATGAGGCTCTAGAGGCAGAGTAGCCTAACCTCAATTTAATGACTTGTGTTTTGGTCTAAAAATGTTTATCTACAAATTTTTAACATAATTCTTTTACAAATAATTACTTTAAGCAGAATTCTGTATATATTCAGAAATTTACAGAATTTTGCTCATACTAATGTCATGTATATGAGTAGTCCGCTTGTATAATCTCATTTCTGGTTTTGAACTGTGTCATGATTAATAGAAAGCATATTTAAACAAATTTGGACACCGCACCAATGTTTTCCTTTTCATTTGTTTACTTTTTTACTCATGACCTACTACAATTCTTCTCCATAACTGGGGGTATGACCAAAATTAAGTCTTAATCTCATGACATTCTTGTTATGCCACATAATTTATTTTATAATTAAAAATCAAATATATATAAAATTTGAATAATAGAATTTAGTTACAATACTACTTGATAGCATACAAAATGTGGGACCATAGTCGAAATAAAATGTAAATAAGTTAACTAATATGTTTCATGTTTTAAACCGTCAGATGCCTATCATTGAATGTGTACTACTCATGTTATTTCATAATGATATTTCTTATTTAGTATTATTATTATCTAGTATTGTTAAATTTAGTCTAAACTTGCTGGTAAGAATTATGTAGTAGGTAAATGTAGATTAAACTTTTACCTACCCACACACATAGCATTTATATGCCATTACTATTTTGTTATGTCTTATTAATATTATCTTTGTACACACCGTAAATGATTTTAGTACTAAACAATAGTTTTATTGATTATTTGTATTTAACATCATTTAACCCGAAGTAAAGAGATAAACAAAAGTCGATAAGTTCCATAAGGACAACGTTTTGAGTCATAACAACAAAGGTTCCATAGGAATTAGGAATTAAAAAACAAGGAACCTCTCATTAAACTAGAACGATACACTATACTTATTAATATTATCCTTAACTACTTAACATTACAAACGAAATAGGCGATACTTGTATGGACCGGTGAGAATCAATAGGTTAGTTGATGCGGCCTACAGTAAGCCTCATATAATTTCACCATACAATCTTAAAGTTCTATGATCGCGCAAATAAAATCACTTAAGCTAGCTCTTACCTTTGTCTTATGATGCTGCCGTTGAGTTTTTAACACTCGAAAAAATAATAATATAGTTATTTAAACAAAAGAAAATGAAATCTTAACATATTTCAAGGCTACGCTAAAAACAATAAAAATGGCGGCAATGGCAGTTTTGACTTTTATTATTTGGAGTTGACCACAGAATATATTTCCTCTGTAGTCTACACTATCTTTAGGAAGATTATACAATCGTCTAATTTTCTTTCAGTCATTGTCAACGAATGTCAACTGTCACTCATTCGCTGATGCGCGCAGATTAAGCAGAGTATTCGCATTTGATTTGCACTACACAGTATTTTTAAACTTTATCTAAAAATTTTTACAATCATTATTAAATTGGAATTATTTTTTTTTGTAGATTTCGTACGTTTAGGTTTAAACTAATTGATTTAAAATATAAATATTATTAACAGTGCAATGGTTTAAAAATTGATTTAGCTGAGTTTTGGGTGGTAACTAAAGCAATGAAAAATGAATGATAGCTTAGATGATACCATCCACTGGTCTGAGCCCCATTGCTCTAAAGATGCTCTGACTGATAATTATGGTTGGTTCCTGCAATTTCTGCTGGCCGTACTAGCGTTTACATGTTTAATAGGTGAGTACTTTCTAGACTAGAGGTGAAGGTTGAATGTTAATATAATTATCCTTGTTTTTACTCGTAATCACTATTAATAAGACGTTAACAAACCTATGTAATGACTCACTCTCTTAATAAATGACTAATTAAAATTAATGAGCAACATGTAATTAAAAAAATGTTTTATACAGGTAAACGGTTTTGTGAGCCCAAATATGCAAGAAGGCCTTGGCTCATTTGGTTCTATGATACCTCAAAACAGGGCCTTGGTGCTTTGATTATACATGCGGCCAATGTTTGGTTGTCACCATATCAGACAGGCAATCCCTGCACTTGGTAATTTATATAAAAATAAACTACAAAATATAAAATTTAGCAAAGTTTGATACATAAGTTTATTTCTTTTAGGTACATAGTAAATTTTCTGTTAGATTCTACACTAGGACTTCTGATAATTTGGGCTGGTATACGACTCGCTCAATATTATTCCCGAGTATATGATATACCACTTATAAACTTTGGAGAATATGGTAAGAATCAAATATGTAAATTTCTTATAACACTTTAGTTTTCAAAATTTTTTTAGATCACATTTAATATAAATCGAAGTCTATACATTGCGCAGTTTAAGTCTTACACGGGCTTAAGCATATTATGATAAATAAGATTAAAGTAAGAAAAGGTTGGGAAGTAAGATTTTCTTTATCATATTATATTGAAGATAAATTTATCTAACGCATCTATCATGTCAATATGAATACCTCTTGGGAATGTTGATTCCTCTTATGATAATGGTAGAGTAATAGTAATTGTAAAACTAATAACCAATATGTAATGACTAACAGCACATTAAATATTTTGTGAAAATCATCAAGTCTGTGGCAACGATAAATATCTTTTATTATTTTATGCATATTTGTGTATAGATATCTAAATCTTTTAAGCAGAAATAGTATCATCAGAGTCATATAGAGTGTATTTAATATAAGTAAACCATGTACTTGTTTTTCTGATTGTTCATAAAAAACACAATTTTTACATTTTATATAACTTAACAATATAAGATGTAACCATTTTAAAACATTACAGGCAAACCGCCAATGTGTTCAGCCTGGTTATGCCAAGGCGTGCTCTATGCAGCGTTGGCAACATTCGCAAAGTCCATGCTTGCCTTAGTTCTACAGTTGCCCATAATGCAGGCCATCTTATCAAAATTGCGACTGTCACCAGTATCAGACCCTAGACTAGAATTGGCTGTAGTTATGCTTATCATACCCTTCTTTGTTAATGTAAGTATCTTCATCAATCTTCTGAGCTTGTATGATATATAAATGAATATATCTATACTAATATATAAAGCTGAAGAGTTTGTTTGTTTCTTCGTTTGTATGTTTGAACGCGTTAGTCTCAGGAACTAGTGGTGGAAATTTATTAGTTAGAGTATTTATCGAGGCAACTAGGATGTTATCGCTCTAATGTGGATAATTAATCCTTTGTGTTACCTTGCATGGTACTAATTATTCCCCTAAGGAAATATGTCCTAAAAGCAAGTCTTTCTAATACTTACATGACATACTGTACTTTTAGGTACTTACTCAGGTTAATTATAGTGCTTATACAAACATGTAATGATTTAATTTGCTTTATTTGGTTACTAGCTGTGCCAGCGACTTCGTCCGCGAGAATCTTTATTTGGGACATCCAAATTAGGTTTTGCAAACCTCGTCATCTTTATAGCCTTCAGCTGCTAGCCTTCCCGGCGCTAATCTTAAAAGATACATATAGCGTCGCGTTTCTTAGATCATTTAGAGAGAAATAATTCTTTCCTACACATTTTTCAGATCCTTACTATCTTGAACTGTTTTAGCAGCGTACGCAACCGAAACTCACAGAGATGAAAATTTTCCCCCGTTTTGTTCACTTTTCGCTTCGCTATTAGTCGCAGCGCGGTGTATCTGGCTCGATAAATGGTCTGATTCCAAAAGAATTTTTCGATTCGAACCCGTGGTTCCTGAGATTAACGCGTTCAAACAAACAAACTCTTCGGCTTTATATAGCAGTTCAGATTCACTTAAATCATAATTTAATTTAGAGCAACCATTTACCATTGCTCTACTTTTATTTGCTCTATGTAGAACGAAAATAAAAACCAGTCATCCGAAATTTTTTTTAAATTCCAAATTTAAATTTCAGATCTTAATATTTTGGGTGACAGACAATTTCCTCATGTACCACCCACGGGGAGTAAGCACTAAATTGAAAACCAAGGTATGTAAAATCATAGATAATAATTATATTTGGTAATGTATGTTTTATTAAATTTAATGATAATCTATATTTGCAAACTATTTAGGTCAGAATATTCTGCTAAATGTATATAGTCTAGATATTTTTATATGTATTTACTGTCAATTTGAAAACTGTACTATGTATAATCAGCGTTCAGCTTCCTGCTTATCTTGTTACATGTTATTGACATTTGTCACCCAGTATCAGAAGTAAGATTAAGTATGACCCAAACATATAAGGTATTTTAATATTATACAGTAAATCATAATTAAAAAAGTCTAGACCCATTTCCCACAGTGGGACATGGGGCGAACACATATCTGTGTCCATTTCACTGATCGCTTTTATTTACAGGCACGTAGTTGCCAGACCTAAACAGTCTATTGTTTCCCCAGAATTCGAACCTCGGAACTCTCGGCAATACGCTAACCATTTAGCTAGCTAGCAGATGCGGTTATCATGAATAGACTATTTTAATATTAACTTATTTACTTGACAAAACATATATATTGGAATTGAACTGACTCACTACTCTCTTCAACCATTCGTAATACGAATGGCCCCGGGTTTGAATCCCAGGGAAAAGAGAAATTATTTAGGGACAACAGTCTGAACAAATATTTATATGTATATAGAATCTATCAGTTAATTAGATACAGATATGGGTACCCAAGCCCCACAGGGACAATCGGGATTTCCTACTTCAATATATTTCATTAAAAGTTAAACGAATTAATGCTGTAATATCAAGAAATCATTACCAAAGTCATAGAAACAATAATCCTATTTTCCAGGTTCGTTACCAATCAATAAAAAAGGACAAGACCTGTTCTGATGAAGAAGAGCATTCAGCGGATGAGCGGCTTTTGGGCGCGAATGTATGACCAAGTACAAGGCCCAGGTCTTTGTGGGCTTAACTCTTGGATAAGTGTTCAATTCATATTGTTTATTGATAGCTTCGAACTAATATCTTCCTTACATTCGAATGACAGTCACTATTAAATTGGGTATGTATTAAGTAAAAATAATTAGTAATTGTATAAATAATTGCATAAACTAAGTTGTTTACACGAGTCGTATACATAAAAGAAAAGATATTTAACAGTTTAAAACACACTGTTTATTTAAGGAATCAGCAAATTATTTCTTTGATTACCTGATGCTTCTGAGGAACCGGGGTCACCGTAGATTTGAGTGGTACATTTTATTATTAGTTAATTTCGCGTTTTAAACAGTTAAATTTTATAGTAAGAAATCTCAAACATATTTTTATTAGTTTATATTACTCCGTGCTTCTGAAGTCAAAGAAAATAGATTTTATAATCCAGTAAAATTATAAATTATTTAGTGGTTTTCGTGGCATTGTTAATTTTAAATTATTTCGTGGCATTGTGGCTCTACCGTCCCAATTGACAAATTTTTTGACGTATCGTGTCAGTCTCAACTTTGTTGAGTAACATCTCCAAATGTTGGCATCCACTTGTGATGGCTAAACGCCGAGAACTCATTCTTACCTTATTAAGAAGGCTACACCTGTCTACAACCGAAGTAGCTTTTCATAGCAAAATTACTTCGCTTAAATACTGTCTATAGTTTACGCGAGTACTAAACATTTAAATAAAACACTTTAACGGGTTAAAACGCGATTAATTACTTCGCTTAGCTCAATATATTGGAAGTTTTCATATCGTTAAATTAAGCTATTGTTTATGATCAAGGACGACAGACAAACAATGTCCCTTGTTGCTTGTTGCAAATTCCTTGTTGCGCTGTCGGCCTATTACGGCTTTGGGTATTCGGAAATCCACAGACTGAAACCGAAACGCAATTAACTGGGCTTTTTCATCTGTTGACGGTAGTTAGTGACCCGGACGGAATTATATAACACTATACAAAGAATTCAATAAATAAGATATATATAATACAATAATATTACACAATTCAACATTAATTATATATGTGTATTCCATCCCTATTCTTGCGTTAACGCTACACAATTTTAAAAGACAAAAGAATACTCACGCTTCGATATAAATTGCTCCATCGGTTGTACGTATAATATTTTTAAACAACAATGTTTTATACGCCTAATCTGTTAAAAAGATTTTTATATCGATAAAATTAATTAAATCACGCGTATACTCGCTTTAATTGTCTGTTATTTAAATACTTACAGCGAAATGTTTAAAAAGAAGTTATAGATCAACTTACGATCTCGGACCAACCGGCCATTGGACTCGTTATTTGTTTTACAATTTTTAATAAGACGGGTCGTGGGTTTGAACCCCACCAGGTCAAAACATTTTTCTAATTTATAACTTTTTTGCCATATGCCAAGAATTACTGCGTTTTCAACTTTAAAAACGCAGGTCCTTCTGTCCAGTAGGTGGCTGGTCCGTGCTTACAGTGTCATATAAAATAAGGAGCACTTATAAGTACTATTCGTCCATTAGTTAAAGCTATAAAAAGCTCGACTTGTAAAGATTGGCTCAAAAACGCATTACGCGCTCTATCTGCAGTTTAAGCGATAAAAAACGTGTTTTAACAGTTTAAACCATTGTAGTCTAAACCGTTAAAACGTGTTTTGTTAATTGTTTTAAGCGTAAATATTAGTTAAGATAACCAGTGTCTATGTGCCAAAGGCCAAATTGATTAGATGATAGAAAATGTAAGATGCTTTACCACTATCTAAATATAGTACACGCGTTATTGTATGCGCATACGCCGGTGTAGCCAAATATTTTTCATCGATATTGCATTAGATTATAGAATAAATAATCGTTATAAGAATAAAGATATTTTTATATTTTTCGACTTTTGAAAGACGTTCCTGAATGAGTACTTATGTATTGTCTGTTGTTTATGCATCCACATTTAAAGAAAATCTAACTGTTTTAAACGCGAAATATATAAGTTAACTTATTATTATTTTTTCCTCCAAATCGAATGAACTGATGTAAAGCATTCGAAACGTTGGATTGCAGTTAAAACAAATGAAAAATGAGTTGACAAATGTACATCGCGTTTTAAACCGTTAAAAATATTTTATTTAAATAAGTATTATATCCCCATAGTGCCATGTTCGTGTAATGAAACATCGAAGAAAGACTGAAATAGTCTATTTTCATTTTGTGTATATTTTGATAGTTTTACAATTAGTATGATATAAATTGGAACTACCATAAAATCATCTCCCTATACTAGAAAATAATTATGTTATTAGGTTTAAACCATTTTTTTTTATAAATAAAGTATCTTCATTGCTTAAAACAGCCTTAAATTAATCACTGAGACAAGAAAATAGAGCTTGTTAGTTATTTTGTGTCAACCTTTGTGGAGGGTAGTTTTGAATTTGTGGATCTGATTTGAAACTTTACGCTAAAATCACTACAGCAAGGAATTGCAAAGAGATGTAAATATGGTCGTAGGTATATAAAATAAATGATCGTGAGGAATACACTTCTATTTCGATAAGTGTCATTGTATATCGTTAAAAACATACGTGTTCTATGCATTTGTTATTTGTTTTGCAAATAAATTCACATCATGTGTTCAAATATTGTTATTTTATTTTTTACTAGCTGTGTTATCGAGCTCGTCTTCTGGGAAAATTGCCTTTTTTAAATACAAGCAATGAGCTGATACGGCAAATGTTCTGTTGTTTTCAAGGTTAATATTATTATTTTGATACACTTCTAACAAATAATTGTAATAATGCATTAATGTCGACCAAAATTTGTTTACCATAAAACTGAGTTAATCTGTAAAGATACACATATATTGTTTCAGAAATAAATTCTTCAGCTTTATAATAGTCACTTATATAACAAATAGTAGTAGGGTGTCCAGTAAACTAGTAAGTAAATTTCTTAGTTGCTGCAAACCTAGTTTCAAGAAGTAATGGTAAAAGCCCGAACAACTTTTTATAGTATTCTACTAAAAATATGACTTCTAAAAAGTATGTATGGTTGCTATGACATTTCCCTAACAACGTCGTTGTTTACGAAAAAGTGATGACAGGGTTTGAAGGATTACTTTTGTAATATATTTTTTCTTCAACACACGTTTTTTTTACTTAATTATTATTTAACATAATAATTGGGAAAAATGGAGGAAAGAGAATTGAGGAAACTATTGACCACGAAAAATGGATGTAGAGTTCCAACGATGCTGCCTATTCCGGATGTGCACAAAATGGACAAGTTGCCCTTTGTGCCTTTACCGCCTTATAATCGAATCAAGGTAATACTGCTGTTCTAAAAAATATTCATTATATATCGGAGTTTAATGAGATTCCCTACTTCCACTGACATAAAACTTTATAAATTATGCACCCAAAAATTAATTTAGTATTTAAACAGAAAAAGAGCAGAACTAACCAATGCCGACGCGCTGTTAATAGTTATTTGGATTTAAAACTTACAACTTTTGTTGTCCTTTCAATTTCAGGATAAACAGAAGAAGTTCCGGAAAATTCTCGAAGAAAAAGCTACAGACAGGAAAGTGAAAATCGCCCGACCGCCTTTAGAAAGACATGAGCTTGACAACTTGGAGATATCTCAGGATCGTCACATAGCGGTTTTGAAAGAATGCGCCGACAAAATTCAGCCACCTCCCATGCTCAAATCTTGGGAGCGGAAGATTATAGGATTAATTCCTGCAAAGTTGCGAAATGCGTTTCCCCTCATCACGGAAGAGTTGATCCAAGAAAGCAAAGATGCATGGAATGAAAATCTCCACGATTTAGCTGTAAAAACTGTAATTAGAGAGGTACCCGGTGTTTCTAGAAAGAGATATGTGGAACCGCAATTTAAGTACCACGGAGTGACACCGAACTTCGATCGAATGCTGAAGTTTCGTAAAAAGCTTCAGGATGGCTCGCTCCTATTACACCCGTTTATAAGGTTGGTTCTAGAATCATCGGAAAAAACTTTCCCTCCTCACATTATAAGCTTGTCTAAGTATCGAGCTAGAGGGCCAATGGATCTAGACGAATTTCAGTCGAAGGTTCTCGACGAAATAAAACGTGCCGACTACCTAGTATCCAGTACTTGGTATGCGATCCTTGTAACTTGGCTCAAGAACCCGCGTTGTTTGAGAGGAATGCGACCGAAACGAATACCGATTTTCGTAAAATGCGCCACCAAAATGATTTCTATGCAAATTCAAGAACTCATGCGTCGTTCAATTGATGCTCTCATAGAAGCGTTGAAAGATCCAGATTCTGTGCCCATTTTGAACCTTGCATTAGATTTTGACGGGGAATTCTTTTACGACCCATCGTTGGAAACTGTGTATGGGGTCTTTCACAATATTGCTAACGCTATCGCGCATATTTCACAACGCCTCATGCCTATAGAACAATATCTCCGAATACCGTACAATTACGATGCGTTGCCGGTTCAATATAATGAGTGGCTTAAAAAAGACGGACATGATCGGTTACAAAAAGAGCTTGTTTTGGTCTACTCTCCACTAGTGCAATATGTGGAAAGACTAAAGAAAGAATATAATATGTTATATGGCGCTCCAGCTAAAGCAGCACTTATGAAGTTTATAAGCGAAGCTGAAGAGTTTGAAGAGTCACGAGACAAGATAAAATATTTTCAGAGTATTGATTCAGGAATAACAGCTATTCTGGAAAATGAATATTTTAATTGTGCTGTTGTATGCCAACTGAGAATGGTTGATGGACTGAAAGGGAAAGCGCTAGAGTTTATTAATGATATTATTGATGGTATTGTCAAAAATCATATGGACGAAAATGCCTCTATATGCAATGAATTTGAAATTATAGCCGCAAAAGCTCTCAAGGAACCCGAAAATGCTGCCGAATTAATAGAACAAGGTGTTTACATCTTACATGCAAAAACTGTTCTAGTGGAAGGCTTAAAAGAAAGGATATTGAGGCAAATTGAAATCATATCAAATCTACTGGAAATGACGTCACTTAGCCCAGAGCACGTGGCATCGAATACAAAAACAGTTAACTGGCTAACTGATATTAAACCTATATTTGAAAAAAATGCTGCAGCTTATGAAACATTTAAAGGTGAAATGGAGGATAATTTACAACGTCAAATCGCGAAGTTAAATAAAGAAGTTCTCGATATGATACCTTATCTTCAACTGTTAGACAACATGGACGATATTAACCACACCCTCGAGTACTTAGAACATCTTCGTAAACTTGTACACAGATTAGACGCTTGTGATAAACTAGTTGCGTGGATCAATAATGAAGAGAAAACGTTCAAGTTTCCCGTCAGTCAGTATCCAGATTTAGAAGAGTTAAAAGATTTTATTTTGCCTTTCCATAGCCTCGTGCACCTTGTACATAGATGGAAACGCAGCTATTATACTTGGATGGATGGGCCATTTGAATATTTAGACCACGATCAAATAGAACAAGACCACGACTTCTTTTACAAGGAATTTCTAAAGCTTTCCAAAAACTACAGAACTAAAATCAAGCAACAAATCGCAGAAGGAGTTGAAAAACGTTTTCAAGGATTAGCCGACGATCCTGATATAAATAATCTACCAGCACCGATGAAACTTTGCGCACAAGCGGTCATTGAAATTAAGGAGTGGAGGCCTAATGTGCAGATGGGCCATATTATGTGCAACCCGGCTCTCGTTCAAAGGCATTGGGATGAAATGTCGTCGATAGCTGGATTTGACTTAACCCCGACTGCTGGTACTACATTAAGAAAAATAATTAACTTCAACCTGTGGGATGAAATCGATCAGTACGAAATAGTGAGTGTTGCAGCAACAAAGGAATTGGCTTTAATAACAAACTTAAATAAAATGATCGCAGAATGGACCGATATATGTTTTAAAACTAGCCCGTATAAAGATACAGGAATCTTTATTCTCTCTGGCCTTGATGACATTCAGAGTGTGTTAGATGACCATATTGTAAAAACTGTTGGTATGCGAGGATCAGCTTTTGTTAAGCCGTTCGAAGCGCAAGTAAGAGCTTGGTATGAGAAAATTATGCGAGTTAACCTAACTATTGACGAGTGGGGTAAAGTTCAAAGTCAGTGGCTGTACTTGTTACCGATATTTTCATCGAAGGATATTGTTGCTCAAATGCAGGAAGAAGGAGTCATGTTTGTCGAAGTTAATAATATATATCGTCGCTACATGGGATCGGTAGATAAAGATCCACATGTGCTTGACGTTGCTGGTGGAGCAGGTGTTCTAGAATCCTTTAGAATAGCATCAGGCCTCCTTGAGAAGATAAACGAAGGCGTCAACAATTATCTAGAAAAGAAAAGATTGTACTTTCCACGTTTCTTTTTCCTATCGAATGATGAAATGTTGGAAATATTATCCGAAACTAAAAACCCCTTAAAAGTACAACCGCATCTAAAAAAATGTTTCGAAGGTATAAACAGGTTGGTTTTCGATCCGGAATTTAACATATCAACAATGATTTCAATGGAAGGAGAACAAGTGGACTTTCTCGAAACGATAAGTGTTGCAGCGGCAAGAGGATCCGTGGAAAAGTGGTTGTTACAAGTTGAAGATCAAATGCTTAAGGCAGTTAAATCTGAGACAGAATTGTCATATTATGACTATCCAAATATGGGACGCGTTGATTGGATACTGTCGTGGGAAGGCATGGTTGTGTTAGCGATTTCTCAAATATACTGGGCCGTTGATGTTCACGAATGTCTTAACACTCATAAGCTAAGTCAACTTCAAGAGTTTCATGTCGGATTAACAAAACAGTTGAATGAGACTGTAGCAGTTATTCGAAGAACTGATTTAACTAAACTAAGTAGTATCACAGTAAAAGCACTAATTGTCATCGATGTCCACGCAAAGGATGTTATATTTGACTTAGTAGGAAAAAATGTCACAGAGGTAACGGATTTCCAATGGCTTGCGCAGCTGCGTTACTATTGGGAGGAAGAGAGAGTATTAGTAAAAATTATTAATGCTGTCGTAAATTATGCTTATGAATATCTTGGGAATTCTGATCGCCTAGTTATAACACCCTTAACGGATCGCTGTTATCGCACTCTGATTGGCGCATATTACCTTCATTTAAATGGAGCGCCTGAAGGACCAGCGGGAACAGGGAAAACAGAAACTACAAAAGATTTAGCGAAAGCTCTAGCTGTTCAATGTGTTGTGTTTAATTGTTCTGATGGTCTGGATTATAAAGCTATGGGTAAGTTCTTTAAGGGTTTAGCGTCTTGCGGGGCTTGGGTGTGTTTTGATGAGTTTAATCGAATTGAAGTTGAAGTATTATCTGTAATAGCACAACAGATCTTATGTATTGTACAAGCAGTAAGGCAACACTTAGAAACGTTCGACTTTGAGGGTACCACTCTTACATTGAATCCCGCATGTTATGTATGCATCACAATGAATCCGGGGTATGCGGGTCGGTCTGAACTTCCCGATAACTTAAAGGTATTGTTTCGTACGGTGGCGATGATGGTCCCCGATTATGCAATGATCGGAGAGATCTCGCTATATTCGTTTGGTTTTATTGACGCCAGGAATCTATCGGTAAAAATTGTCACAACTTACCGACTTTGCTCGGAACAATTATCATCCCAAAATCATTATGATTATGGAATGCGTGCAGTGAAAACAGTTTTATCGGCAGCCGGTAATTTAAAAAGAAGTTTTCCCAACGAAAGCGAAAGTATTTTGTTACTAAGATCGATCACAGATGTAAATTTACCTAAATTTTTATCGTTCGACGTTCCTCTTTTTGAAGGTATAATATCAGATCTGTTTCCGGGAATCTTCTTACCAAAACCAGATTATGAAAACTTTTTAAATGCCTGTAGCGATGTTTGCGAACTGAACAATTTGCAACCCATGGAGTGTTTTTTGATAAAAATTATTCAAACATATGAAATGATGATTGTGAGACACGGTTTTATGCTAGTTGGTGACCCCTTTGCGGGTAAATCGGTGACATTGAAAGTATTAGCAGAAGCTTTAACATTGATGGAAGAAAGACAGCAACCCGGCGGATGTGCTTCTACTTATAAAGTTCTAAATCCTAAGGCGGTTACAATGGGTCAGCTTTACGGAGCTTTTGATCCAATATCTTACGAGTGGACTGATGGTATCGTTGCAACAATGTTTAGAAATTTCGCTTCTGAAGATACCCCAGTTAGAAAATGGATCGTTTTCGATGGACCTGTTGATGCTGTATGGATAGAGAATATGAACACTGTTTTAGACGACAATAAAAAACTTTGTTTGACTTCCGGTGAGGTTATGGCAATGTCCAATGTAATGTCTATGATTTTTGAAGTAATGGACTTATCGCAAGCCTCACCCGCTACTGTATCTCGGTGTGGCATGATATATATGGATTCTGCGTCTCTTGGATTTATGCCATTTTATAAGTCATGGGTAAAAACATTGAACCCAATATGGTTAGAAGAGAACGAAGAATTCATATTTCTACTGTGCGAATGGCTTTTCGATCCTCTAGTGTATTTTGTTAGGAGACAATGTATTCAACTTGTAACGGCTGGTGAAGTAAATCTAATTATAAGCACTTTACGACTCATAGAAATGCTTATGGATAGTGCTATCGAAGGTGAAGAAGATACGAAATACACGAGGACCTGGATATTGGCTTCTTTTATGACTGCCATAGTTTGGGGCATTGGCGGAATATTAAACACTGACTCGCGGGAGAAATTCGACGATTTAGTTAAAGATTATTTTAAAGGAGAATATGGTATTCCTTCCTCCTTTGAGAGACTCGACATTTCCATTCCTACCGAAGGAATGATAAACGATCATTATTACATGTACAAAAGTAAAGGCTGTTGGAAACCGTGGCCTGAGGCTGTGAAAGCAGCACAGGTAAAAGAGCAAATTAATTTACTGCAAACTGTTATTCCCACCCTTGAAACGGAGAAATATTTATTCTTGTTACGCTTACACACAAAGTTTTTAAAACCGATAATGCTTATAGGTCCGACAGGTACAGGCAAAAGTTTTTATGTCCAAAACTTTCTCATGAACTGCATAGATATGGAAAAAATCACTCCAGGCTTTATAACTTTCACAACTACTACTTCTGCGAATCAAACGCAGGACCTCGTACTATCTAAGCTTGTGAAAAGAAGAAAAAATAATTATGGGCCTGTAAGAGGCAAGCAGGCAATTATTTTCATAGACGACATGAATATGCCAGCCAAAGAAGTTTACGGTGCTCAGCCGGCGATAGAATTACTTCGGTTGTATTTCGACATAAGGCATTGGTACGACTTGAAAACTACGGATAACCTTTATGTATACGACACGACCTTTTATGGTGCTATTGGACCTGTGGGCGGTAGTCGACAACTTATATACCCCAGGATGTTACGTCATTATAATATCTATTCGATTAATGAGTTTTCTAAAGAAAGCATGTCAAAGATATTTACCTCATTATTACAACTGGGATGGAGAAGAAACGGGTTTGGACAAGATACACAGCCTGTCATTGTTAATATCATTGCAGCGACAATGGAGATCTATGATCAAGCCACCGAAGGCCTCAGACCTACACCAGCCAAATCGCATTATATCTTCAATTTGCGAGATTTTTCTAGGGTTATACAAGGCTGTGCTTTGTTAAGAAAGGAGTCAGCCGATAGCAAAAAGACATTCACGAGAGTATGGGTCCATGAAATCTTGCGAGTGTTTTATGATCGACTCGTGGATGAAGCAGATCGTACGTGGTTTTTTAATATTTTAAAGAGGTCTACGAGAGACTTTATGAAGGACACATTTGAATCTGCTTTAGACTCTTATCAAGATGAAAAGGGAGATGTCAATCAAGAGCATATAAAAAGCTTAATGTTCGGTTGTTATTTAGATACCGATAGTGTCGAAGGTGAACGTAGATATGAAGAAATGCCTTCGAAAGAAGTCGTTCTCAACGTAGCAATACAAATGTTGGCCGAGTATAATACTATGCATAAAGCTAAAATGAATATAGTCTTGTTTGACTATGCTTTAGAACATTTGTCAAAGATATGTCGTCTGCTGTCAATGCCCTCTGGAAATGCGTTACTTGTCGGTGTGGGTGGATCTGGACGACAATCTCTCACCCGACTAGCGAGCACTGTTTTAGGACAAAATACATTTCAACCTGAAATCACAAAGTCATATAGCGTTAAAGATTGGCACGATGACCTCAAATTGGTGTTAAGAGAATCTGGTGGACTAAATAAAGACACCACATTTTTATTTACCGAAAGTCAAATCAAGGAAGAAACCTTTATACAAAATCTAGACAGTTTACTTAACTCGGGCGAAGTGCCGAACTTATATGGTTTAGATGAAAAGCAAGAAATCCTTGAACTGGTGCGTCTCGCAGCTCAAGGTGGTAATAGAAATTTAGATATAAGTCCACTACAGATTTTCTCATTTTTTGTCGGACGATGTAAAGCAAAACTTCATATCGTGCTGTGTTTCAGTCCGATTGGAGCATCTTTTAGAACAAGATTGAGACTGTATCCTTCCCTTGTTAATTGTTGTACCATTGATTGGTATGACAGTTGGCCTGAGGAAGCTTTGGAAATGGTTGCAAACCATTACATGGGAAAAGTGAATGTTCCAGATAGTGTTAAGCAAGCCGCCGTCATTGCCTGTAAACAATTTCATGTAGATGCCCGAGTAGTTTCAACTGACTTTTATAATCAATTCGGACGAAAGACTTATATCACTTCAGCTTCATACTTGGATTTAATTAAATCATTTACTACTTTAACAAACAGGAAACAAAGAGAGTTACGTGCTGCTAAACTACGATACACGAATGGTTTAGACAAGTTAATGCAAGCGGCTGAAGCTGTTGCTATAATGCAAAAGGATTTGAATGCCTTAAAACCTCAGCTCATTATTATGGCCGCCAAATCAACAAAAATGATGGAGGAGATAGCTGTTGAAACTGCGATAGCTGATAAAGCCGCGGCACAAGTTAGAGAAGATCAAAAAGTTGCTAATGTACAAGCAGCTGCAGCTCAGGAGCTTAAAAAGGATTGCGAAGCTGATTTGGCTTTAGCTTTACCTATACTCGAAGACGCTATTGCAGCTTTGAACACGTTAAAGCCGGCAGATATTACTATAGTTAAATCTATGAAAAACCCGCCCGCAACAGTAAAGTTGGTAATGGCAGCAGTTTGTGTTATGAAAGGTCTAGCTCCAGATAAAATACCAGATCCTGATAATCCAGGTAAGAAAATTTACGATTACTGGGGCCCGAGCAAAAGAGTACTAGGAGATATGAGTTTCTTAGATTCTTTAAGAAACTTTGATAAGGACAATATACCTGTTGCAACAATGCAAAAAATCAGAAAAGAATATTTATCAAACAAAGATTTTAAGCCACATATTATTGCAAAAGCATCCACTGCTGCAGAAGGTTTATGTAAGTGGATAATAGCTATGGATATGTATGACGCGGTAGCAAAGGTAGTTGCACCAAAGAAAGCTAAGTTGGAAGCCGCTGAAAGAGAATTCGCTGAAACTATGGCGATATTAGAAGAGAAAAAGGCAACAGTAGCACGATTAGAAGCGAAATTGGCAGAACTAAATGAAGCCTTGGAAGAAGCTAATTTAAAGAAGAAAGCTTTGGAAGACGAAGTACAATTATGTATCGATAAACTCTATCGAGCTGAGAAACTTATAGGGGGACTTGGTGGAGAAAGAGTACGATGGACTGCAGCCGCTGAAAATTTACAAAAACTTTATGATAATTTAGCTGGTGATATATTAGTATCGTGTGGTATTATTGCATATTTATCACCTTATACATTACCTGTACGTACAGCGGTCACGGAAACGTGGCGTGATCTTGTCATTAAGCTAAAAATGCCTCATTCAGACCAGTTTGTATTTAAGGATATTCTAGGAACTGATATAAAAATACAAAATTGGTGCATAGCAGGATTACCAAGAGATTCATTTTCTATTGATAATGGTATAATACAAGATAATTCAATGAGGTGGTCTTTACTGGTAGATCCTCAAGGACAGGCAAATAAATGGATAAAAACCATGGAAAAGTCGAATGACCTGCAAGTTATGAAGTTTACAGATGGAAATTACATGAAAGTCATTGAAACTTGTTTAGAATATGGCAAACCAGCTCTGATAGATTGTATCCTTGAAGATGTGGAAGCTCCTTTAGACCCGGTGCTACTAAAGAATACTTATATGCAGGCTGGTAAAGAATTTATCGCTTTAGGAGACAATGTTATAGAATATCACCCACATTTTAGGCTATATATGACTACAAAACTAAGAAATCCCCATTATTTACCAGAAGTATTTAACAAAGTAACTCTTATTAATTTTGCTTTGACGAAAGATGGTTTAGAAGATCAGCTACTAGGTATTGTCGTTGCGAAAGAAAGACCTGATTTACAGGAGAAGAGAGAGAAATTAATTGTACAGGGCGCTGCTAACCGAGCTGCACTAAAACAGGTGGAAGATGACATATTACGAACGTTACAGGAATCGAAAGGTGACATTTTAGAGGACGAAAGTGCTATTGAAGTATTAGATTCGTCCAAATTACTAGCTATCGATATAATGAAGAAACAAGAGGCCAGTTTAGAGACTGAGGAAATAATAGAGAAGTTTCGTTTAGGTTACAGACCTATAGCATCGCATTCAGCAGTGTTGTATTACTGTGTGACTGAATTACCAAACGTTGACCCAATGTACCAATATTCGCTGACGTGGTTCATTAATTTATACATAATATCCATAGAAAACGCAAACAAATCTAAGGACTTAGATAAAAGGTTAAAGTTTTTGAAAGATACTTTTACTTATAATCTATACAGCAATGTGTGCAGATCTCTATTCGATAAAGATAAATTAATGTTTTCATTTATTATGTGCTCTAAGATGATGTTATCTACTGGTGAAATGAATCATGATGAATATATTTTTCTAATAACGGGTGGTATAGCTGTAGAGAATCCGCACAAAAAACCATTCGAGTGGTTACCGGATAAAAGCTGGGATGAAATATGTAGGATAAACGATTTACCTGCGTACAGTGGATTTAAAAATAATTTTGTTAATACTGTAGCAAAATGGAAAGAGGTATACGATGACTTAGAACCACATACTAAGCCATTGCCAGGTGGGTGGAATGATAAACTGTCGCCGTTTCAAAAACTATTGGTAATAAGGGTTTTGAGACCCGATAAATTAACCATAGCTTTGTCTAACTTTGTAGAACAGCAAATGGGATTAAAGTATATAACTCCACCTCCGTTCGACATAGGAAAATCCTTCGGAGACTCAAACTGTTTGGCTCCCTTAATTTTTATTTTATCCCCTGGCTCAGACCCTATGGGGGCATTAATAAAATATTGCGAAAAAATGGGTTATGCTCACAGGTTTAACTCTATTTCTTTAGGTCAAGGTCAAGGGCCTATTGCAAGAGCAATGATAGAACGAGCCCAATTAGAAGGTGGGTGGGTATGTTTACAAAACTGTCATTTAGCTGTTTCATGGCTACCCGTGTTGGAAAAAATTGTAGAAGGCTTTGATTTAACCAACACTGATTTGAGTTTTAGACTATGGTTAACCAGTTATCCATCAGACAGATTCCCGCAATCTGTTTTACAAGTTGGTGTGAAAATGACGAATGAACCACCCACCGGTCTGCAACATAACCTCAACCGATCTTATTTATCTGAACCGTTAAAAGAACCAGAATTTTATGAAGGCTGTCCAGATAAAGACAGACCATTCAGTAAGTTATTATATGGAATAAGTTTCTTCCACGCGGTTGTTCAAGAAAGAAAGAAATTTGGACCGCTAGGGTGGAATATTCAGTATGGTTTTAACGATTCAGATTTTCATATATCCGTTATGCAATTGCAAATGTTTTTGAATCAGTACGAGGAGATTCAGTACGTTGCTATTAAATACTTGACGGGCGAATGTAATTATGGGGGGCGTGTGACAGACGACTGGGATAGACGGTTAATTGTAACAATATTAGACAACTACGTGAATGCCGGTGTAGTCAACGATCCTAATTATTTATTCTGTGATATTGGACCTCAGTATGGTTTGCCACGAAGATGCGAGTATCAAGATTATTTGAAGCACATAGAGTCTGTGCCTGTTAATCCACCTCCTGAAGTTTTTGGACTACATATGAACGCAGGAATTACACGTGATTACACGATCTCTATGGCACTTACAGCAGCTTTAGTTTTAGTTGAAGGTTCAGGCAGCGGCGGCGAAGGTGGTAACACCGAAGTAATTCTAATGCAAATGGCGACTGAAATTGTATCTAAATTACCACCAGCGTATGATATCGAAACTGCCCAAAAGAAATACCCAGTAGATTATAATGAATCTATGAATACCGTCCTTATACAAGAAATGGAAAGATTTAACAAACTCCTTCGTGAAATCAGATCGTCGCTGTTAGATCTACAAAAGGCCGTAAAGGGATTTATTGTTATGTCTCCAGCTTTGGATCTACAGTCGAATGCTATGCTTTTGGGTCGTATACCCACGAACTGGTCCAAGGTATCCTACCCCAGTTTAAAGCCTCTACCAAGTTACATTGCCGATTTTATTGAAAGGCTTGCTATGCTGGAAGATTGGTATCAAAACGGAAAGCCCTCGACATTTTGGTTATCCGGGTTCTTCTTTACTCAGGCATTTTTGACCGGTTCCGTTCAAAACTTTGCTAGGGCCAAAAAAATTCCTATCGATTTGCTGATATTTGATTTCGAGGTGAGAAAGGTCGATTATGAAACGGAGCCCCCGGAGTGGGGGGTGTATGTTCAGGGGCTTTTTATGGACGGTGGACGCTGGGATAGAAATAAATATGCAATCGGCGAGCAGTTGCCGAAAATATTAAATGACAATATGCCGGTTGTGTGGCTTTACCCTACATTGAAAAACGATTTTGCCGAAGGCAGTAGGTATAGATGTCCACTTTACAAGACGCTTGAACGAAAAGGTGTTTTGGCGACTACGGGTCATTCGTCCAATTTCGTTCTTGCCTTTTATTTGCCGTCGGATAAGCCAGCAGCACATTGGATAAAACGAAGTGTCGCTTTACTGCTCCAATTAGATAATTAATATTTATTAATCTTAATCAAGTTTAAATATTTTAAACCAAGACATGTTTGTTTTTAGTTCCTATCTGGCTAATTTATTGTATTTGTATAATTGTTAACTTAAAACGACTCAATGTATTACTCTTTATGTATTTGTAGATCATTTATTATGAGACTGATTTAATTAGATAAAACCACTAATGTATGTATTAATTTATTTCCTTATAGACTACAAATTATCAATAATAGAAATATAAATTTATTCTTCAGAGTTTTTCATTAGCTGGCGTCTAATACCTTCTGTTTCCATAAGTTTACGTCGCAATTTTAACATCAATGCTTTGTTTCTTTTCTGAAATTAGTACGACGCTAAATTAGATAAGCTATATAAAATTATAAATAATAAATATCTCTTATATATCTCGTAAATATTACCAATCACGTAAACTGAAGAGTTATATGCCAATCTATACGAATATCATTAAAGCTGAACAATTTGTTTGTTTGTTACACGCTTATGAGGCTCGAGAACTACTAGTTCGAATTGAAAAAGTTTGTGTGGGATAGACAAATTATTGAGGAAGGCTTTAGACTATATAACAACTCGCTGCTAAAAGGAGCGAAAAAACAGAGGAAATTGTGGAAAAAACAGCGAGAAAATTATTCATTGATAATGGCTTTCATTGCGTACGCTGCAAAACTGTTAAAAAAAGAAAACAAAAAAATATTTACGATTCTTCTTTAATTGATCTTAAAAATGTCCGCAACATTATGTCTTTTACGATTAACTTGTTAGAACGACGGGACGCGGACGACGTCGTGGGTAACAGCTATAATACAAAAAGTTGAGAGGGTAGTTTGGAAAAATAATATTACGATGCCCAAAATAACTAAACTGTGGATGAAGTCGCGAGCACGTAATACGTTGTAAATTTAACTTAGTATTACTACTTTTTCTTCATATAGTATGGGAAATAATAATACCAATAACACGCTACATTCTTGTTCTATGGAACTACACTCTTTTTCGATAGAGATTGCTTCTTTCTCTTGCTGTTCATTTTTCGCTAAAACCTCCGCCAGCCGCTGTCTTCCTTTTTCTTTCTCTTCTGTCTCTTTTTGGTGAATCTGCTCCCTCTGTGATTCCAAAATGTCTCTTTCTAAAACAAATAAGTACACCAAATACGCCCGTTAGGACTACTATGGAGATAGTTTATAGATATTATTTTTTATATCGATGTAATTGCGTTTGTGTTGTGTAATAAAGAATATATAAATAAATACTCGACAATACTCTGACTGTAGGTTACAACAAACACAAAGTTAATTATTCAATTGCAACCCGTAGTTCCTAAGAATAGCGCGTTCAAACAAATAAACTCTTCAGCCTTATATATTAGTATAGATTAAACCTACCTTTTTCAAACAATTTCCTATAACCACCCATATGGTTATCTAGATTTGACGCATAAACATCTAGTTTTGCCTTCTCGGACTCCTTACAAACATTTACGATAGCTATTTGACTTCTCATTTGTGATAATTCGTTGCCTAGCTCCTAAAATGATGTAAAACCTATATTAGTAACCATTTATTTAATATTATTAAGAATGAAAAATACAAGAAACTCAACACATACTTTAATCTGTTGATCTAATGTATCTTCAATAGCCTTATTATTCAGAAGTTCTCGAGTCAAAGTGTTTTCTTTATTTCGTAGACTATTCACAGTTCTTTCTAATTTCAGCTTTACCTTTGTAGCTGCAACACAAAACATTTATGTATTTCTAAAAAACTTATTTACAGAAACAATAAATTGGTTTTATTATATTAATTAAAACCTGATTGCAACTTCATTTCTAGTTCTAATCTCATTTCGTTGGATGACATTAAAAAAAATCTATTATTTGATTTGCCGCGAATTTTAGATTTATATATATATATATTTTTCGTTTATAGGACCTTGTATGCACAACCTTTAGGCCAACTCTTATTTGAATTTATATTTATCTTTACGATGCACAGACTCATATATTGTGTTCTAAATAGATTTCAGCTCTGTCATTGTGCAGCGTGTGAATATTTAATTTTATCTGTATTATTTTATACACTATAGTTTAGTATAGTTGTCATATGTCACTGTCATCTAAACGAGTTTCTAAAATCGACGCGAACGTTAAGCGTGTTGCGTGGTGTTGAATTCGAACTCTCTCTTTACCTATAGAGCTTCAAGAAAGTTCTTTGCATAATGCGATAATAATGCATGTGGCTTAGCTGAGTTGGAAGACATGTAAGTGAAAAGTCCAGATGACAAAGACCAATCGAACAATACTTGATGTATAGCCTCCATGTGTAAGTCTGCCAAAATGGTTTCTAGCAGTACACGGGTGATACAGGTCACCAATATCGCTCCGCAAGCTACCAAAGACCAAATGCAAACATTGTTCGGTTACTTGGGGAAGATAGATGACATAAGACTCTATCCCACTATTAGAGATGTGTCCTGTCCGGTGCAGTCGCGAATATGTTACGTCAAGTACTACGATGCTGCAACTGTTAACGTCGCTCAGCATTTGACCAATACTGTGTTTATAGATCGGGCGCTTATTGTAATTCCCTTGCAATCCGGCGAGATCCCCGATGAGCACAAAGCTTTAGAGATGTCTAGCAATGGTACCTTGGTCCCTGGGCTAAATTCAGTTGAACCACATTTACCTGCTCATGTGGTAAACTCACTCGAAGGCGTGCCGCCTAACCAAGTCGTCCTGACTTATGACCCCAAAATAGCTACTGCAGGTTTACCATCCTACCCGCCATTACCTGCTATTTATGATTCAAGAAAAATAGAAGAGATTCGTAGGACTCTTGTAATAGCGAATGTAGGTGAAGTGACAGCTCAACAGCTTATTGATTATTTTGGACAAGCTGGTGAAGTTTCTTACTTGCGGTTTTGTGAAATGGAAAATGAAATAACAAAATACGCTTTGATTGAGATGTCCAGTCAGGAAAGTGTCTTAAAAGCACTGCAATTATCTGATACCTCAATCGATGGTCAGGTGTTGAAGGTGAGCCATTAATTTAATTTTTAAATTAAATATGTAAATTAAAAATACATTAACTTATTCATGTAAAACAATTGATTTACAGGTTTTACACTCAACCCAAGCTATTTGTAAACCGCAAACAAAGAGCAATGAGGCAGCCCAACGAGAAATTGAGGAAGCCATGTGCAGAGTTAAGGAGGCCCAGAACTTTATTTCTGCAGCTATCGACCCAGTCATTGGACTCCTATCCAAAGACAAGAGAAGGTACCATTTTACTGTTTTATTCTTTATTATGTAGATTTTTAAGCTGGTCGTTATTAAACAGAGTTAAGTCACAATCCAAATTCAATAAAACTACAAAATTCTCCACTTCGACACACAGACAGTATATACACATTCAATTTTGCACTAACATTGGTTAGTATTAACAAGCAATGCCCAAATTTGACTTACTTCTGTTCAGTCCAGCTCAATTTCTGATATCCAACGGCAAATTAATTTCAATTGCAAGGAAATAAGGATAATAGGAGTATTTAATCAATAAGGGTAGCAACAGACTTGCAGCACTATATGTAATGTGTTTGTGGCGATCTTGTTACATTGCAGAGTAGCATAAGATGCAGCGTTTGCGTGTTAGCTCAGCTCAATCGTGCTCCACATTAATTCTCGAAATGTACAGCGTAGAGGTAATGTCTGCCCTTCCTATTTATATATTATAATCCTGTCCATAAAAGCAATAAGACAAGTGTACTTATAATTTACATTTTGGATAAACAATCGCTCAAAGTTGCTTGTCTTATTGCACCATTGCAAGTCAGTTGCTGTCTTTATTCGTTTGCATTTCAATTAACTGCAAAGAGGGTAGTAATCTTTATTTAGCTATAGATATATGTAAGAAATAAACTACTAAGAACTCTGAGCACTTAGATGCCAACAACACTGAGGTTTGTATCCTAATAAACAACTATGGATCACATCAGGCTAAAGGTAAGAATGTCTGGAAAAAGTGACCCGTATTATATTAATTTTGATTTAACAACTAAAGTTTACAAATCAATCCTACACGGTTACTTCTAAGTGTTTATATACGTATTACATAATAATATCTATTTAAAAAATGTTTGTCTGACCAGCACAGATCCTACAATCAATATATATTTCCGATAGACGTATATTCATTCTAGCGACACAAAGTATATTATTCAACATTTACTCAGCTGCAATTCAAAACTACTTGTTTAATTAGAAGAATTCCACAAACGAGTTATGTGCACATTTTGACCCATGTTTGTATGACATTATTATAGCAACATTTTAGAACTCCTTGAAGATCTTAGATTCTGCACCCAAGGATGCTACGGTCAACCTCAACCATGGTTCTACTCTAATTGGACAGGATAGCATTTTTGTTTAAGATTAAAAACTTATTATGTAAGTTTGTATCAGGACTCGTTCTCGTTCCCGGTCGCGGCGACGTTCCCGGTCCCGGTCGCGCCGTTCCCGTTCCCGGCATCGCGGTAAGAGGTCGCGTTCCCGTTCCAGACATCGCTCGCGGCGTTCAAGATCTAGACATCGGCATCGCTCCAGGTTTCTAAGCTTTATAAGTCTTTCGGTTTAAATAATTTTAGTTTTGATAACTTCGCCAATCAGTTATGCATAAAATAGCGTACATAGGGTTGTGGCTGCGACTTTGTTCGCCTAAAATAATTATTTTGCGCCCTCATATCTTTATAAATTTTAGATGTTACCCACGACTTCATTTTTAAAGATAGACATAAAATGGTTACAGCCATTTTTTAGAAGAAGAACAATTCTTTTATACATATTATAATAAAATAAATATTTTGTCGATATTTTTTGGATTTCACGAACTCCATTTTGGCAGAGCACGCAACAGAAACCCTCAGATAAATAATTTCCCCGTTCCTACCTATGTTTGGCACCCTAACGTTTTATAGCCTACCTTGATAAATGGTCCAACCAACACAAATAGAAGAATTTAGAATCTGAGATTAACGCGTTCAAAAAACAAACAATTAAGCTCTTCAGCTTTATAATATTTGTATAGATAATATATTTGATATAATCCTACAGATCACGGTCCCGTCACCGTAGCTCCAGGCGATCAAGATCTAGATCACGTCATCACAGCTCGAGGTCAAAACGCGATCGATCTCGCGAACGTGACCGCAAAGATAAGAAGGACACCGATAAAGATAAAGAAAAACGAGATAAATCCAAAACACCACCCAGAGAAGACAAAGAACTAGACGCAAAACTAGATGTTGAGCCTGAGACCAATGGGGTGAACTCTGAATCGAAATCGAAAGCGGCGTCTCCCGTTGAAGATAAACCAAAAACGGATTTGGAGGAAGACAAAAAAGTGAAAGAAAGATCACCGTCAAAGAAAAGAGAACGCTCTCGCTCTAGAGACAAGAAACGTGAACGGTCACGCTCAAAACGAAGATCTCGGTCGAAGTCTCGACGTAAGCGGTCTAGATCTCGAAGAAGGTCACGTTCCAAAGATAGAAAACGATCTCGCTCGAGAGATAAAAAGAGGTCTAGGTCCCGTAAGCGATCGCGGTCCAGGGAAAAGAAGAGGTCGAAGTCTAGGGACAGAAAAAGGTCTAGGTCCAGAGACAGAAAGAGGTCTAGATCTAGAGACAAGAAGCGTTCGCGTTCGCGCAGCCGTCGATCGAAGAGTCGTTCTATAAGAGACTCGAAAACTACACATGACAGGAAGTCTAAAGAAACGACTCCCAACCTCTCGACAATTATGGAAGAAAAGAACGCTCCTTTCGCAGAGAGATCGCCAGATCTGGGGGATGAGAAAAATTCTCCCGACAACATGGATATTTCCAATTCTCCTTAGGTTTTAAATTCAATTAAGTTACCGACGTACACAATTTTTTTAAAGTAGGTAGAATACGTTATTTTTTACTTGCTGTTTGTATAATTTGCTTTACGTTAACCTGTCTTTGCATTATTAGTGATTTCGCGATATGTATGTAAGAATTAATCAATTTTAATAATCATTGTGTTTTTATTCATTTTTGATAATACTGGAATCAATTTAATTTCACGAATCATGAATTCAGTTCTTGTTTTCAATGTATGTACAAAGTATTCTTTATGCTATTATTCCATGATTTAAACCAGTTTAATAATTTTTAGTTATATGTGGCAATATATTACACTTATCTACCTGGAAGCTTAAAACTTCAATCAGTTCTATACAAAGTAAAATTAAACGACATAAAAGATATAATCGACGCCCGAGTATATGAAAAATGGCTCTTATCGGAATCCAGGAGGTGGCTTCAGAAGGGCGAAGCGCCATATCCTGGCTACTGTAGAGCCCCGGGTAGTGAAAAGTGCCTCCCGGTTCTATGTAATTGTATAAAACTTGCCGAAGTGTGGAACAAGATTAAAGGAAATAATAGTGTGGAATAAATATATATCTTTTAATTTATGTCAACACAACCAAAAAATATTTTAAATCGTAATTTCAATTCATTGCAATGCCAGACTTGGGACGTCGGATTATAAAGGCGTAGTAGTGTGGCGGGAAATTATATTGTATGATAGGTTAGTGCTGTGGATTAAAAAAAATAAAATCAGGTTTAAGAGAAATAACGTTTGAAAACTTCAATGTTTTGCACATGATGTCACTATTTGAATTAAAAATCGAAAATAAATTTAAATTTGTATTTTTTTTTAATTTAAGAGAACTACTTACTTTATCCAATTATTTCGTAGTCGAAACGCTAAAAGTACAATATAATCGTGTATTATATACTCAAGCAGGTTTCCTATGTTTAAAAAAAATAATGTCCGACAGTTCGTTTTTTTGGGAATGACATTTGACAACACCGGAATTGGTATTATTAAAATATATTTTTAAAAATCCTTAAAACCTAAAAAGGCAGTACGTCGAGCATAGCGTACTTCCACGTCCACTGCCTGGCGAGGGCCTCAAATTTCGAGCGATCTTTCACATACATTTCTCCAAGTTCGGGCTCCATACAAACCTGTAAGCGAAGCGGGTTTTTGACATTAAACATTTTATTTATTTATTTGCTTACTTAGGAAACTAAACAGTACAGTCTCTTATGATAACTTAAAACTAATATTCTTATTGTCTAGGGAAAAAATAAAATTTTATAAAAATCCAAATGTATGCAGGCATGTACTCAGAGACAGTACCTTTACAAGTTTCGCTGAGAACATTTGAGTTGAAAAATTTAAAAAAGCTTTGAGTCGAGAAACAGTGTCCTCTACATGACAAAACCGTATTCTTTTATACTTAGATTTTATGTGTGATATCTTTACAGGTTAGGTACTTTTTTAACTTAAATTAACGTAAAATAAATAATTGCTGAAAACAAGAAGATTTAAAAGAGTTGATCTATTTTTAACAAAGCCATGTTGCTGTTCAAGAATGTTTTATTTCAAAGCCAAGTATACATCGTGGTGTACAAATTTTTCGAAGACTTGGTATAGAGGATAAGATCGAAATCGGACGATAATTACTAGCATTATTTTTTCGACCCGACTTAAAAATAATAGTAACAAAAGCAAATTTCCAGGACGACGGGAAAGTGCCAGTTGTTAAACATTTATTAAAGATAATATAAAGCGGAAGACAGAGATTGTCAGGGCCCGGACTCTTGATTGGATCAAGCTTTCTAACCGCAAGTGCAATATCGACTTCAGATAGACTTATTTCACTTAAAGAGTTATGCGAAGCATCTTCGCAGCTATTTGCGGTAATGTCTGAGATATTGTATGCATTACATGAAACCGGTTCCAGAGCAGAGTTTAAGAATTGAGAAAACATTTCATATATGAATAATGATAATTAAATAAAGTCACGCTTTAATAAAAAAGGTGCATTAACAATGTGTTTTTAGATAAGGTGTTTTAACGGACTCTGGTGTATTGGTTGCAATGTATGGCTAATTATCAACGGGCCGTGGGTTCGATCCGCACCGGATCCAGCATTATTTTTAATCAAGTTCACAGTTTTTCTGAAACATGTGTTCGCTGGAAATCTGGGTGGATGGAATCGGAATTCCGTTCGGCTCACGAACCACCGTCCACAGATGAAAAAGCCGTCAAGTTTAATCGCGTTTCGGTTTCATCTTGTTCAGATGTTATGGCTGGGGTATTTACCTGACATCAAGGGAACTCTATGCTGATCTGTCTTCATTTTTCATGAAGAAAATGAAAAGAAAAATATACACGCTTTTTATACGAATTTAATAATTTAATACGTTTCTTTCGTGCAAAAATTATAAAGATAAAAATGTTAATCTATGTAACATTTAAGTTTTAACTTGACTAACCTTATATATAAAACACTTTGACGGTTTAAAACGTGATATATTAGTTAAACTTACTTGAACATGACTTTTAACTTCGACCCGACGTTTCGGATGCTTTTGCGTTTTAAACCGTTAAAGTGTTTTATTTAAATGTGTACTAGTCGCGTAAACTATATCACAGTATTTGACTAACCTTGTCAAACATTACAACTTACTATCTTAATAAATAAAAAAACTTGTACCGTAATAATACTCACATTGGTGTAAGGATCAGTTAGCAGACTCTGTATAGAGATAAGAACTTTGCTGATGGTCAGGGCCAACGACCAGTTGTGATGTACAGAGTCGATACCGACATCGCCGTGTCGGGAGACATTTGGATGCAGGATACGAGTTAGAAATCGGACTACAGGTGGGCTCATTGGGTATCTGGATATTAAAAATATAAGTTAAAAGTAACAATACAAGGTGTACAACAGACATGGTGTTCTTTCGAAGTTTCGAACTATGGCATTTCTATCAGAAATTTGAGGGTTAGGTTAATTGGTCGCAGCGTGTTGTTTTATAGCCTAAAAGCCTTCCTCTGGTTTAACCAATACAAAAATAACTTTTCAATTCGAATCAGTAGTAATTCAGATTAGCGCGTTCGAACAAAGAAACAAACTATTCACCTTCATAATATAAATGAGGCCGCTAGAGGCAGAGTGGCCTAATAACAGAAAACATGAGTTTCAATAAGAAGGAAAATAAAAACGTGCAATTAAAATGTAACAAATTTTCCGTCACTGTGCTCTTGTAGATTAACATTTTAGCAAAATATAAATAAGTCAAGTGAAAAATTTGCATTTAGACTACCCTGCCTCTAGTGGCCTCAGATATATCGTAAAATCTGTATAAAAAGAGCAATGGAATAATTAGGATTTGGAATATAAACTGTTGTTAAGTTAACTTACGAGTAAGGCACTTGCACATAGAGATAAAAGACGCCGCCTTCGTAGGGCGAGCCGGCCGGGCCCGTGACACTCGCCTGCCAGTGACAACACTTCGCGTCCAGGGGCGTGGCCGCTATACCTTCGGGCGGGTCGTTACGTAACATCTGACGCAGTAATTTATTATCCTTAAAGGGAAATGCAAACGTTCGGCTAATACGGTTATTTCTCTGCTACAATAACTTTGAGAACATCAATTCATAAATGATAGGAAATGAGGGTAGTTTCAACAAATTGACTAGTTTTAAAACTTTTACAAATAATGTACACATCAAACGGTTGCTATTTATTTGTTTTTCTTCCACAAATAAGAAGTCTGTAAGTATGTAAATTGAACAGGAAAATTTAAATAGTCTGCCCCATTGCCGTTTCCCCCGTGGGGCATTAGGCGAACATGTTTGTAATTTTATTCGTCGGTTTCATTTACAGGGAATTGGTTGATTAGACTACAGTTGAACAATCTATTGTTTATCTGCGATTTGACCCCAGGATCTCATGCGCTTAACGCAACGCGACACGTTTTACCATTTTTTTATGATAGTAGAGGACAGATAAGCAAGGAGGTCCACTTGATGGAAGTTGAAATATCCCAGCCATATAGAATCTCAACAAGATCTGAGTTTGGTTAAGGATATTTAGCTGCAGGGGTTCATGGCTTAAAAATGTAAATATTTTGGTCTCGTTGTTTGATGCTCTTACTTTTAATTCACTGCGAAGCCGATTCCGTCGCCACGCGCTTTCCTCGCCATTCGGTGGAGCCTGGACGCACATCTGCACGAGGCAATTCCGGCAAAAACAAGACTCTACGAGCGATTGATATTTCTGCAATGGAATAATTGTGTTATAAAAGAGAAAGAGAGAGAGCCTACTGGATTTGTCTCTCTCTCTCTACTTGTGTTGAAAATTGCTACTGTCCTAGCTGTGTCAGCAACTCGTCCGCGTGGAATAGTTATTTTGGGCATTTAAATTTGTTTTTGCAAACCTCCTTTTCATCTTTATAAATTGAAGCTGTTACACACGACGTCTGTCGCGTGCCGCTGTTCTTGCGAGTTAATCTTATAAGAGACGTATAGTGTCGCGAATCGTTTTTCAGATCATTTAAAGAGGAATCATTCGTTCATACGTTTTTTAGATATCTTGAACCGTTTTCGCAATATATGCATCGGAAATTGACAACGATGAATAATTTCTCTCGTTTTTTCCACGTGCGTTACGTTCAAACAATCAATTAAAAACTTCAGCTCAAAGCGCAGATAAAAAAAATAGTAATAATAATATCAACAAATGGTAAATCAAATTTTAATATATAAAGATTTTGTGTAATAATGTCTACAACTGGTAAAATATAGAGAACTTATTGAGTTTGAAAATGTATGTTCTATCTATTCTAGTATGATTGTTGGACCAAATTTTATTAATTTGTATAACCTTAATCATGGTGTTAGAGTGAGTGAGAATGAGTAGCATACCCTCTGCCAATCAAAATCTGTGAACATGGGTCTGAAGAGTGGCCAACGGGCTGCTGCAAAGGCGGCCCATCTTGGGAGTGGTACCCTCGCACGAACCAGTCTCTGCCAACGCGTGCATACGCAGGCGCAAGCACACAGAGACATGTCATCCAGATACCGAAATATACACAGCAGTACTGCAAAGAATTGAAGTTAAGAGAATTAAATGATTACAAGTTTCATTTAAGCTACGGTCAACATTCCAATTTGATGTTTAACTGACTAACAAGATCTATCATTGAGCTAGTCTACCCAAGAATCTTTCGAACTTGATTAACCATTTTAATTATTAATTTAATCAAATAAATGACAGGCTCATAGTAATTGCAATAATAAACCGATAATAATTTCCACCAGTTCCAATATGTTTTTAATTTATTTAGAAGTCTTATGAAACACTTTAGAAATGGTCAGTAGAAATATCAAAATTCCGCCCACAAACAATCATTCACAGAGAAAAAACTGTGAACTTTAGTCACCTTTTGGTTTCAGTCAGTGGATTTCTATATATGGCTGGAGTATTTCATGATTCATCGAGTTAACTCCATACTTTACCATCCTCACAAAGAAATTAAACAAATAAAAATAATACTTTCGGTAAGTTATAAGAGAATTAATAAAGCATAACAATATAACCTTTAAATACAACTCTTTACCTTCAGATGGTAAATGTTCAACAATACCAAATGGTACATTGTCTGGAAGTCGAGGTGTAGTTAGTGCTTGTAGTGACCAAGAAAGATTTGGAGGTTGTGGTGGTGGAGCATACCCAGGGATGAATGGGTCTTTTATGGCTGAGGATCCAGAACCACTACTACCACACCCACTTGGACCTGAGTTACTTGCACGACTTGCATCATCTTCTGGACTTGTCTCGCTATCTAAAGATGTCTGGAAATATATAATTTTTTTTAAGTATTCATTTTTTTGGACCCATATACCTATGTATAACAAATATTACATATATTAATAATAATATATTTCAGGGAATTTAAGGATCCCCTGGTTGTGGACACATATATTCTACAATTAATGAAACATACAAAACATTACCTACACATACACACATGCACTTATTAAATATGCTAAAATCTTTATATGGAAAACTTACTCTGATCCTCCACCATGCTGGTATAGGAAATGTCTTATTTAATTTCTTTTCAGAACTGAAATTTAAGTCTGAAGGTTCATCATTCCCTGAGTCTCCGTCATCTGTCTTCTCAGTACAAAAATATGAACATGGCAAATAAGATTGGAACTCCGGAAATAAAAATGCATGGCAAGTTACACAAACAGGTTCCCCGAAGCTTGGACCATAGTACCCATTGCATACAGAGCAAACAGAATTCTGTAATAAAACATGAAAGAATTAACACTATAAAAATATCTATTTTTAATTTGGTCTTGACTATTAGAATAAACCAAACAGATGGAAGGTATAAAAGATTAATGAAGTATTCTGCACACTACATACCTATAATATTTAAACAATTTATAAATGCAATATACAGTGAGAAATAAGTATATAGAATGAAGTAGAAACTTTGAAAAATATAGAGGATTACGTGGTGTTCAATTGGTAAATATAGAGCAATTTATGCCATTAGTCGTAGGTTTGAGTGGTTGATTTGTTATGTGACTTTGAAAAATCCCTTCCAATTATTTTATTTAAAAAGTTACTCACATTGAACTCAAACTCCAGGGGTCTTTCAATGGGCGACAAAGACGTTAATTTATCATCACTATCTTCCAGTTTTTTGATATAATCAAGAAATTCTGGGGTAATTAACGACATTTTGCTCTATTACAACAAATGGATATTTTCAATTTACACTTCTACGTTCGTACGTTCAAACGCTTTCCTTTGTAATAAGTTTAAACCATTTTTAGTTTCGGCTTTTCAATAATATTAATCTTATTTTTGAAAACAGCTTCTATGTATAATACTAAAACAATCAAATGTAATTTACATATTACAAACACTTGCAAATACAAATTACAACTTATTCGATGTAAATTTACTAATGTCACTGTCTACTCTGACAACAACATATCTGTCAATCGACAAATAAAAGATATGTCAGAGAAGCCACAGACTATATACTTATAAGTACCAGTTAAACCTAAAAAGTAAGTAAGGAATGTGTTAGCAGTTAGATAATCATATTATTAGTAAAATAAACCTATATAGGTATTTAAAGTGTTCGTATTACAGCGAATTTTAAGGCAACTGTGAAGGAACTTTAACGGATTTTCCATTGGCTGTATATTTTAAACTTGCTTTAACTAGTCACAAATTGGTGTAAAATTTTGGTAATGATGGGTACTTAAGTGAATAAAACTACAGATTTGCTTAACGATAATCTTATTTAAATTTTCGAATTTGTCATATTTCAAATCATAATGGCATAATTAGCATTTCTTTTGAATATGGTTTACAATGGTAGAACAATATCACGTCATTTATAAAGTGATCATTACACAGTGATCAGCTATCTTAGCATCAGGAATCAGCATAACGATTTTTACAGAATTGAATATAATACCTATTTCAAGAAACATTAATGTTGTTTTTGATACATAAGTGTTTATGCATTCTTTGTTAACATTACTTTTTGATAAAACTTTTGACTCAAGTACTTCAGTTACTATATTATATAGTATATTACTATAATGTCATAGTATGTAGATAGTACTCACTTTGTATGTTAACAAAGTATTAGATTCCTGTTACATTAATTTAAAAGACCTCTTAATATCAATTATTACCATAACAGAACTTACAAAATAGTGTGCCATTTCCTAAACTTCTAGGTGAAAAATAATCTGCTTCACTTTTTTTTCTAGACAATCTATATAAAGGTGGGTGAATCCTAAAAAAATAACAATATAAGAAGGTATTAAAACCTAAACAGACGATAAGGTCACGTTTCAAGGTCACATTGAACATAAATTTAGTACAGTACAGTTCTCTCCCAACTTTTTGCCCGCCTGAATTTAGCGCGGGTAGTTGCGCAGAACGCGAAAAGCAGGTATCAGTTGCCACAAATGGGGTGCGCGGGTGCGGGGCGACTCGATTTTTGCTTGAAATTAACAGTACCATGCGCAAGATTGCGGTCGCGCTAACTTGAACCCGGCCAAAAAGTTTGAAGAGAACTGTACTTGGCTATTGGCCGATTTCTGTACAGTAGAATACTTATGAGTATCTGTAGTCTAATAATACATTGAGGTTTATATTTCTAGAACCGACAATAAAGTAGTTCTAAATTCACATTCTGATGAACAATTGAGTGTCAACAGGTAAATATTAGCCAACCTAATAGCTGCAAAAGAAAATATAATACTTATCTTATATTACATCAAAGTTGAGATAATCCTACTAAATGTAAAAACAAAAAGAAAAACTAAACCTTACTTTGATTATTAAAATACATTACTCCTTTCTACTTTTTTTTCAAATCTTACCATTTCTATTTAGAAGAATACTTTGAAGAATATATAAATTAAAAGAGACATGGTAATACACAAATTCTTTTAACTTTTCATAATTTACTTACTGGCAAGGCAAACAATTAATGAACCGGGCAATAAATTTTCCTTTGTATCTGAGACCAACCCTACTATAATAAAACAATATTGTGTTTCTTAGTAGACTTTTAAAATGTTCATTAAAATTAGGTGAAACTTATGAACAATACACTGCAGTCACTGAACCACTGTAACTCTTAGAGGACGAGGTCCAATCTATCTTATACCTATGTGGGAGCGAAGAGCTCCTTCTACCGTACTCAGTAAGGAGAGTAGTACGATCCTCGCCTCATTGTTCTGCAAACAAGCCACGTTGTTAGACATTGCATCTACTTCACTTTTTGCATAGTAGGGTACTTGACTTTGTTCTTTGAATAGTATAGAAGGTCAGCTTGGTTCGGTAAATTCCAAGACCGTTTATGTATACTGAAACATACTGTGATAACTCCAGTATCGTCAAATTAGTTTTAGATACATTTAATACAAATCTTTTAAATCACTTTGAGTTTATATGGCACATATAAATAGAGTTTATATGTTGCGTATAAGGTGTACTGTGCAGCAAACCATAAATACAGGCCTGGATCTTCATCTCTACTAATAGACCTTCTATACAAATGTAATAATTTTTTGCAATGAGACTTTTGTTCCTCCCTAAACTTGAGCCAATTCCCTTTGTAGCATTGTAATGTCAAATACCCCATGGAAACATCATATTCAAATTCACTGTTCATGCAGAAACTACAGAATAGCTACAAATATAGAAGTGCAACACAGTTTTCTGATTCTTACCTGTTGGGAAGTGCAAAAATTAATTTATTTAATACTACTTCAGTGAGAATCACAATAAATAGGGAAGAGACTCAGAAGAAGTGCATCAATGTTATATGATTTTGGAAAATGAAGGCCATCATTCTCATAGTTTGAAAAATAAAAAATCCTATTGATATATGTAGTATTAAAACCAATATCTCCATTTCATTCTTCTTGCCATGCGCAAATATCAAGTTGAGCTTTACATATTTTTTGGTATAACAACATTCTAGCCCATAACCGTCGATAAGTGCATAGCTTCTTCCAGATCATGCATAGGAAAGGATGCGTCATTAAAATACATATCAAATGTCGTCATAAAAATTTATTTTGTATAAATATTGTTTTTCATTTAACATTTCGGTCAAGACTAAGCTCCAAACAAATTTTCATGCACTTTGCATACTAGAACATTGCTAATACAAAATAATGGGTGTAACATTGCTACTAACAAGCATAAATACTACATCGTAACAACGCGGTTTAGATTCTCATATTTATTGCAAAGCACTGATAAATTTAGTTTGTGATTTGCAATAGATTGAGCTGGTACAGCGCGCGAGTTATGTTTATATCAATGTTTAAAAAAAATTCAAAACTGTACTTAATAACTTGGATCAGTTTTCTTTATGTATTTACTCAACTGTATGTTTATTTTTGAGTTAACCAGGAGCTCAAATTGTATTGTTGTCTGTGGTTTTCGCGAGTATGACTTATTTGAATAAATCCTTTGAAAAAGTGTTGTGTAAAAAGTACTCTATTTAATTTAGTCTTAAAAGTTTATGGCAAAAAAATATTGTTTTATGTGGTCTCTATAATTCATAGATTAAAAATAAGTATGAGGCAACTTCAGATAATATTTTAACCAACTATGATTTTTACAACTTACAGTAAGTAGGAATATGCACGTATTTCTTAAGCACTTATTTATATGCTTTGCAGTTATGTGATAGAGGATATAATCACGATAAATTATTAACAGTAGATTTTTTTGTCAAAATGATAGCACAACTCTAATATTTTTTTCTACCTAACCTTGTTTGGTTATTTCTTTTTATTTAGAATGTATATACCTAACCATTTGATTAATCCAGTGTCAGGACCAAACATAATACAAAAGTTTGGTTGGCCAGAATACAGAAGTTTGATTATTTGACTTAATGGCTGAGCATAAGTTAAACAAAAAACTAAGAAAGTGTATTTTTTAATTTACTTTGACAAGTGTTTAAACTAGCTTGATCTTTTGGCACATTTCTAAAACCTAGTTATTGAAAGAAAGACTAAAAGATGAAAAGTCTGATTTGAAAATGCCCAATAATAAACTATACATATTCCCTACTGTAAGTGAGGTGGCAATGTCTAAAAATAAAACCGCTGAAATCATTCATACTAAAACGATATGCACAACGTTATTATAAGTCACAAAACTTGATATAAACATATCTCTTATCAATACGGATTGTACCTGCCGCGCCGGATCGCGGGTCGGAAGCCGGAGTAGTAAGGCGAGAAGCCGCCACGATAAGAGCGGCCGCGCCCGCGCGAGCCCCTTGGCGGTCGGTTCGTTGACGAGAGCCCTGGCTTGTTTGTGCGCTTGGGCATCACCTGGAAAGAGGCGAATCACAAAAGATATGTATAATTAAAGTTGGCGATAAAAGAAGTTGTGGTAAGTTTGTTGCCAGTTCTTCTTGTTTGTTTTAACTGGTGTGACGATTATAGGAGTACCATCATGAATTTTTTTTTTACTATTTCTATACAATATAGATGATTAAAAACAGATATTTTTAATCGTCTATACACCTAGATTATGACCAACCCATAAATGAATCCTTCAAAAATTTTTCATTCACAAGTGCTTAGTAAATGGAAAGAATTATGCTATTCCTACCAATAATGAGATGATCAGATAGTTTGTTGACATACAGCTGACCTAGCAATCCATAATAAGGCTAATTAATACTAACTGAATAAATGTTTTAATATTTTATGTAAAAATTATATAGTTACATTTACAAGTTGCATCACAATTCATGCAATAAGCAACTTTTTAATATTCTGAATATATATTTTTACAATTACATATCACGGAATATGTACTAATCACGGTGTTGTTGTCTTACGATCTTGGTAATATTAATAAATTTAAAATAGACTAACCTTAATTTGGCGTCCTCTAAATAACGACTCATCCATTGCCATGGCTGTCTGTACACTGTCTTTGTCCCCGAACTCTATGTACGCAAACCCTTTAGGGTGACCATCGAACTTATTGCATAATATTGTAACCCTGTAATTAATACAGAATTATAGTTAAAAACTTACCTTTATTTTGCAAAAATGTCAAATGATGTTAAATACCTATTAATAGATCCACAGCCATGAAAATGTTGCTCTAATTCTTCAGCTGTTGCTCCATAATCAACATTTCCAACATAAACCGACCTATTGTCAATTTCTATTTTCTCTTCAAGTGACATATTTAGTGGACTTGCTGAAAAAGTTAAATGACCATTAAATATTTGATAGCATTAATAGCTTTCCAAAAGTAAATAACAAAATGTATAAACATACTAAGTCCTGTAGGGCTACCCAAGCTCATCTGTTTATCAACTTCCGTGTGCATTTGCTTTAACTTCTCGGCTTCCTCTTCCATTTCTTGGACCCGGGCCTTTATAGCAGCTATATCTGGCAACTCTGTACCAGATGCCTCATCTCCACCCTAAAATTTCCGTACCAATAATGTTCATAGTATTATAAAAACAACCAAATGTTTTTTATTAACCACTTATACATATTTTTTTACAATTAATCACAATTGAAATAGACAAAAGCTTTGCAATGTTGCAGTTTTTATTGCAAACTAACTTTTGTGTTAATATTTTAAATGTATCAGGCATTAAATATTCAAAATTAGTTAATAGTAGTGATATTACCTTATGAGGTCTCATTATGCTAATAAAGTTAAGTAATTAACATTTTAATCAACAAAAATATTTCACAATTTGATTTCTAAGAATGTTTTGTATACTAGAACCACTTAACAAATGAATTACAAAAAGTAAACACTCATTAATAATTGACTAAAATAATAACAATTACTGTACTAATCATAATATTTCTCCGGGACATAATTAAGGATATATAATCGGTTACGCCTTTACATCGCGTCTGTTTCGAACCCCATAGATAGTAGCGCGACTGCGTGTTGTTTTCTTTACAATGTCAAAAGCCATAGGTAGTAAGTACTTCGATTTTACCGCTACTATTTAAATTTGTTTAAAACTAAATAAACACAAAGCAATACTTACACCCAAGCTATTATCAGTCACATTTAGAGATCCATTGGATCCATCTAGGTGATTATTCTCCATAGAATCTAAATAATCGTTTTCTGCCATATTCTTCACTTGGTATTATTTAATTAACACAAAAAACAACAGCTACTGATCTCACTTCACACAAAATAATTTAAACCTTTGTAGATATTCACTATTTTTAACTTTTCGAAGTTTGTTTTTAATAGAATTCACTAATCAAGATATTCCTCTGACGTACCGGTAACCAAATCAGCAAACTTTTGCGACTGACCTAATTATAAAGCTACAGAAATATTATTGTACTTTTACACTTAAGATTTATACGACCAAAATACTTTTGATAACATTAACAAACATTATTGTATTATCGTAATATTATTGGATATAATATTTAAACATTTTTATCTCAACAATATACGCCAAAACAATATTTGACACTTAAAGGTTGATCATTATCTAAGGTTGACACTTGACAGTTTGACACAGTATAGCACAGACAAAATATTTACCGTAAATCCGGGTACAATAAAAAAACTTACCAGTTTTCTTTACTGTTAAACTAAGCTAACTTAATAAGAAACTGAAAGTATATTAAAACAGCCTGCAGATATATTTAGCCCTCTTTTCCATTTCAATATTTGTAAATCATAAAATGGGACAGGAAAACTGTGCTTGTAATCCACTGACTACGATGCTCATTGTCGTACTCTGTGGTTGGTAATAAAAATAAAAACTACACAAAAAACTAAACAATATTTTACAATATTTTTGTGGATCAGTGTAGTAGTGTTACTATAGCTCTTAGTATGTGCGATATCAACTAATGTCGATTTCTAAATTATTTAATCTTAACTCGGCGACCTTTGTAAGTATATTATTTCAAAATACACATACAACTAAGCGAGTCACTAAATCTTTACGTGGGTATAGTATATATTAATAGAATTATTCGATTCTAGCTATTCGTGTGCATAAGTTGGGTGCATGTTATTTACTTAAGCTGGAAATTGTCCGAGTTCTCTTAAGCAATAATGCCCCTAACAGCTGATGTGGCTGCCCAGCAAGTTCAGGTATTTATTCCTTTTTTACGCCTTACAGCTATACATGGTCTCTATGTTAAGAAAATTTAAAACCCCAATTAATATTTTTGGAGAAACTCTACACCTAGCTTACAATTGATTTTTGTAACAGAAGTATTTTAATTGTACATTTGATAAAATTAAAAGTAAAATACTGCAACAATCTTTTGCAGTATTAACTACTACATGGCCAAACTTGGTGGTCTGACTGTGTTTTAATGTCTATATGTGTTTTTTAATTTTATTCAACTACAAAAAATATAAAATTTAACATGCTACTTAAAAGCTATTTTGATAATAATGAAATATGATTCTAGGAGAGATTAAGGTCTTTGCACAGATTGATCTATGATATAGAATCTGAAAGGGGACGCAATGAACAGTGCATTGACTCTATCCTGCGAGCTGAAAAAGCAGCAGAGAGCTCACCGTCTACTGAAGATTCAGGTTCATCACAACAAGTAATCTCTTTTTAATTTAAAAACATATCTCTGTTGGTGCAAAGTGTATGATGTATTTATGAGTAATCAATTTTTAGCAAATGCAACTAAAGAATCTGTACAAAAATGGTCTTACTGCTGCGGAGCAAGAAGAGAGGGTTCTACGAGCAGCTCTATCAAGAATTTATGAGATAAGAGCTATCAAAAATGAAAGGAGAATTCAGGTTTATAATTAAAAATTCTTACATATTATGTTAGATTATCTTAATCTATAACCCCTTCAGATGGACAAGTTGTAGATTTAGTGTGTAGTTCTCTTCAACTCTTTTGCTATTTAATGTTTTGTTCTTATGATTGATTTTGAATAATCTGTATGAGAGCTGGAAATGTATGACACAGAAACCCATGAACAACAAAAGTTATACGAGGCTGCTAGAGCCAGAGTGGCCTAACAAATACCTATGATTTTCAATAAGGAGGAAAATAAGCATAATTATCTTATTCAAAGATTATTTTGTACTATTATTTTTGTAATAGTTATTTTAACAATTTTCAATCACTGAGCTCTTGTAAATTAACATTTTTAGACTATAAAAATATAAATAAGTCAAGGCATAAAAATTGCAGTTAGGCTAGTTCAACTGTATTGCTATATTCCTATTTCTAATATCTTTCTATTGAGTTTAAATAAATCTTTTCTCTTCTTCGGGAGTTAAGAACTTTGTATGTAGTCATTTGTAACTGTTAATACACCACATGGATCTAACCAACCACGACACAGGAAATACTAGTGTTTTTATATTAATAGGCTCGCCACGCCGGCAACAAGGAAACAATTGGCTGTGGAGCCTTAATGAAGATGTTATTAAGTGCGGCTCAGACACTTCCCTTGCATGTTGGCCGAGTTGGTGAGAGAGCTCCATCCCTTTGCGGAGCAGTACCTGCTGATGCAGGTCATATTGCACGTCCTGGGGATGCTGTGGCGGCACTCGTGCGAGTGTCTGATAAGGAAGAGAATTGGATTCTTGCCGAGGTATCTTTTATATTGGTATAGATTCTAAGCCAATTCATTAAGGCTAATGTTATAGTTGCTAACTTCATTTCAATTTTGATTGGCTCTTGTGGTGTAATGGTAGCACACAGGTGTACGGCTAATAATCCGTGGGTTGGATCCCCGCCGGGTCCAATATTCTACTAATCAATTTATAGTTTTTCTTAAAATTGGATATTCGGTTTCAGTCTGTGGATTTCCGAATATCCAAAAACCAAAGTAGTTTAACAGCGCATTTTGTTTAGATGCTAGATGCTGGGGTATATCATCTACCATCAAGTGAATCCTATGTGTGTCTGTCCTTTATCGTTAACAGGTTGCAACTATTTATTAATATATATGTCATAACAATTAGGTGGTAAGTTGGCTACCTGCCCAAGGCAAATACGAAGTGGACGATATCGATGAAGAGCAGAAGAACCGGCACGTTTTGAGCAAGCGTCGCGTCGTCCCCCTGCCCCTGATGAGAGCAGACCCCAGGACAGACGAGCAGGCGTTATTCCCCAAGGGCGCAGTGGTTATGGCGTTGTATCCGCAAACCACTTGCTTTTATCGCGCCGTGGTGAATCGATTGCCGTCGTCTGCTGCGGACCCGTATGAAGTTTTGTTTGAGGTATTGACCTATATTTATATGAATACTAGACCTTTAATATTTTATAGAAATATTAATTTCTCCAAACTATATATGGCTACCTGTGCCCGCGACTTCGTTCGCGGAATAGTAAATTGGGGGAGAATTTTTAATTATTTAGGCTGTTTATTAATTTATGTAACGGCGCATTTAAGGCAGCCAATCTATGTTGTAAGTGCTACTTTGCCGCAACACTGTCTCACACCTCACATCACTTCTACTCTAACTCACACTCCCACTGCTATTCCCCAAAAGCAAAAAGAAGAAAGTTTCATTGTCCTAGCTTCAAAAACCACGAATTTCCATACAAACTTTCATCCTCTTTTTCAACCCCTATTTGGCAATAAAAAGTAGATTATGTCATTTCTCAGGCTCTAAAATATCTGTGTACCAAATTTCATTTAAAACAGTTCAGTAGTTTCGGATTTAAAGCCAGTCAGACAGACAGAGTTACTTTCAGTTCACTTGATGGAAGGTTCAATACCAGTTATAGAACATATTAACAAGACTGCAACCAAAACGAGGAAATGCGCGTGCGCACTGCTGATTCCAGAACTTATTCTTCAAGTGTACAATAATGAATTGTTTTCAATGTTAGTAATTTTATCTTTTTATCATACAAATAGTATCTAGGAAATGTATATATTTCCACTCTTTGTTGCCACGCAGGACTTTTCGTACGCGGATGGCTACTCTCCCCCGGAGCGAGTGGCGCAGCGCTACGTGATTGCGATCAAGGAGGGCAAAGGGCGGGCCACCTGACCCCGCGCCTCACCAGCCTCGCCGGCTCCGAGTCTCAACTCGCGACCTACACTTTCAACTGACTCCGAATAATGCATATTGTGGACATAGCTTTGAAATGGCGGCGTAACACTGTCTTTCGGCTACGACTAGTAACTAGTTCCCTATAAAGCTAGCAAGCTTTAATAAATTGTGTAAGGCTTTCACGGCCATCGTTCATCCTTTTGCCATCACGAGCGATGGATCAAAGTATTATTCATAATTCTTCGAGCAATCGAGCTCACGTAGGCCGTACAGCCCGAAGAACAATGATATGCTAACAAGCTTTCTCGACTATGATGAAGCAATGGACATCGTTTATCCGTACCTTGTGTAAAATTATCAGAAGCTGTGTATGGTGACATAGAGACGAAAACTAATGATATTGTTTAAATAAGGGTTAATAAAACGGTTTAAAACGGGAAAACATTAAATTGATCCTTTTTTAACTACGACCTGATGTTTCATTTAATTTGCAGTGGCCGTGGTCAGGTGTCGGTGTCGAATCGTCGTAGTTACAATAAGAAAAAAAATAACGAATTTCTTTCTCGTTTAAAACCGATACACACGTTTTAACTGTGTAATATTAGTAGAAATTAGCAACCTTCAAATGAATTTGAATTAACTTTGGATGTAGACGTTAAGATATGAACGGGAAAACAACATTTTACGGTTTCTCGAATTTAAATTGGATTTCATTGATAAAAGTAAAGAATATATTTACTTACTATCCGTCACGCACAGTCTCTTGTCCGTGTGACAGACGGGCGTAGTTTAATATTCTTTAAGTCTTAACAATATAAAAATGTAGTAATGTAAGGACATATAGTAATAGTAGAAATATGGTATCTAGTACCATAATATTTACTTTACGTTTTTCTGCATTAGAAAAGACAAACGTGGTTTTAAGATGTAAATATGTTGAAGCGAGACGCTTGTAATTGTAACAGTTTATAATCACACTGTACTCTAGAATTTAAAAATGTAGACTATAGAAATAAAGTATTGACTTAGTCTATGTCTTTAAACCTTCGACGACCCAATTTCCCCGACAAATAAAACGCCAACGTACAATAAATTTATTTAATTCCAAATCATATCTACATAAATGGTTACATCCGAAATATACAATCGTTATACATTGATTGGAAGCTAAATGAAAATTGATTCTTATACCTCCTCTCGTCGTCCGTACAAACTAAGGGCTAGATATTATAATGGAAGCAAAAAAAAAGTAGATCGGACCGATTACAATTGTGACCAGTCGCACAAAAGGAACATAATCATAGGTAAAATTCTACCTAAAAACAAAAGACGATCTAAGCGTAATCTATAAATGATCTTACGATTAATATAAAAAAAACAGATTTGTGATAAATGATTTAGTAATTAAATATGCTCTATTTACAATAATGGGACTTTGGAGAGAACAAAAGCGGAACCGTTTTGAATCTCAAAACGAACTACTAAGGTGACTCCCACACAGCCTTCGCTAACGCACGAGCTAATACATTAAGGCCACTACACACCGGCTCTTGTACAGTAGTTGACCCGTGTGTGGTAGACCTTTTGGATGAGCAAAATTTGATAATATGGCATACTCAATACTATTCACGCTCAACATAAATAATGAGATCAGTATACATTACTTGGAACAGTGCAATTTTTCAATCGTCAAATATGTCAAAGTCAACTGTCGACACGCGTTGAAATTTCAAATAAGAATTACTCTTACAGAGGAAATAAGTTAAGTGACTAGCTAAGTTAAAACCAAACCGAATGTTCCCTGTATCAATACAAAATTGTCAACAACAGGCTGGGGTCGTAGCAAGCAAAAGGATAAAATTCGAATGGATTAAAATGTGTACTTAGGCGACAGTGTATGTCAAGCTTATTTTTTTTATCGTCGTTTAATTAGGGAAGAAACCTCGCTCGCAAACGTGTTCCGAATTATTGGAGTGTTCGGATTACAGGTACAAAGTATTTAAGGTTAATAAGTTGTTTAAGACTTAACGAAATATCGTCGAATAACTTTTTGTACCACAGGGGAGGGACAAAGTGGGCGCGGGGCTGTGGAGGGGGGGGGGTAAAGGTACGAATGAGGCGGGGGGAAAAGGACGAGTGAGGTTGGGATGGAATGTCCGGATTAGTGAGATCCCACAATATTCACTTGACTACGAACCCTTGATTTTTTATTTTATAATCTTACCTTAATTTAGATACAAATAATATGAAAAATCTGTGATTTAAAACTTTGATTTCGTCAATTCATCAGGTTGTGAAAAATCACAGTGATGTTCTTCTTTATCGTTATGTACACTTATGAGTAAATTAGCTAGATTTTGACTTCCTTGTGACACGTTCAAAAAAAAATTGATAATTTATTTCGTCAATGTCGAAATAAAAATCGAGCCTAGAGAGCTTGAACTTAATTTAGATTGTTACATTTCCGTTGACATCAATCAATGCACTGTTGTAGACCAATCTGAAAGGAGAAAATATCATTCTCTACATTGTATTATTTTAACGTAAGATTATAAGCATCGAGCGAGGTTTTTTACGTCATTAAGTGTTTCCTTGTGCGCGAAATTTGCCAATTTGTCAATTTGACAGTTTGACAAGTTGATTCACTCGATACACACCAATAGATAGAACTGAATTTCGTAAATATAAAAAAAAATCAAATTGGTAATTTATCCCACCTTATTGAATTTGTAATTTAATAAAAGAAAAAAAAACTACAGCTTGGAACAACTATTTGTCAGTATAATATATGACCGCTAGAGGCAGAGTAGCCTAACTGCAATTCTATGACTTGACTTATTTATATTTTCATAGTCTAAAAATGTTAATCTACAAGAGCACAGTGAGCGAAAATTGTTAACGTTATTCTTTCACCTTATTGATAATCATTTTGTTTGTTATAAGCCACTGCGCCTCTAGCAGCCGCCTTTATAGTTAAAATTTCAAGATACCTCATAGGGCCTGTCGGTCGCTGACGAGGCCCTGGAGTTTCCGAGCCACTCCAGCAACGCCACACCGAGCTCTCTTCACCACGCCATCGCCATCCGCCCCTCGCTTCATACCCCCCACCTCGGAGGACACCAGTGTATTTATCGCGTGCAAGTCCTAAAACATTTGTTGCTTAATGTGGCTAATTGACTGATTTTTAAAATATCCTTTATATTATTTGGTAGATGTTAAGAAACCCCAGAAAAGTAGTATTTTTAAATTCTGATACATATTTGCTGTAATATATCAAATTAAAAATCCAACCTTTAATTTTAATTACTTAAACTAATTTTGCGAAATAACGCTGCAATGTGGCTAGTGACGTCACGACCTTGGATTGGCCATCGGTGTGTCGATCATGTGACCTACAATCTACATGCATTTGTACCAAACATCAATATTTTAACAGTGATTGAATTAAAAAATGTATTAAAAAGTTATTTATTAATGCAGAGAATAGGAAAGTTCCAACACTAGCGGTTTTTAGGCAAGTGACGTCGTCATAAGCGCGACCGATTTCGGAAGCGTATTGTGTCACGTGTCAGGTGTTTAGAAAAGTTATTTTATTTCAATAAAACACTAACGGTTTAAAACGCGATATATTGAAAACCTATTGGATTTTTTTACTACGGCCCGACGTTTCAGACGCTTTGCAGTAGCCGCGGTCACGGTCACTTATATATCGCGTTTTAATTTAAATATGTACTACTCGCGTAAACTACAGACAGTATTTAAAGTTATGTTATATTTGCATTTTTTTATTTATTTCAATTATTATTCATAACATGTGTGACTGTTTTACTATTTCCAAACTTATACTTAATACTAACAACGATCAAAAAATACCTTGGCTGGACTGCGACTGAAGCGATAGGTGAGATGGTGCTTGCGGGGCGGTGGGGGTGAGGCAGTCAGAGGTTTCACGTACAGCTGGTGAGTGCACGAGACCCGCTGACCCCCCGGCGAGTATGTTGCGTCCCCCCGACCCGCGGGCAACGGGGAGAGACTGCACTCCTACATACAGTAATACGTTTGTAAAGAAATGATTCAAACATTACAATTTAAGCTGTAGAAAAAACAAACAATAATATTATGGCCCGGATTCGAAAACCGGGCCGCCGCTGTAGCCAAACGGTTAAACGTATTGCCTAGCATTGCGTTAAGAGCGAGAAGTCCTTGGTTCGAATCCCAGGGTAACAAACAAGTGTTTCGGTCAGGGAGGTCACAGAAGTCTGATCAACTACTCGCCTGTTAAATAACGAATCAGTGAAACGGACACAGAAATGTGTCCGCCCCATGTCCTACGAGGGGGAAACGGGATTTCACACACAAATAGGATATAGCTTTCATTACTCAATGGTCAAACACTGGTTAGACAGCGGGAGTCGAACGTACCGCCAGAGCATTTCCTGCTGCACCAACAGTTAAGCTACCGTGTACTCTAACCGATTGAGCTACAGTGTCGTGGTACCGGTTCAAGGCCCACCCGTGTCGTATTTTTTTTTAATGTAAATAGTTTTTTAATATATACAATGACACCAATGTGCTATAACATGTAAAAAATATTAAAGTTTCCAAAGGTAAACAAACACAATAGTAATAAAAAGGTACTCACGTCTCTATTCCTACCAGTGAACCGAAGCGCAAAGTTCTGCATACACTGCACATACACTCTGTTGTAGAAATTGATTAGATCCCCTCTTTCTGAACCTGCAACGAAGTAATCCATGAAAGAACTAAGATATGGGCGGCACTCGAGCATTACCCGCTACACTAACAGTTGCGCTACCTTGTGCCCGTGAGTTCGACCGTGTAAAGTATTGCTTTAATAAATGTGCTTGAAGCTATAACAATAATTAATTACGTAATAGTGTCAACTGGTAATCCATTAAAAACTGAGACATCAAACCGAATACCAGACTATTCGCCGCTACATTTGAGGTAGAAGTGGTCGTGGGTATCCGCCCCGTGCCATACATTTATTTAAATCTATAATATTTTGTAATTAATGTGAAGAATATATAAAGCTGAAGAGTTTGTTTGTTTGTTTCAACACGCTAATCTCAGAAACGACTGGTTCGAATTTAAATACTGTGTGTTACTTAGAGCTATAATTACGGAAGGTTATAGGCTATAGGCTAAACCATCGCGCTGTGACTAATAGCAGCGAAGATACAGCGGGATATGTGAAGAAAACTGAGGAATTTATCTCTGTGAGTTTTATATGTATATGTTGCGAAGACGGTTTAAGATACCTAAAAATGTGTATGAATGATTTCTTTAAGTGATCTAAATAAAGATCTATCTGTTAAGATTAACTTGCAAGAACGACGGGAAGAGACGCGATCGATGTCGTGGCTAACAGTTTAAGTTTACAAAGATTTTTGCTTTGGGTTTGCAAAAACTAATTTGGATGCCCAAAATGACGATTCTCGCGGACGAAGTCGCTGGCACAGCTAGTATATTATACAACTTATTTGTGAGTCTGGTTTGACGGACGATTAGCCAAGCCAGTAGATGAGATTAAAACAATGCATTCACAAGTTCTAAATAAAGAACCTTTTTTAATTTCGATCTCGTTAGTGTATGCATGGTTAATAATCAACGGGTCACGGTTTAAAACCCCACCGGGTCCAACATCACGATATTAAATGGGTGGTAGGTATATCGATTTTCCGTTCGAGACACATACCACCACCCACAGATGAAAAGGCCGTCAGGATCAGCGTTTCCGCTTCAGTCTGTGGATTACCGAACATCCTAGCCAAAATAGGTCGATCACACATCTTGTTTCGCTGTTATCTAGTTGGGGTATACGTTTGTCTATCCACCTCAACAATAATAAATCTTCATATTATTGTCTTTCGGGCTGTTCGGCCGATGTGAGCGAGAAGAGGTTCTCGACGTTTCGCCATCACGTGTGGACGGCATCTTCAGGAGATGTTGACTCCTCGATTGCTCGAAGAATTGTGAGTTGTCCGCCGCGGTCTCAGATTATATAAACCCTGACAAGCGGCGATAGTAGTGTAGTGGGGTAGTGAGTCTCTCACTACCCCACTACACTACATTACCTCACATCGGCCGAACAGCCCGAAAGACAATAATATGCTGATCGATGGCCGTGAAAGCCTTACTCAATTTAATAATAAATCTTTATTAAATTATCTCAATACATTACCTTTGTCTCCGTGACTGATAAGAACAGAACGGTAGACATGGTTATCAGCCAGCGGACGCGCCCGATAGCACCTCATTATATCAGCAAACGTTCTCTCCACTTGGTTACTAGCACTATTTGACACCTGGAAAGAAAAGAGAATTATTAATATTAACCTTCTTATAATAGATTACATTCTGAGTTTTATCAGTAGAGATTTTTTTATGTAAATAAACATGTATTTATAAATTGAAAATCAAGATTGATAAATATCGACTTGGGCGGGGGTCCAATCCAAGACAGTTTACAGTTTTCAAACCCAGTGCTTTACTTCGAAGTTCGGAGCCCTGGCACGAGAAATAAATACTTACATAGGATAATGATCTATGTACAAAAATAAATCTTAATTGTAAATAAAAAATACTTTCAAAGTATTTCTCATTTATACGATTTTGCTCCTTATTCATACTACGACAATGGATAATAAGGTTTGAATTCCTATGCAAGAATAATTTTTCCCTACTCGTAATTATAAGCCCTGATATTCAAATTTACAAGTATATCTCATCCCTAGGGCGTAATATATTTTTTTATTTATTCCATTTAAATACATATTTTATTGTGAAAACAATGTTTTTTCTTAATATTAGCTTTATACATATAATTACACACTAGTTAATCTTCAAAGCGAATAATTTAGTTACATACGCAGAAGAAAAAAATTCAGAGCTCCCGCCACATTTGAAAATTTTAAGTGTCGGCCTCTCGCACTATTCTCAGGAACTACTGTTTCGAATTTAAAATAATTTTTGTGTTGGTTCAAAAATTTTTTCGAGGAAGGCCTTATAGCCTAGTCACGCTGCGACCAAGACGAAGTAAAAAAAATAGAGGGAAATGTGGAAAATCATTCTTTCATCGTTTCCGTCGCGTGCGTTGCGAAAGCGGTTCACAATACCCACAAAATATGTATGAAAGTATAACTCCTCCTTAGACATATTAAAATTATAAAGATAAGGAAGTTTGCAAAAGCAAATTTAACGTCCAGAATAACTGTTCTACGCGGACGAAGTCGGTGGCACAGCTAGTAAAATATAACTTGACGGACTCACAGTGTTTTATTAATAGCTAATTGTCTGTACTAACCTTACATATAACATAGACGGCGCACATCAAAATCTGGTCCAGATGCCTGTCCTTCATCAGCTGGGTCTGATGCATGATGGAATATTCTAGACAGGTCCAAATCTTTCTTTTCAGCTCGTCGTCGGTGAGACGCAGCCGGGTGCACAAGTCGTTCATACGGACTACCGCTAGGCTGTAAAACTGAAAATTCACAGATGTATTCAAACCCTATTGGACTTGGTAATAATATTATAGGGCAGATAAGTAACCATAAATATTATAAATGGGCCGATCTTCTCTCGCAGCTAGAGCGGATCATAGAAGGAAAAGATAATGATTTTATCAAAATTTCTTTGAAGGGCTCTTTGATCTAATGGAGTTGTCCATTAATCAAGTGACGCTTGAAAGGGAGGGGAGGGGTTTGATAAAAATCACGAAAATAACACAAGGGGGAGGGGGGGTATAGTAAGATATCTCGTGTATTTATTTTTTCGTCAAACGCGCGATTTTTAAACAAATGGTGTAGACATTTTTATTATGGACCTAAATTACAGAATAAAATAAGATTATAGTTTATACCTGTATTTATATTAAGATAATATTTAGAAAATTTTAAGATTCTTTGTAGGTGTAGAGAAGGGGGGGGGGGGTCTACCACCTCACTACGTATCACCAATGGGGGTGGGGGGGTTTAAAAATTCTAAAAAAAGGTCACGTGATTAATGGACAACACCAATGGTACCAACTTATGGGTCGTGGGTTTGATCCCCACTGGGTTCAACATTTTCCAATATTTCTTTGGAAACATATTGGAGTTCGTCTGGAAATCTTAATAATAGCCAGATGGTAGGAATATCGAAATTCTGTCCGGGTCACGAGCCACTATCTTTTATTTAATTTATTATATTTATTTATTTATTTAATAAGGCTTACTAGGTACACAAACATGTTTTAAACTCCTTTAGCTAATTATAGTAAGAATCATTCTTATGTACCTAACTTGTACATGCATAGCGTTGAAATATATCAACAGTTGGATATCATGTAAAATGGAAGAGTGTTAGGTGTCGGTTTTATTCTGTTGGTTTATAAATGTAGATTAATATCCAGAGCCAAAATAGGCCGACAGCGCATTTTGAAACGTTCTATGTTTATATGGCGCCATGCTTGTGTAAAAAATGCTGGCATAAAAAAAATAATCTTCAAAGTCAAAGACTATATATTACATGTATTACAATAAGTGTTTACCTTTCTAAAGAACAATATGAGCGAATTATTTGTTTTCTTGGGCGTTGTATTGGGTGTGGTCTCATTGCTAGCGGTGTTAACTGTAGCTGGACTAGCTGCCTCTTGTGTTGGATTCGCTTGTACTGAAAAATTAAACAAATTATAAAAAAGATACTTGGTACTGGGTTCTTTGTTTGAATCGATGTATAGATCGAGGCACGAATGTTTAGCGCTGAACGAAATGTAGATCGCGCACGTAATTGATTGGAAAACGTGACTGTACGCGAGAAGCAAGCGGAGCGTCGTATTAGTCCGAGAAAGACAACACGACTAGTAAACCAATCGACACTAGCGCACATGACGTTCGCTCGCCCCCGCCCGCTTCCGCCCTTTCGATACCTTGTTTTTGACTTCTGCGCAGGCGCAAGAGATCCGACTTATACTATTTTCGAATTGGTCATGACTGATAATTTGTCCCAGCAATGAGGGGAGTGACAAGTTATATTATAATGTATTTTATAACAATTCCATTAAACCATTGATTAGAGCAACAACACGGAACGCTGTGTAAACCAGTTTGAGTCCTGCCCATATCCTAAAATTTAAAATCGATGTTGAATCTATATAATACCATTCACATGTGCATATCATTTTTATTAACGTGTGAAATTTAAACATTTGACACGTGACACAAAACGCTCTTGATTGGTCGGGTGTATGACGTCATTTGCTTAGTGCTAAAGGCTAGTGTTAAAACTGTTCTATTCTACTTATTACTTCAATTACTGTTAAATGTAAATGTTTGATACAAATACATACACCAATGGTCAATATAAGGTCGTGACGTCACTAGCCGTATTGCAGCGTTATTTCGCAAAATTTGCGTTTACGCGAGTGTTTTAAATGCTGGACTGTTAATTTGATATATCAGCAAATATTTGTCAGAATTGAAAAATACTTTTAACCAAATAAGTTTAACTTATATATCGCGTTTTAAACCCTTAAAGTGTTTTATTTAAATGTGTACTACTCGCGTAAACTATAGACAGTATCTGAAAAATACTTCCTATATACTACAATACTTTTCTGGGGTTCCTTTATATATACTAAATAATATAAAGTACACATTTTTAAATAAAACGCTTTAACGGTTTAAAACGCGATATATTAGGTAAACTTATTTGGACATGATTTTTAACTTCGGCCCGACGTTTCAGCTGCTTTGCAGCAGCCGTGGTCACGGGGAGACTAAAGATGGGTGTCTCTGACGTCAAAGTAAAAACTGCTACGCTAGCGTCGTCTGTTCCATCGAAGGTTGTATTTGACAGTATTAATAAGTACATTTTAAAATTCAGTCCAATAGCCCATTACGACAACTGAACAGCTAATGATTAAAGTCCTTACCTAATAACGATTGGCCTGGCTTGACGGTATCTTTGAATAGTTGCTTCTTTGCTTGGTCTGCCATCGGCGTAAGGTATCTATCTATCACCGCTGACACGGGAGATTGAAGACCACCTTGAAGGAAATATTAAATATTTATCACAAACATTGCAAAGAGACATTGGTTAATGAGGGATGCGCGGATTTATTAAGTCAATCATAAACTGGATATAGATAATCGAAGCCAATGAAGAATCGTAATGTATTAAAATTTTAAAAGAAATTTATTAATTTGAGTATATTTTTGCTGTCCGCCGACACGACAAACGATTTATTGCTAAAGCTATAAGCTATAGTAAACGAATATATACATAATATTATTTTTAATAATAAATATTTTTCCAAAGAGAAATTAATATCGAAACTCATTTTTACATGCTAATGAGGATCACGAAATAAAATAAATTTACTTACTACGCCGAAGAGGAGATTCTGGTATCGTAACTTTACAAGATGGTGGAACTGGAATCTTAGCTATTTGATCCCATAGTGGACTATCTGACGTCCACACTAATGACTCTAGTACTTGTTCTTCAACCTGAAAAAAACTTGCACTACACTCTGTCTGATATAGAATGATAATTTTTACAATTCATCATACATTCATAGTTAATAGAAATACAGCTGCTTAAAACGTACTTGAAATCGGATATAAATAACATATGTATTTAATTTATCATGATATATTTAAAAAAATTTTTTTTTCGAAAATTCATGTACAATAATTATATATTACAACTACCCTCAAATATATAAAAAATATGTCGGACTGATTTGAATTTACGATAATTTTTATGTTATACGTTTTTCTTATAATAGAGGACAAGCAACGCCGGATGGAATTTCGATATCCCTACCGACCAATCAAACGTCCGAAACATCAGGTCATAGTTAAAAACTAAGTAAAAGTAAGGAAATAAATAACCGTTTTAAACCGTTAAACGTGTTCTATTAGAATATTGTATATGTTTACTAGCTGACCCGCAAACGTTGTTTTGCCATATAATAAGGGTTGATCGTAGAAGGGTGAAAATTGAGGATTGTATGTATTTTTGTATGTTGTATCATAAAAAAATAGAAATTAAAATTTTTGTCTAAAAAATAAAAAAAAGTTAGGGGTGGACTACCCCTAACATTTAGGGGGATGAAAAATAGATGCTGGCCGATTCTTATAGACACCGGATAAGCACAAAAAAAATATCAAAATCGGTCAAGCCGTTTCGAAAGAGTATGGCAACGAAAACTGTGACACGAGAATTTTATATATTAGATTTAGGCATATATAATCTTTCAAACGATTACAAACATTTTAAAATTTATTATTAGTATATAACAATACTTACAGCATTCAGATGCTTTATAACGTCTCTACTCAGCTTGTCGACCACCGTCTTAACGACCAGCTCAATGATCTTGTAGAAGTGGAACGCACTAAGTCCATATATCTGTAAGACCCGGGGGAACCTCAGAGAATGCACTCCATATGAATGGAGTACCACTTCAGTACAACAAGCGTACACCGTCAGCTGATAGGTCTCTTGTGATAACAGCATCTGGAAACATTTAAGTAGATCTGTGAGACCTGGAAGTAGTTAAACCCCCTAATAATCACGGCTGACCATTACAATAAATACAAAAATATATATACTGTCTATAGTTTACGCGAGTAGTACACATTTAAATGATTTTTAACTTCGGCCCGACGTTTCGGACGCTTTGCAGCAGCCGTGGTCACGGGGAGACTTCGGGCCGAAGATAAAAATCATTTTCAAATAATTTTTAACTTCAGCCCGACGTTTCGGATGCTTTGCAACAGCCATGGTCACGCGGAGACGGCTGCTGCAAAGCATCCGAAACGTCGGGCCGAAGTTAAAAATCATTTTCAAATAAGTTTAACCAATATATCGCGTTTTAAACCGTTAAAGTGTTCTATTTAAAAATATTTATGCTCAATATAATGTTTGTAATAAGGTTAGTAATAAGGTTTGTCCTCCTACCAACCATAGGTAAGAAGTAATCATATATTGGGATTTAATTCTCAAATTCTTGATTTTAATGATAGAGGACAAACATGGGGTCGGTGATACTCCAGCTATACAACATTAAGTAAAATTGCCCTATTTTAGCTTATATTTGTTATGGTAGATACTGTGTTTTGAAAACTACTTATATTTCATCCTCCCGTAAACTTATCCTGCTTATTACATAACTCTATTTATATACTTAATTTAAATAAAACCGTTAAAGAGTTTAAAACGCGGTTTGTACTTTCACCCAACAGACATCCTCTATCTTGAGTCTCCCGTGACCACGGCTGCTGCAAAGCATCCGAAACGTCAGGCCGTAGTTTCAAATAAGTTTTAACTTATTAGTTAATAATAAAAACTTTAACGGTTTAAAACGCGATATAATATATTTATTATATCTCGTTTTAAACCGTTAGTGTTTTAATATTTTCAATCAGTACACAAAAGCTGAGCCAATTTACCCCTATCCCCCTTGTAGAGGTTATGATGTCCGACTCATACCTGTAAGGATACTTGTGGCTTCTTTCTATGCTCTTCTCGGATTATATGTTCAAAGACCTTATAGTAGAGGCAAGTGACCATATTGCATCTATAGGCGATCGTCTCTGCACTGCAATTTGATTCCTTAAGACTCTCCGCAAACTGATCCATCCATATGTTGCAGGGTACTATTACTTTCTTGGTTATCATTTCATCGCTGACTCCATATTCTCTGTAAGGTAAATGGCGTCTTTAGAAATAACCTGCCTAAGCCCAAATAGATGGCCACCGCATCTTGTTTAGATGTTACATGGCTGGGATATATCACCTCTCATCGAGTGTACCCTATGCTCGTCCTCTATCATAAAAACGTGAGGATTCAGGCTGTCATAAACATAGGGAAATATGGAAAAGGCGGGGATTTCTTTTTAGTTTCCGTTGGGTGCGCTGCAAAAACGGGTCATAATCTTAAAAAATGGTCCGCAAGTATATGTCTACATTTTAAGATTAACTTACAAGAACGACGGGACGCAAACGACAACAGCTATAAATTATAGAGGATGTTGTTTGCAAAGAAATAATGTACTGCCCAAAATAACTATTCCACGCAGACCAAGTCGCGGACACAGCTAGTATTCAATCGATTTTAAGATCAAACTTAGAATGTATTGTAGATTATAAGTAAAATAAATATATATTATATAGTTGCATTATTAGAGCATAGCTTATTTGATACTGTGTGACTTACGAAAATAGCCTCATCATACAAGTGGAGGGTTGCGGCTTCGACTGCCTAAGAAAAGCAGCGAGGCGAGCCAAACTGTTATTTGCTTCTGACACCGGGGTAAGTTCTTCAGCCCTTCTGCCCAAGTAACGACGGCCAGTTAGCGGTGTGTCCGGACACGTTTTGGCGCTCTGTAAATTATAAGCACTATTTATTGAATGGGTGATAAGGACAGACATATGTATGTAAGCGTTCTACTTATTCTTGTTTTTACAGGCATATTGTTGATCAGGCTTCTGTGCCTTGCTTGTCCGAAGCTATATAAGTTTTCTTAGACGTGAGGTTATAGATATCTAGTAATGAAGGCAACACAGCCATTGACATTCATAAAAACATTACAAAATGCTAATTATTAAGAAATATGAACAAAAATTAGAAGTTAATCAAACATGTACAAATACAGTAAAGACATATATAAATAATATATGAATAAATGCACTTACTGGGCCAAAGTTGGCAATAACTTGTGATATCTCGTTATCAGAAACCTTCTTGGTCCCAATTTGCTCATGGGCATGTTCGCCTATAAAAAACACAGTTTTATATATTAATCTGAATGCGAAGAAAGATTAAATCTTACGGTTTTTGCGAACGCGGACGGTTCGCGACAGAACAAAACTTAGATATATCTACCTATATTCAATGTTTGGACACATGTTGGATCTGTTGGGAATCGAACCCAGGATCGACCGACCAACGAGGCCGTTAAGAAACAAATATATATACCTGAAACATCTTCATCCCGTAACTCATTTGTAACATTAACGAAAGTTTTGAAAAAATATGACAATATCTCATTGGACCAGAAAAATAACGACATTTTGATACACTATTACAATACATGTGACATATATACATTTTTAATTATTATCCATGACTACACCAGTTTTTACAAACGAAAAAAAGTTTTTATGTTAATATACAAATTTTTTGCAGCTTCCTTACAAAAAACAACTAAGCTATTTATTTATTTATTTACAGCAATTAAAACGGCAATAGCCAGTTACATTAATTGGAGATACACATATTTAAACAATAACAATTAAATAAATAGGTTATTTCAAATTACATTAGATAATTTCAAAGGCAGACAATTCTTTTAGTATTGATGACCAAGCATCTGCGAAGAGGTCACATTTGGGCCTTAACTTCAGGAGAACTTCAGCTATGTACTATTCTGTGTCTAATGTATTTTTGAATCTCCTTTGTACATTTACTGTTTAAAAAAAAAACATTATAAACGATTTAAGCGCGAAGTATATTGGTTATTTGTTTTATACACCCGAATTATTTTATTTTTTTTACGATATATAATAGTATAAAAAACTTACCCAAAAATATCCTCTCATCAAATTCTCCAACACTGAGTACATAAGTTTCATATAAATTGTTCAATGATTTAACATTTACATCGAAGTTTCCAATATCTAACACTCCCAGCATTTTTTCACTGTCTCCTTTCAAAATCTTAAAAAAAAAGAAAAAATAAATACATTTTTGTTTAGGACAAGAAGTGACTTTGAATAAAAAAAATACTTACTCCTTTCTCAAAAAAGGATTTAACAACACGATTCCAACTGTAATCTTTCATTGTACTGGCTTGTACAGCGAGTCCATCTTTCAATTCGCAGAGCACAGATATTACACATGGTGCTTTATTTGGTACCACATAGTCATCTTCTTGCCAGTCACTCGGCAAACCTGTGAATATTTTTTTATGAGTAAAAACACATTATATTATAAAAATTTAACCTCCTCCTTATAATAGTGGTCAAATGAACTATATCAAATAAAACTACTACTGAAAGTTTCTGAATACAGTATGAACATTTTACCAACAAAATTAAAGAGTCTGTGCATTTTTCATTGATGTGAACCAAGCTCAATTATGGTAAACGTTATTCTTTTTAAAAATGAAATAATTTTAATACATATATTTAACATTATGTACAGTTAGTAGTTAGGTAAATATTATTTTTATTGTACCTACTACCTAGTAAGGATGTTTTAATGAAATAATCAACTTTTAAAGATTATCCATATATAATGCAAACTTGTATATTGTGCGTATTCTATCCATTACTTGATATGTGTTGGAGTATTATGCTCTATATTTTGTACTAATATGGCGAAACATCCCAGTAGAGTTTATTATATAAATGGTTTACACTATATATCTAAGATACTTATGATTTTTACAGGCCACACGATGTAAGTAACTTAACTCACCCTTAAAACTTGGATTTATGAGATCTCTTCTGTCCGCCATAAACGCATTGGCAAACATGAAGTCCAGACATGACAACAATAAATGGTACATGTCTACCAGATCATCAGCTGAGTTGTGAAACTCGCCCTTGACACTGATATAAAGGCACCAAGTTAAGTTGAATAAAGCATTGGTGTTGCATAGTTGTTGCCTACAAAATAACGTCAAATATTATTTAAGTTATTGGTAAGAGGAAACACCACAGACTGTGCCTGTGAGTTCAAGACCAGGCCATATATAAATTTTTAAAGTTATAAGTACAATATTTATTATACTTACTTCTGCTTTTTGCTACTCTTTGTTTTAACAGGTTCATTGTTGAGTCCAGTAAAAATTTCTTGAAACAAAGGTTGGAATTTTCTAAACAAAATTGTAGAAACAGCAAACTTATGTTCTAATCTACTGATTTTGTCTTTAAAATCAGCTGGCATCAATGTCATATCCATCCAATTCTTGATTTTTGTAAAAAATTGAATTAAACTGAAACAAAATGTACAGTTATAATATGTTGTATTTTGTATCAATGGTCTAACTTATTCATCATTTAGTCACATTATTGTTTAAAATAAGTTGCTAAAGACTTAAAACCTACCTTATATTACATAATCTTAACAATCTAGTTAAACTGACACAATTTCCTTTCACAGCTTTTCCAGTTTCTACAGTTGGGGTGATAGATGTACGACATGCCACATATAAGGCACACGCCATCCAATGTAAAGCGTCTCCCTAAAACATTATAAAGTAGAAAATAGTATATTCACAATTACGAGCTGGAGAAACAAAGTAGAGTTATGCAAAAATTATTCCTTCATAACAGTTCACATAAAAACAATAATGAATATGTATTGTCAAATTCCATAGAAATTAATAATAATAAAATACTTACATCTAATGTAAAATTTTGTTTTATTTCCGCAAATGATTCCTTTGATTTTTCTGTAGCAACAGGATCTACGTTTAATTGTGAACATAGATTGTCCATAGTTGTACTCCAGTTTTCATCATTGTCATCCGGTTTCGACATTTTGATTATAGGTCCTAATGATTTTTAATTGAGTAAAATATTTAATCAATATATATTACACTGATCCCGAACTTATCCCAAATTTACCAAATTTTGACAGGTTCTTGGCGGGAATAACACACAATACCTCACATGCGCGGGGGCGCCAATAGGGGGTGATGACATTTGACATTGAATGATGACTACTACTGTATAGAGTCTGTAGGAAAATAAAGCAACTCCAACATTCCCTATTTTAACTGTGCAACAACAATACAGTTGAAAACCCGCAGTATTTCATATTTTTGTAATGTGCTATAATAATAAATGTTGATGTAAAATTAAATATACAAATTACAAAGATGAAGTACATGGAAATTAATTAGACCTAAGTTAGATTTAATTTAAGTGATATAATATAGCATTATTATAATTAAATTATATTTAAAAGTTTGTTGTCAAATTAAATTAAAATGATTCGTCGATTTTATAACACGTCTTGCATATTATACAATACTAAGAAGCAAGGAATGAAACTGCATAAGATGTTAAATCCGAAGAGTAAGCGGTACGTGTTAAATATTGTGTATTTATTACGATTTAATTGTTTAAAGTTTCGTTTACGAGGTTATTATTTCAGACACTGGCACCCAACACAGTCAGCTGAAGTAAATGCCCTTCCAAGTGTAAAAAGTTTGATCAAGACTGAGAGGGAGCCAGATAATCGCGGCGTACGCAGAATTGCAATATTGAACAAACTATTCATGAAGTACATAACTGATATAATGTCAACTGGCACGGTTTCAATAAATATTCTTGGACGGGGTATTGAAATATCTAAGGTAATTAAATATTTCAATAATCTATTCTTTCTTTGTTGGCTAGTCTATGGAATAGTCTAGTCCATAATATTTTATTAACCAATTCCAAGTACTACATATTTTATGAAAGATATTTTTGTACAAAGTAAAACAAAATAACATAATAAAAATACCTGTACCACTGCTGCCTGTCAGTTACTTTTATATATTTTGTACTATGTTAGTTGAAATTTGTATACATGATATACTTTGAAGAGCTTAGACTTTTTAAAGTAGCAAACAAGTACAAGAAAAATTAGGGGCATTTTTGTTGTTCATGAAATTAATTAACCAGATGGAACATTGTATCCAAGTTCCAGTCACACTCGGTCACTGCTTACAAATATACAAAATATGAGAGATTAAGGAAGTAATTCATTTAGAGATAGAGCCAATAATTATTGCATTTCATTTTTGAAATAGGTAAAAATCTCTAAAGACTATCATTCCATAAATGTTTTTTGGATATGCAAAGGAGACTCGAGAGATGAAGAGACAGAATCAGTGTTGAAAAGCATAGCAGGACCATTAAGGCATGAATTGTCTACTTTGAAACTTATGGGAGAGGTACCATATATACAGTTTGTCAAAGGTATTATAGTTACTTTCTCATATTAATAAGTAAGACAAGTGAATTCAAGCCCCCTCTAGCTCATTGATTGAATTTGTTGCGAAGCATTGTTTTGAACAGAAGAGGTCTTGGGTTTGAATATGGATAAATGAAATTACTTCGGTTGGATATGATTCTGTAGTCTGATCAACTACTTGTCTGGAACCCAAGATTTAACAGAAAAACAGACACTGAAATGTGTTTTCCCCATACCTCACAGAGCAAAATTGGGTTAACCATTAAAAAATGCATAGCCTAATTTAAAGCACATCCATATTTTGATGTTATTCAGCTATATTGATAAAAGCAGTAAAAATATAAATATTTATTTAAATGATAATCTGTGGTAATATATTGTATATATAAGTAAACAAACACATTGTATTTAGTCTGTTATTTTTTTGTTGCACCAATTATAGTATTGGTTTAAAGAATATACTACACTTGTAACTTAAAAAAAAATTTAAATTAAGATAATTAGTAATAATTTACATTATCCAGCTTAGTTTATATTTTAAAGTTTGTTGATATATGTTAGAATATGATAGTAATCTAGAGATTCTAGCGGTTAAGACACTTTGTTGCAGACCTTGTGATGCAGGTTTGGTACTCGATTCATACTTAGCGATATTTTCAGACAAACAAGAATCCCAGATTGTGGATCTAGATCGACGGTTGATTGAAGCAGACTATGGTGAAGACTACACCCCGACTGATATGGGACATGTGTTGAAGTCTGAATTTACGTTGGACATGAAATTATCACCAGAGATGAAGGTAATTATTTCTATAAAAGATCATAAAGAGGCAAGTCAAAATTTGAAATATATCTCAAAGCTCAGAAGGATCAGAGATCATCAATATCTTGATGAAAGGCAACTCATTTACTACACATACATTACAACATAGTGCCTTAATCGTGGGTTTTTCTTCAAAATCGAAAAAGTAAATTATACATTGACATATTTATTATCTTTTAAACAAAACAATCGACGTTTTAAAACACGAAATGAGTTAGTTAACTTTTTTAAATTTACTTTAACGTTACGTATGCAGTTTAATTAAATTAAAAATAAATTAACTACTATATTCCGCGTTTTAAATAAAAATGTTTTATTTTAATCTGTACTACTCTCGTAAACTACAGGCAATACATATTTATTATCTATAATTTTTCACTTATTCTTATTTAAATAAGTTTTTTAGGCTAAGATAAAACGTTTGGAAGATGAGCAGGAACTTATTGAGGATCCCATACCAGAAATGACAAACACTATGTACGGTCTCGATCATACAAAGATCATGAATCGGTAAGTAAATTTATTTAAAGTGTACAATATAAAACGTTAAAGAGGGGCAGGCGTATATCGTATTGTCTCTTTCTAACATTTGAATGATTTATAGATAAAATTAAAACCTTTTTAAACGCAATCCAATCAGTCAACTTGAAGAAAGGTTATCAATACCTTCACTTTTAACTATTGAGCAACGGAAACACAAGAGATTCTGGGGTCGAATCCCGGCAAAACATAGGTTGGACAGAGCTAGTCTTGTCATCAATTAGTAAAAAAGACAATGTGATTTGTCTCCCCATACCCCACACTGGGCAAAAGGCAAAATCTCACTATTATAGTTTATTGTTTTCTCAGGTTATTAGCTGCCAGGAAGAGAACTAAGGATGCGTGGACCAATTTGGAGTCAGAGTCTTCTGTCATATCCTATAGGGCGAGTAAAACCTCCCCGTCCAACATAGACACCAAAGAACAGAAGCAGGAGATAGCTGAATTCTTAATGAAACGACAGGTATTATTAATCATTAATATTATAAAGCCGAAGAATTTGTTTGTTTGAACGCCGAAATCTCAGGAACTACTGGTTCGAATTGAAAAAGTATCTTTGTGTTCAATATTTATCCAGGAAGGCCTCAGGTGCGTAGAAACAGTAGACAATGTAGACATCGTAATAAAAATTTAATGCCACAGTACAATTAATTATTAAATTGCAGTACTTATTAAAAACTCTGTTCTGGTAGTTCGAGTAGATGTGACAACTTCCAATACATTCCTAAAGACCATTAGGTACGTTTCAATAACAATATTAATACAACAATAAAATCTCAAAACGGATATGAGTGCGTCCCATTATATCTTATTTTAATATCCAATTCACAAAATAAAATATATTATAAACAAAGGTTTTATCTATTTCTTTGAAAACGTAATCCTCCGAGTTCACTAAACTAGAAAAGGCTTGAAACCTCTCAGCGAGCTTTGTACTCGTAATAGGATTACTCGTGCTGATAACATTTTACGCTAAAATATAATGCGAAAAAGATATTTAGTCATAAATAACTGAATCATAGTCTAAGGATGAATCATATTATATAATTTGATATTTGTGAAGGTGAATTATTAATTAAAAGTACATAATTGATACAAAGATGACACAGGCGGGACTCAAACCGGTGACCTGTGCTATTTTAGCCTTAAAGCTTTTTTGAGCTGCAGTGTCTCGCTCGTGATGATGAAGCGTAGAGCTCTTTTGAAAACACTTTTCTTCTTTCAACATAAAAGATTCAGCTTTAATGTCATGCAATAAAGATCAAGTGGTTAGTTAGATGTCAATTTTGATTCCAAAATTTCATTGAGATATTATATTGACGAGTTTTACTAAGAAATATCGCGCATCAGCTATAATCTCACACCCACACTTCGCTTGTCCAAGCCAAAGCCTGATGCTGCGCTTCAAATATCAAGACTTACTTTTTAAAGATAGGCCAACAACATCAAATCTAAAATTGAATAAAAAATATTTTGAAAGGCTCATCGAAATAAAGGAAAAATGCACACTCTGTAAGCTGAATCCGCATTTCTTCTCATATAACAGGTCATCTATTGAATGGTATTTTTCGATGAGGTCATCTGTTCCAGAAAATTCCGTTTTAACTTTTAAAGCTATTGAGAATGGATACAGTAACTCACAATTAAATTACGTTTGTAAAGGGGTTTGAGTTTTTTTTTAGTTTTATCTTAATGGTATTCAAAAGGTTCTATATGTACTTCACGGTTTTTAAACGCGGACTTTTTTGTCGGGTCATAGAGCAATTTAAATAAAACACTTTAACGGTTTAAAACGCGATATATTAGTTACCTAGTATAACTAATATATCGCGTTTTAAACCGTTAAAGTGTTTCATTTAAATGTGTACTACTCGCGTAAACGCGAGTTTAGACAGTATTTCATAGAGCAATGTTAATTAGGTTTGTCTTTTAAACCGTTTAACAAGTTTTTTTGTTCCAATCGTATTCTCTGAAAATAAATAGTCTTTATTCTAATGAACAACAACATAACGCTTTCTTACGACTATTGTCAAAACGAAAAAAAATTTCAATCAGCGTAGATTAAGGACTAAGGGAAAAGGCTAAAATGTACCTTTAATACTAACATTAGCGTGAAATTCGTTTCAGATCCTCCAAAAGAAATTGCAAAAGGAAAGGCGAGCCCGCGAAGATGAAGTTTGTTATGAAGAAGAAGAATTCGAAGACAGAAAGGAGAATATAAAAGAATATTGCGACGATTACAATGATGATTACAGAAACGAATATGATATTGAGGCATATAATGATATAAAGAGAAGATAAATGGAATTCCGTTACTTTGTGTATGAAGCAGACATATTTCTGTGTCTATATATTGTAAAATGCCTTCGTCGCTATTTTTTTACTACGATGACTGAACATCTCGAAAGCCCTATAAATTACTGTGTGTAATGTAAAAACACATTTCTGTAATTCCCGATCCAAAATGTTTTTTTCCCGGGGACTCGAACCATAGACCTCTCACAATGCGTACAAACGATGGTTGAATATTTGAATTTTCAGGAAAGAAAGGATAGTACATATATAATCTTAAATATGACCAAAGATAATATTGTTCAGCTTAAAGTTCTAGAATCAAGTTAAAAACTTTATCTGTCCTATTTCCTGTGCTTAAAATTTGATTTACCGAAGTTATAGAATACGGAAAAGTTTATTGTTAGAAAAGTAGAAAGAAATCTTAGATTTTTATTGTACAGCTGTGTTATTGTGTATATTAAAAATATTAAGTGAAATACATAATATGTTTGTTTTTTTATTTATGTGAAAAACACTATTTATATGGCTTTCTAGTCTTATAGGCCTTATCAATCGGCAGGCCCAGTATTGGAATCACGGATCTGAAGGTCACTTCGGCTTGAAGATGACATTCTTTTCCTAAAATCATTGATCTATTTAACTTTTAACAGTTTAAAACGTGGAATATATTAGTTAAACTTATTTACAAATTATTTTAACTACAGGCCTACGTTTATATATAATTCATTTCGCGTTTTAAATCGTTGATTAAAGGCACAGTCAGGTTTTAAAGGTTTACTATAAGAAATAAATATTAAATACAAAGTCGTGCGACATACCAAATCACGATTTTGTACCAAAGAGAGAATAGACAAGTTGCGAAAGAGGCTAGACCACCACTGACTTTACTAAGTGTTTTATTTTAATAAACAATCACGTCTAGACCGTTAAATGTGTACTACTCGTGTAAAATAAATACAGTATCATTGATTTGCCTCGATTTTAGGGAATGCAGGAGTGAATTTTCCCGTACCTTGAAGTTAAAGATAGTCGTTGCAGCCCACTGTTTCGAAGCAGCACCACGGGTCTATGCCCACAAGTGGCCTTTATCCAGTTGTGAGACACTCGTAGATTAAAAATGAATGAATAAAATTATTTTCAAAATCCCTTAAAATAAACGCGATTAAACGTCTTCCATCTGTGTCCGGTAATGGATGACGCGGACGGAATTTAGAAATTCCTACCACAAATTTAATATCCAGATTTCTAGACGAAGTCCAGTATGTTTCGTAAGAACTTATGAATAAATTAAAAAATGTCACCGGTGGGGATTGAACCCACGCCCCGATGACTATAAGCCATACATTGCAACGAGTTTCTCACGTACAATATTATCATTTAAAAACCATTAAAATCCATGTAGGTTTAAAACGCGTTATCTAAAGACAAAGCAACGTTAATATGCATCTTTTTTTCATTCTCTACCATAGAAAATGCGAGTCAAGTAATTATTTACTGAGTAATTGAGTGCGTTTTGTGTATTCCGCAGGCAAAAGCTCGCTTTTATTGTCGACCCAATTAATGTACCGCCTTTAAGATTTTCACGACCCACTTTAAACTCTGCGCGACATTAAATACGCAAATAAAACAGAAATTAGTTCTTTTTACATCCGTGCAAGCAGTGTTTGAGAGATTATTTCTTTAATGAAGTCTTTTTTATTAATATTTAACTTGCCTTGTTGGAGTATGGCTAATAGTCAACGGGTCATGGATTCGATCACCACCGGGTACTTTTGTTTCTTTCTAATCAATTTATAATTATTGTGACACATGTTGACTTCGTCTGGAAATCTGGATATTCAATTTGTAGTAGGAATTTCTAAATTCCGTCCACGTCATGAATTACCGGCCGAACATGGAAAATACGTAAAGCTTAATAGAGTTTCGGTTTCAGCCCTGGATTTCGGAATAACCAAAGCCAAAATATCGTGTTGTTGGATCAGCTAGTAAGGGGTCATCCAGAAAGTAAGTCGCACGAATTTCATGATTTTTTGAGCCTGATTTTTGTGACGTACTTTATGGATGACCCGTAATTTATGATTTTGAGGTTTAAAAAAAACATTTGATGCCCAAACTATACAAGCAGACAAAGTCATTGGCACAGCCAGTACATCGATGTGTTCTAGAAAAATCTACCTTCACATAAGTGCACTGTACACGAGTACTATTATCTAGGATAAAAGGGGGCGAGTCGTTTAAGAGTCTGTAAATATGCGTTCTTACTCACAGGCATTTGTGGCGTGCTTATCCGACGTAGCCATAAGCATAGGTCCTAAAGAGTCTCCCTGGCTTAACTTGTGCAAGCTGCTAAGAACCACGGTGGCAATTCTTAGAAGAGTCATGTAATAATGAAATATGAAACTGAAGAGTTTGTTTGTTTGAACGCGCTAATCTCAGAAACTACTGGCTCTAATTGAACAATTTTGTGTTGCTAAGCGAAGACACAGTGGTATATGTGTGAAAATTTGTTCATCTTTGAAGGCTTCCGTTTCGTGCCCTGCGAAAACGCTTTGAAAAATTATTAATTTTAAAATGTCCCAGAAAAATGTCCGTAATTATTTTTTACGATCTCAGATTAACAAAAACGATGGGATGCGGACGATGTCGTGGGTAACATCTGTTTGTGGTTGTTCGCAAATATTAAGTTTGACACTCAAAAAATACTATTTCACGCGTTAGTCGCGAGCACAGCTAGTATAATAATTAAAATTACTTTTATTTTCATACAAACTTAACATTTGCGAGTAAACAATATTTCACATCATTGAGAATCACCCCCCAGACATACAATGAGTCTACGTGTATATACGTATGTTAATGTAGGAATTATGTACGTGCGTTTGTTATGCAAGAAACGTATTAGTTGCGTGCAATATGAAATATGCATACCTAATTAACAAATATAAGTCGATCTAGTGTTTACGGTTTTAATTATGATTGATTTTTACCCGACACGGTAGACAAAATGGTATTTATTATGAAAAAGATTATTTTTTTTTATTATTTATTGCTTTTTTCTGGTATTCCTACAGTATAATACATACATGGTTTAAAATACTTTAAATTAAACATACGCCAATAAAGTATTACGCAATTAAAAAAACATATGTATGAAAAAAACACAGTTACCTAATATTTTTTAGTATATGATGATTATGCATATTAATTTTGAAGAGGATACTTGGAAGGTAAAATATCCCAGCCATATAACTTATAAACAAGATATGCTGTCAACCAATTTGGCTTTGGATATTAATAAACGGAATAAAACCGACACTAATACCTTTCACTTTTACACGATTAAATACTGTCTGTAGTTCACGTGAGCAGTACACATTTAAATATAACACTAAAACGGTTTAAAACGCCGTGACCACGGCTGCTGAAAAGCATCCGAAACGTCGAGCCGTTGTTAAAATAATTGTCAGATAAGTTTAATAGGTGTCGGGTTTTTAACTGCTAAAGTGTTTTATTTAAATGTACTTTTTGAAAAAATAACTTTTAGACGGTAAATTCTTTTCCGTCGTGAAGTAATTAGTTTTACGAGCCTAGGGCAGAAGTAATAATAATTATGTGTTGCTTCGTAGAAAAACATAAAGGAGGGTAACAAATTGCTAGGTTAGTCAGGAACCCGTGGATTTCCCGGGCGCGTGAACGGATCGATAGCTATCTGGGTCTACGTCGAGACTATAGGTTTTTTATTATTCACTATCTTGCGTCGTGACTTTGCGTAGAAAAGCTATATATACATTGTACTTGTGGTAAATATTTTATCCAAACTACATATTAATTAATGGGCCACCCAGTCCACAGATGAAAAAGTCGTCAAATTTAATCGCGTTTCGGCTTCAGTCTGTGGATTTCTGAATATCCAAAGCTGAAATAGGTCGATAGCGCACCTTGTCCTTTTCTATCATAAAGAGAAATAAAATTCAACTTAATTCTTTTAATTTAATTTAATTCTTTCTTTAAGCTTACAACTTTTTTCCGGCATTCGATCTTATCTGGTACAAATACAAATGTTATTTCCTGTCACAAAACAAGAAACAGACTATAATAAAAATATATTGGAATTCAGGATAAACGGCTGGATTCTGTCTAAATAGCTATTTCCTCCAAGCAAACGTGCTCGAAATAACACATTTATATAAATCATTTTAACGGTTTAAAACGCGATATATTAGTTAACTTATTTAAAAATGATTTTTAACTTCGTCTCTTCTCCTCCATCATACGCCAGATAACCTTCCTAGATTGATCACTTCTCCGGATGTTCTGTCGGCCTATTTTTGCTGTGAATATTTGAAAATCCAAAGACTGTAAATGGAATACAATTAACGTCCGCGCACACGCGCATAATTAATTATCCGCCTGGAAGAAGTATTGAGCAATTTCGAAGAAAGACGATGCGCATCACAAAGAGATCCATTTACAGATGTATTCGAAGGTTAGCCCTGAATAAATTGGGACAAGGGCAGGACGGGCCACGGGGTCGCATACTGAGCCTAAGGGTGCGTTACACCAAGTAACCCTTATTCTTAAATAGCTGTGCCCGCGACTTCGTCCGCGCTGAATAGCTATTTTGGGCATTGTTGTATCTATTTTTGCTAACATCACCCTCAGCTTTATACATTACTAGTGACCCGTCCCGGCTTCGCTTGGGTGCAATACTAATACTAAATACACTACAGAAAAACTGTAAACGTTGTATATAAAAACCTTCCTATTAAATCACTCTATCTATTAAAAAACCCGCATCAAATTCATTGCGTAGTTTTAAAGATTTACGCACACATAGGGACAGAAAAGGCGACTATGTTTTACACAATGTAGTGACCGCGACTTTGTCTGTATACGACAATCACTAATAAAATAATAGTTATTTTGGCCAACAAAACTTGATTTGATACTGTCTATAGTTTATGCGAGTAGTACACATTTAAATAAAACACTTTAACGGTTTAAAACGCGATATATTAGTTAAACTTATTTGAAAATGATTTATAACTTCGGCCCGACGTTTCGTCGACGTGTGTCTCCCCGTGACCACAGCTGCTGCAAAGCATCCGAAACGTCGGGCCGAATTTAAAAATCATTTTCAAATAAGTTTAACTAATATATCGCGTTTTAAACCGTTAATGTGTTTTATTTAAAATTTGATTTGCAAACCTCCCTCATCATTATGAATGATGCTGTTACCCACGACATCATCCGCGTCACATCATTTTTGCGAATCAATCTTAAATAGATAAATGATAAAATATGAAACTGACCATATTTTAAACAATAATAAGCAAACCAATGTGCATAATATTACATAAATCGATAGAGGCAGGTCATGGAGACAACATATTTCTGTATCTGTCTAACTGATTGAATCTGTTCACTAGATAGTAGTTCATTAGAAGTATCTGCGCTGCCTGAAACTATTTTCAGTCTTCCCTGAAATTGAACTCAGAACCCTCGTGCTTAATGCAGTGTTAACACATTGAACCACTAAGCAACTGAGATGGAATAATTTATAGAAGTACAGAAGCGAGATTTGAACGACAATAATTATTAATTTAAAATGGATAAATGTAACCATAATTGATTGGTAAAAAAAAATACAATGGATTTATAGTGTACCCGTATCGACTAAGTATGGTGACGAATGAAGACAAATTGGCTTAAGTAGTGAAAGAGAAATGTAGGGGGGGAGGGCATCCGAGTAATGTTCAATCGAATAAAACTAATCTCGTAATGGAGTGGTCTGTGATTGATTCTGAATTGTATGAGACACGTAGGTATAGTATTAGCTGATCCGGCAAATATTGTTTTGTTTTCAATAGTAACTGGTTGTTCGTTGATGTCATGGTAGCAATGTACGACTAATAATGGGTCGTGGGTTCGTTCCTCACCGGGTCTAACATTTTTCTAATGAATTTATAGTTTTTCATGGAATTAATTAAAATGGGTGGTAGGAATGGAATATCGAAATTCCGTCCGGTTCAAGAAACACTGCCCACAAAGTCCAGCGCATCTTGTGTAGATGCTATGGGCTGGGCTTCACCTACCATGAAGTGAACCAGATACTTGTCTGTTCGCCTTTATCATTGAAAAAAATGTTATGTTACAACTAATATTTGACATCAATGCATTTTTTCTCGACCAAATTTGACTACCATAAAATATGTATATATTGTCAATGTTTTTTGTTAATTAAAAGAGGAATCTATTTGTTATATATAAAATACATATAAATAACAGATAGATTCCTTAACCGTTTTCACACGCATACGCATCGGTAGCAAAGTTGAATGGTTTTCCGTTTTCTACTGTTTCGTCACTCCTATTAGTCGCAACGTGATATTATAAACTCTTAAGCCAACCTCGATAAATGTCGATGTGTGTCTATGCAACACTAAAAGGATTGTTCAATTCGAACAAGTAGTTGATGAGATAAGCGCGTTCAAACATACGTAAAAACAAAGTAAAAAATATCAACGAGTCTACAACTCTAGTACAAAATATTCATATAAATAATTTTAAAATTGAAATAAAACACTTATTTGAAACTGATTTTTAACTTCGGCCCGACGTTTCGGATGCTTTGCAGCAGCCGGTCACGGGGAGACGGGGAAACGTCGGGCCGAAGTTAAAAATCAGTTTCAAATAAGTTTAACTAATATATCGCGGTTTAAACCGTTAAAGTGTTTTATTTAAATGTGTACTACTCGCGTAAACTTTAGACAGTGTGTCCTTAAAGTTCTACTTGAAGTTACTTTTGTTTATGAGAACTCTGCGCCATCTATTCCACAACGAAAGGAATAAGTTCATTTTGATTTAAAAAAATATATAAATAAAGAATCAAAGTCTTCGCCAGACATTGGCTAATTTTCTGGTGACAGACTCTCTTAGTCTACACATTGCATTGCACAGTGTACATACACCAACAATATACAATCTATATTTTTTAAAATAGAATAAGTGTTCAGTTTTGTTAGGTAGGTAGATACCAATAATATAATTTAAATGATAAAAAATATAACAAGAAATAACTTAAAGAAATATAGCAGACCGTATCGCAAACGTGTTCCACTCTTAAATAAGTATAAATTTATGTAGACCTATAACTGATATGTTTCTAATTAAAAAAGGCCTTTTACGACGAAAAACATATATTGCGCATAATATTTAATACGTAGAGGTAATATATTTCTAAAAATATCGAAAACATATTATATATATAAAACATATGGATATTAAAAAGTTTTGCGACTATAGACACATAATTATAATTAGGTTCGATTTCTGTACACTTACATATTTTGAAATACTAATGTTAAATTAACCAAACTGTGTACATCTGTAAATGGGTCCTACATAGGTATTCCAATTATAATTTGTTTAGTATAATGTATTACATGTAAGTGATCTTCAAGACCCGTCTCCCAATGACCACGGCTGCCGCAAAGCATCGGAAACGTCGCGCCGTAGTTAAAATAATCTACAAATAATTTTAACGAATATATACCGTGTTTTAAGCCGTTAAAGTGTTTTTGCGTAAACTACAGACAGTAAGTGATCTGTTGACGTACCATAATAAATAAACAGTGAATTTAGGCCGCTTTTATTTTTTAATTAAGGTCACGTTGATAGTTAGCAAGTCAAGTATCGCATCGCGCAAACAATATAATGTTATCGAGTAGAGGGAAGGTCATGCGATGCACAATAAATGCATCACCGCGTTTAATCGGACTCCTTGTCTTGTAAATAGGAAACTCGATAAAAATAACAATCGCTCCAGCTTTCCATTACAAAACCTGTTGTAATGTTCAACAAGTCGCAACTTTGTCGGAATCAACTGGAATTGCACAACGCGATTCGTTATGCTAAAATTAACCGTCGATTTCAGGTCTAGGTTTAAAATCTAAGCTGTAAACATCACGAATATTGTTCAAATAGCGTATCAGTTTTCTTGTATCCGTAGAATCTATACGCCGTTGCCAAGTCACGTACTGGCTAGCGTTACGCACTTCTCGGAGGTTTCGACTTTCAGGCCTAGGATGCGTGGCAATGGGTTTTTATGTTGGCCGCTGTAATAAAGTTAATCCAGGTCCTGTGTAGTGCATTATCGAGGGGGTGAGGGGGTCGGCGCGGTGGCGGCCACCTGTTCGGCGAGCGAGCTTCGCGTCGCCCCCACGGCCCGGCTCCCTGCCCCCCGCGCTGCGCCCCGCCGCAGCGGCACCCTCGGGCCTCGATGCGCGCGCTTCGCCCTTCCCTCCACTCACTCGTTCCGCGACGCGTTGTCTCGCCGGCCGGCTTCTGCCTCATTCGTCCGGGCTCACTCGTATCGTGTACGCTCATCGCTCCGCACAACATATTTCACTTCATTCAAAATGACAGAAAGCACGGACACCCCCGCGGCCGCAGCGCCAGAGAAGACTCCCACTGAAAACGGATCGACCGAGACACCCGCGGAAGAAACGCCGGAGAAAGCCACAGAGGAGAAGGAAAAGGAGGTACCGCCGCCGAAGGAGATGCGCGCTGTCGTCCTGACCGGCTTCGGTGGTCTCAAGACTGTCAAGATCCTGAAGAAACCAGAACCCGCGGTGGCCGAGGGCGAGGTTCTCATCCGTGTGAAAGCTTGGTGAGTTTCGAATTTAATCTCAATTAACCGCCACTGTTCTCGGTGTGTCTTATTTCACGTTATGAATGCGTACTATCTACATCGGCGTTTTCTCCTCGTTAATTTTAATTTGGAATTGTTTTCCATTCTAAATGAATCATTATCACCGCGTTAATTAAATTGGCGTTCGATATTTCGTGCTCGAGCCGAATGTTATGTAGAACGAGTCCCGTTTCGGGCCGGTTGCTTCGTTAACATCTGCCGAGTACATTTAGACGGTTTATGTGCCTACCCTACAAAATTTTGCACACTTGTGTAAGCTTTCGCCGCCGGTGTCGCGTCTGCGCCCTCAGCGGATTTGCACTGTGGCGACTGTCGGCGAAGAATAATCGGCAATAATTTAAAATTGAATGTATGAATTCAATTCGTTCCAAGAATCCTATTTGCTTACAATGTATGAAATAAGCCGTATCCGGAATATCGTTTAAAATGTAACTCGGTAGTTGGTTCGAGCGACATTGTTCTTTGTTCGTTTTTATCGTTCCAGTGGCTCAGATAATGCATCAGTCGCCGACAGACTACTTGCGCATGAGTTATCTGCCACTTTTCTTGTTAAAACTTAACTGCTTTCGAGCTTAACAAAGCGGCCACTCAACTGTGAAAGATGGCTTTACGATTGTTGGTTTTAGTAAAATTAACGACTATTGTTAACATATGGGGGCTTGTTTCTTTTCGTTGATAGTTTTGATTCGTTCTGTTGGAGCGTTGATGTCTATCGGGAGGGAGTAATGGCGCGTTTCCTGCTTATAATGGCTGGATGGGATAGAGGTAGTAGGGGGCTGGAGATGCGTAGGTGCGAACGAGGTGCGAGGCAGGCGCTTCCCCGCTCGTGCTAAATATAGCACGCTTATCGCCAACTTACTATGTAAATGACCGCGTACTTGACAACGCGAGATATATAATCTCTCTTGCCTTTAATTCCTACCATTTAAAAACAACAGAAAAATTATTAATTACATAGATATCTATAAAACCATTAAATATTCAACGTTAAAAGATTTTGAAAAAGATAAGACTCGTTTTGCGAACCTTATCTTTGAATTATCTTAATAAATTTCCAGAACACTTGGCATAGGTACCGACATAACGCCTTTTGAGATTCTCGTAAAAAGAATTAGTAACTATTAAACAATTGCTCGATCAATCATTCAAGTTGCGTCCAAACGCGCTATTAAATTAATCACATGTAATAGTTATAAAATGAACTCCAACTTATAATGGGCCGGACGCATGCGCAGACGTCGGTTGAAGACCGCCTGTGTTATATCGTCATATTTCACGATGCGATCTGAATAACACCATTATATTCAATTAGGTCAAGTCAGTGTCGGGAATACGTCTTCCGAGAACAATCGCCACTCACGCCCTAAGAGGCTTTTTTTACTTAATTATATGTGAACACGACTGTACTTGAATAAAAAGTATCTTCTCTTTTTGTTCTTATACAGATAATAAGTTATAAAGAAAAGTCTCTCGTATCATTAATTTTAAATTTCACTTGTTCTTTTTTCAAATCAATCTACTTAGAACACTTTTTACTTGCGAGCGTTCACTTCATAATTTGTAGGTCATTATCTTTTTCTAAATTTCGTAAATAATCACGTAATTATTTCTAAACGTTATAATCTAAAACTTAAAGATTTTATTCATGCGTGCTAATTGTTCATTTCCGTCTCTTTGTTACCGTTAAATCTATATATAGATGTGCCCAAAGAAATAATGCTCTATGGATAAAGTGCAGTATTGTGCGTTTTAATAGGCCCCGAAGCACATAAGATGGGAGAGATGAATTTGTTTATTGCCCTCTTCCTTATTGAGAACGTCTGCGTGAGATAGCTCTCTTCCTATGAGTCACTAGAAAGTAATGTTCCTTTACGAACTTGGCCGATCAAGTTGGTCTGCTCGCTGTGTGGGTGAACATGCATCCCTGGTGATCTCTGAGTGCATACCTACAATCTAGTTTTGTTAATCGATACTTCTAGAAGATGTCTATACTTTGTCTATGGCTAAACTTGTTATGACAAGTTTGACATTAGACAATATCAGTTACTTGAATCTTTCATAGACTATAATTGTTCATAATATGTTATTTTTGAAATATAGAATATGGTTATAAGTTTTTAAATCACTTTGAAAATTATTCGGTAGTACAATACGACATTATTTGTAGTACACTTAGTAGAAATTGCTATACTTAAGGTGGATTAATTCTGAGTGTGTTTTCAAAGGGATATTAAATTTTTTAATAGTTGTTAATTCGTGAAATCCTTTTGTGCGCGACAGTCAATTGATTGTACTGTTAATTAATTATTCGTCGATTACACGTGTGACTGGAAAGAGAGTATTTTTTTATCTTGTCATATGAGTGCGTAATATGTACAATTTTACATAACAATAATCGTCTTAAATGTACTGTGAGTCACAGGCTAATTCTTGCAACGCGGTCGTTTGATGAGTCAGCAATAAATATTGACTCAGTTAACAGCAAAATAAGCAACAATTGTAACGTAATTATATAGCAACTTCTATCAACAGAACTTTGGAGGGTTGGTCTGTATATATAGACTTGGGGTGACTTTATATCGGCGACTACGAATACTACGAACGGTTTGGAGTACACTAGACGTGGTCTACCTCGGTTTGGCTCTGTGCCATTTTTGTGGATTAAAAGTCGCTCAGACGCGGAGTAACCTGGACACCCGCGGGGCACATTGTTCCCAAAGTCAATGACCGGCGAAAACCTCCTCGCTTATTTCGTCCATAAACGATACTCTATAAGGCAAGGGACGCGTGTGCTTTTTTGTCCAAAACGCGCAAAGACAAATCGCGATTCTCGGAACGCCGGGACGACATATCGATGTTCGTGCGTTCGTTCTCATGCCGGTACTATCTTTACTAATATATAAAGCTGAAGAGTGTTTGAACGCACTAATCTCAGGAACTACTAGTTCGAATTGAAAAATCTTTTTGTGTTTATTTCATAAACTTGAGGAGAAGGTTTGGAAAAACAAATTTTGATGCCCAAAATAACGATTCTCCGCGGACGAAGTCGCTGGCACAGCCAGTTATCGATATTTTGTTTAGGGCGCGGTTGTATATTGTTTAGGCTGACACGTATCGATTGGTGCGTAAATTGAATTGGAAAATCCCGTGACTCGATGTTCGCATGAAGAAGGGGTGTGGCAGCGCTGCGCCGGGGTGTCGGGCGCTGCGGTGGTGTGGGGTCGCAAGTGCTTCGGTAATGTCTGGCGGTGGTGAGGTATGAGAGGGAGGGAGGCGGCCGGGGTGAGTGCTGGCAGATCAATACGGCGCGTCCCCTGCCGCCCCTCGCCCGACCAATCTCCGCTGGCCTAACGTCTTGATGCCCGTTTTTTATAGCGCTCGTCACACTCTTCGAATGTATGAACACATGCTACATTCTCGTCTCGAGCTGTAGGGCCTTAATCCTGGGATCCGACGTAATCCTTCGCTATTCATAATGTACAATCGGATTCGTGATTCTTGGCGACTGCACGAATTTGATATGCACATTATGATTGATGAAATGCCTCTGTAGATAAATGGTTAAACATTAGCCTAGCATTTAGCGGGAGGGATCCTGGGTTCGAATCGTGGGGAATTTTTTTTTTTTCGTTTCGGCGGAGCATAAAAGTCTGTTGAAATAGTCGCCTGTAATTAAAACCGACCAATGAAACGGGCACAGAAATATGTTCGCCCCCACGAGGAGAAACGTGATTTCACAAATTTTATGATTAATGATGCAAATGAGTTTTCTAATGTCAAAATCTAATTTTAAATAGTGAAAGATACTAGTAGATTGAATTTTAACTAAGACCCAACATTTTGCACATACACAGCCACTGAAAAACATAAAAAACGTCTTAGTTCCGATTTCTCGTTTTAAACCGTTAAGGGCGTTTTATTCAATGCGTACCGCGCTACGATACTTGAGCCCTCATTAATTCAGACTTCGAAGAGTTCTTTTAACAAAAACAGTTCTCGGGAACCGGATTTGGGATACGGCTGCGGTTCTAAACATTTGAACACATGTTGCGCGCACGCAGATTATTGTAAAAAATACACAGACAGTGTATAACATTCAACAGACAACCTGTGAAATTATAAGGAAGTGTCTATCACCTTTCCGGGATACACATGGATAAAGCTCCATCGAAGTCGTGATTTGAATTCATTAAACTCTGCCGTACTGTATTCATGACAGATAATCTATTTTGTATTTATATAATGCTTGAAAAGCAACTTTAATCCGTTTATCATTTATTAAGTTAAAAATGCTTTCATAGCCTAATAGTTGTAACACAATGCCTACCTTTGTGTTTATCGCGAGGGTGCCTTGGTTCGACTCCAAGAGAGAAATATGTTTGACACATAGAACAATTTAATAACACTTTAACGGTTTAAAACGCGATATATATTAGTAAAACTTAGTTTAACTACGCCCCGACGTTTCGGATGCTTTGCAGCAGCTGGAGTCACAAGGAGACTAAAGATAATGTTTTAAGCCGTTAAAGTGTTTTATTTAAATGTGTACTAGTCGCGTAAACTACAGAATAGGGTAATTTCACGATTTAAGTGTCTATAAAACAATGGATTTCTCTAAGAAAATTATTTTGTTCGAGCTATATTCGACAATCTAATGGAAGACGCTACTACAATATTATAAGCTATAAAACGTAGACTTTAATAGTCGAAAACGGTTTAATGAGGTTCTTTATCATTTACCAAATGGTCTATTGCTTTTCTTTCAATTAAATAAAGATATATATATATATAGTACATTACATTACTATATATATATATATATATATATATATATATATAGTAATGTAATGTATTTAATGTTATTTAAATGTAAACGCTTCGTTCTTAAAATTAAAAAAAACACACATTTAAATTAGCCAAGTTTTTTATTGATTTTCTTCCTTTTATTTTTAAATGCC